GGCGAACGTTGTCAGGCGGGGCGGCGGCAGCCGCAGTGGACGCTGGCCGTCGGGAACGGCGGCGACAACGAGGGGAGCGGGACGAGGGGGGAGGGAGAGATGGGGGGAAAAGAAAGGAGGGTGGGAAAAGAAACACGGGAGGGACGGGGCTAAGCGGGCGGGAGCGAGCGGAAGGGATCGGAAGGGAACTCGGGAGAACGAGGCCGGGAACACTTACCGAGGGATGACGTGGCCCTAGGAAATAACGGGCCGGGAAGCGGATGACTCATCCAGGGGACTTAGAGACCTGAAGAAGAAGGGCTAAGTTAAAAAGAAGTTATTGAAAGAATTACCGGCAGTGAGTGGGTCGAGGATAAATGGATCCTAACTAGGAGGGCGTAGAGGGGGCTGTACGGCAACCTTAATAGGTCCGGTTGTTGTGATGTCGAGGTGGATACAGCCTCGGACTGGATCGCCCAGGACAGAGGTATGGAGGCCTCCGGAGCCAGGCAGTTATAGAGGATCAATTTCTGGAGAGTAGAGGCACAGCAACGAAGGGTGGCGGTTATCTGCTCACTGGTAATCTGGTCATCGTTTGCGGATAAGGATATGTTCAGTTCGGCGATTCCAGAAAAGATTGAGGAACCCCAGGCCACGGCACACTTTTCCAAGGTAAGAGACCACAATAGCGGCATAATCCCGCCACAAAGTTCGCGATCAATGTGGAGTATAAGGGGGGCCTCATTTTTAGGGGGCTCGTACCAAATGGTCAAATCCTTCAAAAACGGTGTAGAGATAGTGAAAAGGTGGTCAGGCAGCTCGCTTTCGCTGGTATAGAGGTGTAGACAAGAAAATCTTGATAGCTGATTCAGTACATGTGACACCACCTCGTTCCATTCTGGGTTCTGAACAGGAAAGTAGAGGCTGAATTCTAGTGGTGCTGACTTGGAATGTTTCAAAAACATCTTTGACTTCTCCGCCTTCTGGCTATAGTCTGTGGTAAAGCTTGCCCAAAGAAGAGGGAAGGAAAGGGCAAAGTCGCGCCAACGCCGGGAGACGTGGGACAGAATCAATGTCTGGTCGCCTATGTCGACCATCCCTTGCGGCCGAGTCTTGCCCAGGAGTAGCATGATATGACCAAGCAGCTCGGGCGGAAGAGAATGGATGTTCGCCTGAGTGTGTTGTTTCGCACGCTTGTTGGTAACTGGTTGGTTTTCGTTGGGATCGTTCATAGTAGCCTTCCGAGAGATATAGACTCATTCAGATTGTCCATGAGTCAAGGATAAATTGGATGAGATCTACGAGAATACTCACATTAGCTTGGATGACTCGCGCACGAATGGGTGACGGAGACAAGTCTGCTGTTGGCACGCTGTGAGAGCACCTGTGGCTGTGTTAAAACACACACGCGTCGCTTCACTTGGCACTAGACACCACTCCCCTCCAATCCCACAGCCATCCTCAAGCCATCCACGACAACACGAGCACTTTGAGATAGGATGCCGAGCGATAAGGAGACTCTGTTGAGCATGGGCTTTGAGGAGGCCCGCGTAAACTGTTCGCCTGCCCTTGCCATGTTCACAAACTCTGGGCTCTAACACGCGTGTTTACGCGCACAGGGGCACTCAAGGAAACACGTAACAGCGGTCTGCAGCCCGCCATGGATCACATCCTCTCGCACGAGGGACAACCCGTACCTGATCTATCAACCGTATCAAGCAGTGGAGGAGCCGGTGGCTCGAGTGGTGCCATGGATGTTGACGAGGACGACGAGGATGCAGCGGAGCTCAGGGACATGATCAAGTCTCAGGGCAGTGCCGATGTGGAAGCCAAGGTATGCATTGGGAAGGTCAACTTACAATCAACGCATATTCATGTTCAATCATAGAGCATCAAATGTTCCCTCTGCGGAAAGACATTCCGGAATACAGCCCTCGCCAACTTCCACGCTGAGAAGAGCGGTCACGATCAGTTCGAGGAATCGATCGAAGAAGTTCGTCTAGCTTTTGACAAGCTACATTTCTTCTACACCTCGCTCATGCGCATTGACAGGTCAAGCCCCTCACAGAGGAGGAAAAGAAGCAGAAACTTGCAGAACTACGCGAGAAGATGGCGGCCAAACGTGCTGTGAAGGCGAAGGAGGAGGCTAAGGAGGCTAAAGAGAATGAAGCTATTAGACGAAAGCAGGGCAAGGTGAGCCCCTCCCCTTGGGATTGTAGACCTCGATCTCTTCCCTGCCCGTGTTCTGGGTATGCGCATATACGCATGTGCTCATCTCCGCGGGGTTCAACTTAGGATTTGAACAAGATTAAAGAAGATCTCAAAGCAAAAGAAATCGAGAAAGAGATAGAGCAGCGTCGTAGAGGTGAGTGTCGCACGTCCGTCATTACCCGCGCTCCTCTGGATCTCCCGACCTCATCGCGCATTGACCTCGCTCAACTTTTCTTCAGACAAGGTCGAAGACGCCAAAGCCAGAGCTGCCATCAAAGCCCAGATCGAGGCCGACAGGATCGCCCGCGCTGAAAGAACTGCACGCGAAAAGGCCCTCCGCGAAGGGCGCGAGATTGTCGATGCGCCCAGTTCCGCGAGCAGCGCCCCGCAGGTTCGGCCCGGTGGGCCCGCAGCAGCAGCAGCGACTACGTCATCATCAGGCGTGGCTGGCAAGGACTTCAAGGAAACGCGGTTACAGATCCGGCTCGCGACTGGCGGGCAACCATTGACGACGACGCTCTCGAGCGAAGCAAGTGAGTGCGATTTTTCCGGAGTTTGTCTCCATTTTTTTCCTTTTTCCTTGATCGAAATTCGACATTATTGCTGACTGATTGATCCTTTCGCGATTTATTGATGCCTGCCATCTATCGACATTTTTTTGCTTGATCTCAATCTCTGCTGATTGTCGCCTACTCCGAATGCCCGCGGATATTGGTCCGAACAATGATATCCATAAATTAGCGCTACGCGAGGTGGCCGAGTTTGTTGCTGCACAGACGCTCACCGTCGACGTCGACACTGTTTCGTTTGCACAACACTTCCCAAGGTGACATTCTTCAAGTACATTGCAATGAACTGATCGGGTGTGCTGACGCTTCCGGTTCACCTGCATTACAGAAAACAATTTGAACGTTCAGACTTTAGCAAGTCTCTGCGCGACTTGGGTCTCACACCGTCTGCGGTAAGCTTGCGCTGTCTGCATGCGAAAAAAGTAATCTGACTCATAATCCTTCCGCCGTGTAGGTCCTCATCGCCTCGTAAACCCATGACGCCGGTGATTAGCCGCTGTATACATTTTACTTGTATTATAGATCCAAATCGACTGATTGCACAAACGTTACATTGAGAGTCCGTAAATTATATAAATATGCTCTACGCTTGAGCGTGTTGATAGTGTATATACCCACAACAGATTATACATGGTGCACAGGGTATCTTTGAGTCTGGGTAATAATGTGATGAAGAACGGAAATGACCATCAACGTCGTAGCCAAGCCGAGTTCGCACAGGCGGGATCCCTTCATGAACTGCCAGGTGCAATCTATGCCGCTGCAGGTTCCTCCGGTGTTGATGAAGACGATAGCGCAGCAGAAGGTGCAGGTGTACTGGTGCGCTCTTGCTTCCGCCTGGCCTTGCCCTCAGGAGACGATCGAGGCGACAGCGTCGGAGGTGACATGGAGGAGTGTGAAGCAGCATAGGGATGGGGGTGCGGATGTGGTTCTTGCGGTGCATAGTCGTACAGCACGATATTGCCATCCGCACAACCGAGCGCGACACGCCCCGCCTCCTCGTCCATCGCGATGCGCGTCCAGCCGTCATCGTTCCTCGACGCAAACACCATGCTCGCTCTGACCAAGCTCGAGCCCGACCCCTCACCAGGCCCTCTTCCATGTGCCGAGTCCGAGCTACCAGTAGGCGTGGGCGACACTCTCGCCGACCCCGGATGCGAAGCGGAAGACGCAGACGCCGCAGACGACGTCGTCACGCCCCACGGCTCGCCCGCGCCCGCGCCCGCACCCGCCCTGATCGCCGCCCGCGCATCGAGCGCCTCGCCCGCGAGCCGCTGCCCCGCGTCGCTCGGCCCCGCCCACTCGTCCGCGTGGCTGTCGAACCACATCGCGGTGCCCCACGGGCCGAGCGCGACCGCGCTCTGCGCGAAGAGACGCACGGGGCTGCCGAGCGTCTGCACGGCGCGCGGCGGGAGCGTGTAGGGGAGGTTCGCGGCGCCGACGGGGCGCGTGGGCGTGTACCGCGTGTTGGGGCGGAGGACGAGGTAGTGCAGCATGTTCACGGGCCAGGGGTAGATGCTTGCGAAGCGGAGGAAGATGTTGATCGGCGGTGGGGCGTGGTTTTTTCGGCTGTGGCGGGGTGTTGAGCTGCGAGGAGACGAGAGTGGGAGTGTGGGGCTGGCGGGGTGCATGGAGGATGTTGCTGTATAAGCGGACGATGCGCCGGCGTACGACGCCTGCGGGGCGATGTTGATTGAGTCGATCCGCCAGGGGTATTTGTGCTGCGCGACAGGGTATTGCATCGGCGAGCCGCGAATGGGGAGGTTGGTCTCGCGGCGGGCGAGCGGGTAGAACTCGCATGTCTGCGAGCCAAAGGCGATAAGATATTCCGGGCCAAGGTGCATCCCAAGTGGGCGTTCGGGCTGGTCATGGGTGGAAAGAGAAAATTTAGCGAAAGAAATGGGCGTAAATTTCAAGGACATACGACAGGCTGGAGCGTGTTCATGAAACGCATTTGCTCCTTCCCAGGATCCGAGTCGAGATTATCCAGGTCCCACAGTGCCATCTCGCCGCTCTCTGTGGCGCGGGTGACAAGTTTGTTGCCCTGAAGGACATGCACCTCGCGCACACCATCGATTGTAGCAAGAGTCTCGAACGCCGTGTCTGGGTCTGGGTCGGCGAAATCGACCGCAAATACCTCGGTACTGTAGAAAAATAAAATAAATGTGAGCTTACGGTATCTATGCAGTAACTGAAATAGGAAAACTGACTGGGCAAACTGGACTGCAAGGACTGCCTCGCTCGACGGGTCCGAATTGACGATCACCCCGCTGAAAGGGCCCTCGGCGTGAACGATCTCAGCGACGAGCTTCCCAGCTCGTCTCCTGCTCTCCTCGCCAGTTCCCTCGACCTCTTCTGCGCCGGCCCGGCTCCCCGTCTCCTCCGTCTCCATATTCTCGCTTTCCTCTTCCTCCTCTCCGACCTCTCCGACATCCCAACACCGTATCTTGAACACCCGCGGCTGCTTCACCGTCGACACCGACACCAGATACCGTCCTCCCCGCCCAGGAAGGAATTGCAAAAACACCACCCTCTCCTCTTGTGGCGCCCTCGCCTCTTCTTCTTCTCCTCCTTCTCCTTCCCCTTCTTCTCCATCTTCCTCGTCATCCTCCTCTTCTTGTGGCGGCGGTGGCGGCGCAATCGTCCGCGGCGGCCGTGTAGGCTCGGGCCTGGCGGCCGTCCAATTTCTGCGGAGGAGCAGGGCGCGGCGGACGAGCGCCTCGAGGTCTGCTGCGCTGAGCGACTCGAGCGCGAGGCCGCGTGAGGGGCGTGGGAGGGGGAGAGGCGGCTGTGCGGCGAGGACGTGGACGCGGAGGAGGAGGAGCCAGAGGGAGCGCAGGCGGGTGAGCGCGGAGAAGGATTTGCTCGTCTGTGTGTGTGTGGTAAATGGTGTGTGTTAGCGGGTGGGGTTTATGATCGGGGAGGCGATGTGAGATGGGGGGAGGGAGGAGGGAAGAAGAGAAGAGAAGAGGATGGTGTCGTGTATAGATAAGTGGACATGGGCAAAATAAAAATAAAAATGGCAGGGATTTATAACGCGAACGCCGCCGTCGAATATAGGGTGGGCGTCGAGAGAACAAATAACTAGACGAGGACTTACGAGTCTCAGGTTGAGAACGTCCCTAACAGGGAGCAGCGACATGACATCGAACAGCACGTCGAGCGGGATAGGCAGCGGCGGCGGTATATCGCGCGCGCCACCGGACGATGGACTGGCCATCACGACGAATTTCGAGCGGGGGGCGAACTGCAGGCGGTTGAAGAGGACCATGACCATAAACGCGCACAGTGTATCGATGCGTCGAGGCGTCGAGGAGCGCGAGAAGGAGGGAAGGAGAGGTTGTTGAAAGATGCGCGGACAGATACGTCAGCCGCAGGATAAACGGAGAACAACGAAGGGGAGTGGATGGACTCACGGAGTTCAACGTGAGGTGTGTGTGTATATGTACGCGTTCCGACAATGTGCGATTCGGACGCAGAATCTATCTGTCAGCTGTGGCGGACCGCGAAAGGCACGGAGTAAGTAATACCGCTACGCAGCACTCGCGCTACTAGCGCAGTCGCGGGGGTACGTAAAGAAATATGAAGTGGGAAGTGAAGTGCGAGGGGCAACGAGGCGCTTGGCCCGTGGTCTGGCAGGATGAGGCTGGGCAGACGGATATAAAACACGGCGGTCAGGACGGGCTGCGAGCGTGTTATATAGCGGGCTGCGGACTGACGAGACGAGACGAGATGAGACGAGAGGGGCGTGTGTGGTGATGCAACCAGCGGTCAGCCACCACCCAACGACCGTCTGTCTGGCTCGAGCCTGATCGGCGGTGCACCGGTGATCTACAGCCCTGCCCTGTAAAGCTCCTGTATGCAAACTGTCAAACGCGCGTTCACTCGGACGAGACAAGACGGGTCGAGTCGATGTGTCAAGGGGGAACGTGTGCTTTCTCCACGAAGGAATATTAAAAGAAAAGAAGAGGAAAACAGTGAAAGCGACGTGCGGAATCAAGGATAGAGCCCGCACCGACGCAATCGTGGAACGTCGCGTCAAGTCAGCACCAGGTGGCGCGGCAAATGCATACATACAGGGGTGGGATTCAGAACTCACGGAAGCAAATCCTGGTTGGTCTATCTCGTATTGGTTGGTCTGAGCCGGCGTTTAATTCAACCAGCTGCAAGCAAAGGCGGAGGAGAGAGCTATCGCCGGCGCGCGATAAATGAGGATGTACTTGTATTAAATCATTAGCCTGTATGAGCCTGGAAGGTGTTGCGGGACTCGGGTACGTACTGGGGGGGAGATTGGCGTGGCGCGCGAGTCAGGCCTTCGCGCGATCGGGGCGTGTGTGTTTTCTGTGCGCGTGGCTGTACGGTACTGTACTTGGCCTCGTCGGAGTCAGGGGGGTTCTTCCGTCGACTGAAGAAGCGGCTGAGCGTGGTGTATTAGAATACTGGAGACCGCGCGGGTGCTGTGGGCCCGTGGAGGCCCGTGGAGGGAGATGTGAGATGTAAGATACCGAGATGCGGTGATGGTCTGGCAAAACGTTCTTTGACCAGCGTCGACGATCGACGATTGGCCGGCTCCGTGTCTGGGCGTGTGCGAGAAGCGGGTGGATGGGGGCACGAGGAGATCAAGGAATCAGGGGTGGAGGAGAGAGAAAGGAAGGGAGGGAACGAAGAGAAGAAGGAGAGGAGAGTTTGGATGAGTTTAGGAAAGTGATATGTTTGGGTTGGGGCACTCGAAAAACCCACGATGTTTTCTCGCTTTCCCGGACCCTCCTTCCGAGGCCCTAATGGATCTTTCGTCTAATTACTTATATATGACCTTATGATACCGAGGGTGGTCGTTTGTCGCGTGGCTTTGCTGAACAACCGTTCAGCCGTTTATTGCCTGCCTGCCAGGCTGCTGTGGCCGTGCTGCGTCACCTCGGAGACGGAGACTTGCGAATTATTGGGGGGCAGGCCTGGCCTGGCCCGTGTGCCTCGGTGTCTCGTGAAAGCTAAGACTGCTGTCGCGACTGCTCGCTCGACGGAGAGAGCCGAATGGTGGAACTGCGAGTAATAATAATGAAATGAACAGATGCGAGATCGAGTACGGATACAGAGCACAAAGGCAATATGACTCTGTAGGCGCCGTGCAGCCGATGATCTCGAGCGGGCAATGTCGGTGGACGTCAGACGTCACCGATATGCGTTAGCCGTGCGGCGGTATGTAGATGCGAGATCTGGGAGGGGAGACGTCACGGACGCTTCAGGTTTCAGCAGAGAAGCCAAGGCTTAGCGGTCGGCGGTGATCGATGCAAAGAGGGTTTGGAGCGGAGCGTTCGCTGGGTGGGTGTTTGACATGGACGCAGGCTCGGAAAGTCGGAAGAGGGGCGACTGGGCCGGAGAGAGCGAAAACATCGGGCTTGATGCATGATAGGCGCTTGAGGGTTGACAGGTCCAAGGCACCTGGCGAGGCTAAAATGGCCGACGTGAAATGAGCTTCTGCCTATGACCGCCGGTCGCTAGCAACGCGACTTTTTCTCGCCTCGGGAAGTCGTTCCGGGTGACATCGCCTGTCAGCTTGTCAAGAGTGCATCCCGGCTCAGCCCTGCCCTGGACTGCCCTTGGGTGGTGCCTAGTGATGCAGGCCAGAGAAGGAGGTGCATTGAAACTTGAATAGCGAATTGAAAGACTGGATTGAAGCTAAAGAGGAGAAGGGCCGCGAGCTGGAATCCGGTGTAGTCGGATGTGTGCAAGAGTGAGGAGAGCAGGAAGGGGCGATCGTCGCGGAGGTGAAAAAATGCGCCAATCAATTGCAACTCTAAATCCAGTCTAATTCTTCCCCTCTTCATTCTTTTTTCAAACATTTTCTTGCCGGATTCTGACAGTGTATGTCACATATGAACAGTGTCAGCACGTTCCCTCACGTTCTCGGCTCTTGCGTGCGTAGGAAATGTACGGCGAGCGTCTGAGAGAAACAAGCTTAGGTTTTCAATCTGACATTGGTCTAACCGCCACTCATATTGGGCATGACATGGAACAGTGATCTACAGTAATTGATCTATGTGTCGCCAGCCAACCCGACAGCCCCAGCTGACAGTTATTATGATGTTTTGATACATTCACTCATATGCCAACCAATTCATAAGTCTTTCCTAGGAATTGTGAGGACTCTAGAAACTCGAGAAAGTCTACAGGGAGTTCAGGTCGACGTCTGTTTGTCAAAATCAGGTAGCTTATGAAGAGACAGATTCGAAAGACTTTATGTTGAGAAAAGAAAGTGATGTGATTATAATCTGATTAGATGTTACATCATCCGCTGGCCGTGGTCATCGCATGCAGTCTATGCGCATCTTGGGCGCCCCAACCCAGACTCTTCCACGTCCGTCACCTCCTCCGCCTCCACCTCCACCTCCACCTCCACCACCCGCCGACGGTCACCGGGCCATGGACGACGCTCCAGCTGCCAGCCTCAACGTGGGTCCTCGACCCAGGCAGACCGCTCTGGCCCGGCCCAGTCTCGCAGGCCGCCCCGCAGGCCCACGCGGTGCTCGCACTCAGCGGCAGAAGAACTCGCTCGATCTTACCAGCCCTTCGCGCTCATCTAATTCGTCTATAAACGGAGGCGAATCGCCCTCTCAGTCTACCGTCGCTTCACCTGTTCAGAGTACCTTTCCCCCGTATGCACAGCAAGGACAGTCCCAGCAGCTGCAGGCGCCCCGCCCACCTCCTGTCTCGGTTCCACATCCGCCGCCGGAGATGAACGCGAGCCAGAATGTAGGTCCAAGTGTCATCCCCAACGTCAACGGCTACGCTACCACCTCCCAAAGCCAAGATGACAGCGCGTACTCGGGCCCGCCCACAGCAGTACCCCTCCCCCCGCCCGCCGCTGTCCCCTCCATCGTGACTCCTGGACCAGCGCCCCCATACACCACCCATGCGATCCCCGCACTCAACATCAACGGCATCAACGGGTCATCCACATCATTCTCATATTATCCATCTTCCCCACATCGCATCAGACACTCCCTATCATCATCCACCACCTCCGCCGACGCCGCAGTTCAGACATCCCCGTCGACTCACACACCCGCACCCACACCCCCACCGCCCTCGCCCTCCCGAGGTTCGTCCGGCATCAAGCTCGTCCCCAAGCTCCCTTCGCTGGTGCCCCCGCCCCCGCTGTCCTTCGCCTCGCAGTCGCAGGCAGCGCTATCGGCCCCGTTCAAAGCGCTCCCGTACGAAGTCGCCCAATGGACGTTCTCCAGCGCGGAGCTGCAGGAGATCGTGCGCCGCGCGATCCAGCTCTCCGCGCGCGAATCCTTCGTGCGCCTCCTGCCGCTCGCCGCGCTCGACGGCGCGCTCGACAAGGAGCTGGCAAGGATACAGGGCGCGCAGCGCGAGACGCAGGCGAGGATCCGGTTCGGGGTGCAGCGGCGGACGAACGTGTTGCATGCTGTGAGCTCGGCTGCTGCGTCGGCGTCTGCCTTTGCGTCGACGGGGGCGTCGGATAGGGACAGCTTGCACAGCAACGCGGGCGGGTCGCTGTCTGCTAGCGGCGGCAGCGGCGGACCGGGGCTAAGCCCGCTCGGCGACCTGCTCGTGCAGCTCTCGGACGCAGCAGCATCGTGCGACACGCACATGCTCGCGCTGTTTGCGCTCGCGGACGAGCACGCGCAGCTGGAGCGCGCGCAGCACCGGCACTGGGCGAGCGCGCTGTCCGTCGCGCTGCGCAAGCTGAACGCGCGGTACGAGAAGCAGACCGGGGAGCTGCGCGAGGCGCGCGCGCGCATCGCGAATCTGGAGCAGGAGCTCGAGGAGGCGTGGAAGCATGCGGAGGAGTTTGCGAAGGAGGCGGATGAGGTGGGGGAGGTGATGATCGGTGGTGGGAGTGCGAGTGGGTCGGAGGTCGGGTCGGATGTGGATGAGGACGAGGACGAGGAGCGGGAAGGGGAGGGGCAGGACGGAGAGGGAGGTGCCGAAGGGGGATTGGCAGGGACTAGCGTAGGCGGCGGCGGCGGGCTGACGGTGCCCGGGCACGACCGCACACCGGGCGACGACTCTGTCTCCGAGCGGCTGAGCATGTTCGACGACACCGCGACTGTCGAAGTCGTCGGCGTAACAGCACGAGCCGTCGCGTCCAAAGCGCAGCTCTTCGCCTCCCCGCCCTCGTCCGCGAAACACCCGCCACCACCATCGGCGTTTAGCCCGCCCCCGCCGAGCTCGTACCCGTCTTCGCTGCCGAACAGCGCAGGTGCCGCGAGCGCGACGTTCAGCACGGGCGTCGCTGCGGACGCGAAGAGCGTGCGGTCACTGCGATCGCGCCGCAGCACGCGCTCGACGCGCAGCAGAAACGCAAACGCGAGCGCGAACATCAACCCTGTGCCGGCAGCAGACCGCGTCGCGGCGGCGCGCACGCGCTCCCGCGCCGCGTCGAACGCGTCTCTGCGCTTCCCGAGGCCGCTGCGCAATCTATCCATCAGTGGGATGGACGGGGTGGTCGCTCCTGGGGCTGCTACTGCGCCCCCGCCTGTCCCGGCTCTTCCTATGGGTTCGGCGGCCGGGGCGGGGGCGCTCTCGCATTCCCGCGCGGGGTCGCAGTCGTCGCATCCGTATGCGCAGGCGCAGGCGTACTCGCCGGCGCACTCGAGGAGCGGGAGCAAGAATCTGCAGCAGGCGCAGGCGCAGGTGCAGACGCAGGCACATTCACCGTCGCACGAGCGGAGCGGGAGCAAAACCCAGCCGCAGGTGCAGACACAGTCGCAACAGCAGCAGACACAACAGCAGCCGCAGCCGCAGCCGCAGAACATCAAAGTCAAGACGGACGACTCGTTCCTCGAGATGAACTTCCTCGATCTCGACGCGGGCGAGGAGCCGATGAGCGCCGTGTCCGTGACCCCCGGGCCGTCGCCGCTCACACCGGGGCCACCGCCGCCGCCGGTGCCGCCGAAGGACGGGGAGGGGGCGGTGAGACCTGCGCCTCCGTCGCGTGAGTCTTTTACAGTATGCGTGTGCGTATGTGCGTATGCTGACGTGGATTTTTTTGGTGGACGTAGGACCCGTTCCGGCACCGCCAGAGCCGAACCAGGGTTTGTTAATGGAATCCACCCCAGCTCCAGTGCCAGATCAATCTGGAAATGCACCCCCGCCATCCTTGGACACGCACCTCACCATCCCCAGAACGTCATCCAAAGTGTCCCCGTCCGCTTCGGCGCTCGGTTTGGGCGGAGGCATTCCCGCGCTGTGGCTTTCCCCCGAAAACCCTTTCGCGTCGACTGCGTCGCTGGCTGTGCCTGGCGCGGGCGGGCAGGGGTTAGGGCCATTGCGAACGCGCTCGAACTCGATGCGCGGGCTGTCGTTGTCGTCTTCCCCCTCTGGTGAGGGTGAGGGTGCCGGTGGGAAAGGGCAGGGGCAGGGGCGGGGGTGGGAGGGCCAGAGGAAGAGGGAGAGGAGGAGGTCGTTTACGGGGCCTGTGGCGAGGTTTTCGACGAACGTCCCGCCGCCGCCGCCGCCTGAGCCTCTGATCGAGCCCCAGGCTGTTGGTGGCGAAGATGAGGCGGAGGCGGAGGCTCCTTTCGAGGATGGTTTTGATATTGGCGGGGATGAGGATGGAACTGTGATGCCAGATGCGGAGGTGGCAGTGGAGGAAGGGTCGGCGGTGGAAGACGGCCATGGTGATGTCGGGCACGATGGCGTTGTTTTTGGTGTGGGTGTGGATGCGGTTGCTGCTAAAGGGGCCAGGGACGAGAACGTTGGCGACGGGGATGCTCCTGACTCTGCCTCTGCCGCTGACGATGCCCAGGACGCAGAAGCCCCTGTTTGCGCCGACGCTCAAGCTGGCGCCGCCGGTGGACTTGCTACTCCCGACGCTGAGGTTGAAGCAAATGCCCGTGCTCCTCCTCCCTCTGCGGAAGCGTCCGAAACTGCGGTTGAATCTGGTGCCATTGCCTCAGCTGTTGAAACTGGCACCGTCGCTGGCGCCGAGGCTCAGGACAACGCCGATACCATCGACTCCGACGCCATCGATACCACCCCCAAAGCCCACGTCGGAGAGCTCGAGCAGGAGGAACCGGACACTGCTCCCGCCGCACCTGAACCCTCGGACGTAAACGCGCACAAACCCGTGGAAGAGCTGTCTTCATCATCTGCACCTGTCCAGGATTCTATACCTCACCCCGAATCGTCTTCTGCATCAGGTCCGACCGCTACGCCCGCTACCAGCTTAACTCCTCCCGGGAACGAGCACAAAGACGAGGGGCCGAAGGTCCCGACACTTCAGATCGAGGAGGTGTCAAGGGATGACAAGGAGCATGCGGTCGAGTCGCCACTGCCGAGCGCAAGTACGGGGGCGTCGGTGAGGCTGCCGTGGTGACACGCTCCCTGACTGATATCCTCGATAACCCTTACCAGCTCTTCCGATACCCCCTTTGTCCTCCGTCATCCGCCCATCACAGCCTATCTCAGCATCCATACTTGCCCATCACTCATCACTAGCCCTGGATCACCACTCTCCTTCCTTCTTCCATAAGCCGTTTCCGGTCTCTGGTGCATGGCCCGCGTGTTCGCTCGCTCCGGCCTCTACTATCTCATCTACTCGTTTATTTTTGTAATAAGCACGACGTTACGTCGATCAGGTAAACTCGGTACACAATAGTCGTTCCGCTCCCATATATCCCTAGCTTTTAGCCTATCCTGCGCTCCACCTACTCGCCATCTTTTAGTTTTTCTATGCGATTGGAGTTCTTTTTTTGCTTTTCGTCTCGCCCTTTTATAATCTCATACTTATCTTCTGCTTTCTGGCAGCTACTTTCGTGCGATAGTCACGTCATGCGATCATACCAGAAACCTCCATTGCCTGCTATCCCTGCTCTGTCGTTGGGCGACCTTCGGAGGCAGACATGGTCTGAATTGCTGGTAGGCCTACGTGGGAAAGTATGAGTTCGAGAGATGGTGAGACACCTCAAGTAGGTGTTAATTTTGTCTGTTCTCGTATGACCCGGACGCCCTCGCCGCGTTCTTCGAACCACCCTTATCGTTGACCCAGCCAGGAACCCCGGACTTGATTCTGAGATGACGGGCGTTCTGGAATTGCATACAAAGTTTTTGGCCGAGTTTCCCGAGGCATGGATGCGCGTACTTCAAGGGGCTCAACTTGTAAAGCCCGACGATACAGGGAAGGGCCAAGGGGGACCCATGCCGAATTGGCCGCGCTCATCTTTGTTTAACTTTACGTACAACATACCTGTATTCTTCCTGGTCAACATTACGGGATTTTCCGCAGAGGCCCTTGACATGTCGCGTCGCACTGTTGAGCAGCTGTTGCATTTCGCAACGCTGGGGCTGCTCCAGATTAGTCCTAGGTGAGCGCCGTGTCTGACTCGGGATCACTTGCTATTGGGCCTCTCATTCCGGTTCGTTTGCTTTAGAACACCCGCGTTTCGTTTGGCCATGGGCCCGCCAAGAAACACACGTTCTCAGCCGTCGTTGGCGCAGGCTGGGTCCAGGTTATGCACGCTTTCGCCCGAGACCCTCGTCAGAATCATGTCGTTCGAGATTCAATGTCCCTACGCAAGGAAGAAAAACATCAACATTTGGATTCACGTCTGCAAGTATCTACGCAGTATCGCACTATCTGCTCCCCAGCTTTGGTCATACCTCTCCCACCGGACGACGTCCGACCTGGGATTGTTGCAAGTGATTCTCTCGCATTCCGAAAGTGCACTCCTGGACGTGGGGATCGAGATGCTTTCGCCATCTAGCATGAAGCCCGAACTAGTCGGAGCTCTGGAAGGGATTCTGCGCAACGCGTCGAGGCTTCGCAGTCTCTACCTCAAGGGATCTCAAGCGGTGCTTTCTTGCCATCGTCATCTCCTCGTGAACCCGTCCCCGTATCTTCAGTCGCTGAGCCTTCAATTCGAACCTGCGCGCGACGGAGAGGACGACGAAGATGAAGAGGATGTGCAAGATTGGAGTGAGGAAGAAGATAGCACGCCCGGGTTTTATTTGGACTACGAGCTATTTGACGGCAAGTTGCCTTCTTTACGTCGGCTTAGCTTGAAGAACTGCAGCGTCAAATGGGACTCTTCGATCTTTGTCGGGCTCATAAGCCTTCAGGTTGAGCACCTCCCTGCTAAATGCCGGCCAACCCATGAGTGATTGATGAAGGCGCTCAGGCTTGCCCACAACCTAGAGTTGCTTACCCTCTCCCACTGTCTCCCGTCTTCGAGCACAATACCCGCGTACGATTCCATTCCCGACAACGAAAAGGTCAAGCTTCCCCACCTGAAAGTTCTCGACGTTCATGAGCAGTCCTACGAGGAACTCGCTCACTTTGCCGCACACCTCAACCTTCCGATTGACACTCGCTGGCGTATTCGCGTGTCATACGACTACAAGAACGACAGCGAGGACGATATGCCCGTGGTCCCAACCGAAGGCCCGGTTCTGCCACCCTGGCTTTCTACCCAGCCGTTTACCTCATCGTCTCCTTCACGGTCCCTTGTCCTGAACCGGTATGAAGACCCGGACGAGGTTGCTTTCACCCTCAGTATGTATGACCACAGTTTAGAAGGACCCGAGTGGTACGACCCCTGGAGTTCCAGAGAAGACGAGAAGCTTCAAGCCAGCTTCATTTGGCCGTTCTCCAAAGAGGGCACCGACGGCCTCGTCCGCCATCTGCATCACCAGTGGCCCCTGTCAGACGTCCACACCCTCAAGCTGGTCGGGGATCTCGAGGACTCCCCCGACTCGGAATCCGGCTCGACGGACCCTTCGTTCTGGGCGGGCTTGTTACGAAATGCCCCGAGCGTGCGCCGTCTTTCGATCGGTTCTGGTTTCAGGGAAGATGGCCTCCGCAAGGTCTTCTCCGCTCTTATGCCCACTTCCCAGTCAGGCGCCTCGGTCGTCACCCCGCTCCCTCATTTGACTGATATTCATATAAATTTATTCTCAGACATTGAGAACGTAGAACCGTCCAGGGTTCGTGAGGTCCTTGCGGCGCGTGAGCGTTCAGGCTCAAAAGTAGAGATGACTATTGGATTGTCAGACTTTATGTGACATGAATTCGCTACACAAGGACGCAAAGGCTGTCGGTGCTGAGGAAGTCAATTTGTTATCGAGTCGAGCGGTATGTTGATGCGATTGGTGCTGAGCTGGTCGAAGATCCATATGTTGGTAGCTTAGAAGTTATAGAGGGTGGCCCGGGACAGTTGTTGGTAGTATGTAGTTGAATGAAACGAAATACTACGTGCACCACTCCGATTGAGGTCGATCCCTTGTGATGCTTTTATTTTTGTTGTTTATAGGACAAATAACGTTGAAAAGGCGTCTATTGTGCTGTTTCACTGATCTTCGCAAGCCCGGGTGTTCCGGTTTGGAGCGGCCGGCAAAGTCCGTATGGGCAAGCAACACGTACGTTCTGCCCTTGGTCCGCTGTTAGATAGATACCAAGATCCCACAAGTTTCGACCAGGCAATGTCATCCCATGGATCATCAGATTCTTTCGTGACATCACCTTCATTTGATCTGTCTGCAGAGTCTGTGCCATGGCATTCATTAACATTGCAAATGCTTCCAAATGACGTGCTGGAACCTATGCTTTTTTTCAGCCTCCCGGAGGGACCAACATATCAAGATTCCAACTCTTTCCCTTTCACTCTTCGTCTCGTATGCAAGCAATGGAAGGATTTGGTCGATATGTCTCCTCTACTCTGGTCTATATTGCACATCATGACTCCTTCTCGACCAACTGAACAGCTTTTATCGCATCATCTTGCTTGCATCGATCGCTGGTTCAGGCCGGACTGGGAATCTTCGATAACGTTTCATCTTCACGAGCAGCCTGGCAGCCATTTCTCTTCGGCTCGAGAGCACTTTCATCGCAGTATTTGCGAGAGGATCTGTGATCGTTATATAGATAGGCTTGAGGGACTCTACGTGACCGGAAGCGACGAGGTGCTATCCCTTTGGTCTGTCGTTTCCGCGGATGAAGCTGTCGGTAGACGACTCAAGGACGTTTCTTTCCGCCGGCTGGATCTTCGCTGGCCGTGGGCGGGAAACCGCAGAGAAGGACTACTCGACCTTCGCCGTGGCCCCACCTCTTCTTTGGTTATCAGGCATATGATTTCACGTCAATCTTTGGATAGTGCGAAGACAATAGCCGACAGATTCATGCACATCCCATGGAATTCCCTTTCTCACATCACCTTCGACGTGCGCATTGCTGAAAATCTCCACTCCCTATACGATGCTCTCTTGCGAGATATCGCATCGTTCCAGACCCCGTGTCTCAAAAGCCTCGTAGTACATGCTGGTATCATGAGAGAGAGCAGCTTGTACCGTCAGCTCGCAGAGCCGCCATTTGATATCATTCAACTCCCGCATCTTGAAGCGCTGGAGATCTTCATCAATAGGACAGAGCAGATTTGCATCAATTTCGTTCATTCCCTTAGGCTTCCATCCCTCAGACACCTATCCATATGCCAGGCGACGCCATCCGAGGAGTTACAATTCAAAGCTCGGCCTCCTTTTGTCTCGCTTGGCAAGATACTGCACGGACAAGCGTCGCTTACGACGCTACGCCTCAACGATCGCTTCCTAGACGTGGACGATCTTCTTATGGTTCTTCGCGAGAATCCCATTACCCACCTTGAACTAGCTATGTTTACGCGTTACAATGAGGTGCTCCGCCAGGCCATTCATGCAGAGTGGTCTGTGAAAACCCTCACGATTCGGATGGCTGTTGCGTTTGAGGTCGACACGATCGGGCAAGCTGTGAAGTTACGACTGGAGCGCGAGAAGGAAATCCGAGAACGCCCGACACTGGAGAGGGTCGTTGTTGGAAGGTGCCGCGACGACCTCAGCATTCGCGACAAGGACGATTATCCCGTACATTTTGGGGTCCCGGAGGACGCCAACCTGTCACAAGCAACGGATTGCGCCGTGTTGTGGTATTTTGACGAGGCGACGCATAACATGGCCGATAGATTGAAAGTCCTCAGGAGGTGAGGCGATGTACTCAGTTAGCACGAACGTATCAGTGGACACGTGTTAGCATGATGGGTGCCGGTGAACACGGAGATTTTAGACCGAAGCCTTGACGCTGTCTCTCGGAACCGAGAATTTATAAGCGCCGACCTCTTGAGTCACTGCATTCACATCAATCTTAACGTGTCGCATTTTCGTGCGAGACAGACACGAGTTTTCCTTCCCCACCATGAGTGTCGATGCGACAAAAACCTACCCAGCGCTCTTCGGTGACGGCAAAGGGCATTACAAGGTGCACATCGTCGGAAACTCTGGTGATTTTCATCCACGGGTAGCTCGCACTGTAGCCGTCATTAACCGCTTTGTGACCTAAAGGTGCGGGCAAGGTGAACTTTCCAGAAACATTGCATGCTCTGTTTTCGGCCAACTTCTACATGTTTTAGACTACTCTAGGGGAAGAGCTAGCCAAAATCCTCGGTGTTCCCCATCTTCCGCTGGACACGCTACAATGGGAACCAAACTGGACGCCCTCCCCCCGGGACAAGTTCCGCACTAGGTTCCAGGAGTTCCTCGACCAGAACCCCAACGGGTGGGTTATAGACGGGAATTACTACTCAGTCCTACGCGATTTCATGGAGAAGCACCAAACGGATGTGATATGTATGTACCTTAGGCGAAGGCCATGGCCTCGCTCCCTGATGTGCGGTGGTCGACCACGCTGACCCCAACAGGGCTGGACCCGCCATTCTGGCTGTACTTCCCTCGCCTACTTTTCCGCACGTTCAGGCGCTTGCTCGGGCTCGAGCCGTCGTGCAGTCCTGGCTGCGACGAAGATTGGCGCGAGGCATTCTTTTCAAAGGAAAGCATCATCTTGTGGTGTATCACCCAACATTCAGTGGTCCAAAAGCGCGAAAAGGCCAACATGCGCGACCTTGGTATTGAAAGCGGAGGTATCATGAGGAGGTTTGGCGGATGGGGTTATGCCCGTGAGATGGCAGACTGGAAACGAGAAATTGAGGTACTCATTAGGCGAGGTGAGCTTGGAGGTGAAGTCGGAATGTAGTTTTCTTCGCGTCATCGTACTTGCGTAGATCTTGTTTGACAGTCTCATCGGAAATATACATATTTTTTGACCATGACATGGTGCTCAGTGACTCGGACGTCAAGGACAAGCAGAAGCTAAGGGCAAGTGTGGTTGAGGCTGTTTTAGTTGAGTGCTTACCAAGTGTTTACTGCTCCGCACCACCGCGGCTCGGCTATTTCTCCGACATAACTCCTTGGGAGTGGACCGCGACGATGGCGACGTGTCTTGGATTTTTACAACGATGTACCACTACAACCTCCCGTGTTTCTGCTTTCAAAACGTACTCCACCCGCTCTACAATAAAAGTGAGCAGCTTTTGTTACACTTTCCCCGGTAGTATGGTGAATCAAAGACGCTTCAGTCACTACAGGCAGCATTTCGTGATCCGGCTTCCCCCTTTTACCTCGCTCCCGGTACCGTTGGTCCAGCCTCTCCCGACGAAATCCCTCTCGAATTCTCATCACTTCGCCCATTGACCACATCTAACCCAAACGAGCATGATACCAAGCCATACAAATCGTTATACCCAGACCACTTAGCTTCAGCGGAGGAGGCAAAGGCAACGTTGACATCTATGGGATACGATGCGGCGTCGCTTTTTGAGCAGAAGATTGTATGGGGAGACCACGATTCGTTTCAGCGAGTATCACTCTCTTTACCTGTTTCACCCCACTGACCGGGCCGAACCTATGCTCTCGTACGCACATGTAGACACGTCAACAATGTTCGTTACAGTGAGTGAAGGCGTCAGTTGTCTCTGGTTTCGGTGATTGAGGATAAACGGATGCCTCAGTCAGATTCTTTGAGTCGGTGAGTCCGGTGTTTCAGGCCCCGGCTGCCGCGTTTACGCTAACATGTCCGTCATGACCATTTGATGTGATAGGGCCGCATTGTATGGTTGCACGCTCTCGGACACAGACTGGGCGGTGCCCAGAAGGCGCAGAATATGACAACTGGCAAGGGCGTCTCGGTCATCCTCAAGTCCATCAACGTGAACTTCAAACGTCCGGTCGTCTTTCCCGATACAGTACGTCGCAACACCTTGCTACCTTTCTATCTAGGACACCACTTTAACGTCGGTCTCGATTGTCGTCGCTGGAAACAGCTTTTGATCGGTCATAGGATCTTCGCGCCCGGGCAGTCAGGTGTCGTTTCAACCAAGGCCTCACGCATGCAGTTCGACCTTGAGGCTGTCGCGTACTCGTACAAGCAGCAGAGGATCGTCACCGAGTCGGTTTCCACTCTCGTGTGGTACGACTACGACACGTTGAAGAAGTGTGATCCTGGTGAGAAGGCTTGGGCAGTGCTACATCAGCAGGAACCTTTGAAATAGTCTACGCGTCCTCTTCCAACGGAGGGTATGTATCGGTATGCCCTGGTATGCCGCATATCATCAAATTTCATTCATCAGTGGGGGTGAGTAGTGTGATGTACACAGGTATACCCCTGGAGATGCTCCCCGAGGCCATGGCAGCAAACGAACCATTGTCACAGGTTCTGACCAGCTTGACATAAATTGTCACCTCACCCACTGTCTGCGCGTAGAGGTTGATGCCCCCGCTTCATGAATGGGCCTGATCGAGTGCGGGGAACAGGACGTCACAAGGGTGCGGTGCCGATGCAGTCACATGGGGCACCATGCAAGAAGCTGAGGTTCTGGCTCAACAGTCCAGCGAAGCCCGAAATCGAAGCACCGTGGAACGCAGACAGACATAGACTGCAGGTCTCGGGTTTCAAGGCCAGTCTCGAGATCTGGGTGTCACATGGCTTCACAACCTTGTGCGAAGAGTCGCTCCCGTAGCATTTGCATTCGGGCTATCAGCTCGCCCTATGTGTTGGTATAGGAGATAGGCTGCCCGGAAAGTCGCAGAACGATCGCTCGACGGGGAGGGTTTCGGGTTTCTCGGTTAGGTTTCCAGGCACCGTACGACCTCATGCACGGCTGGGATCATCAGCTTGACGAACGTCGAAACGACAGTTAGATGAGGTTAGCTGTCAAAGTGGAGCGTACTATTGACGCTTGTGCGTTGGCAAGTCTGAACTTGGTTACTTACAGGCGCTCGCTCATTATTGTTTGGATGATGCATTAGCGCCTGTTTCAGCGTCTAATAGAGGACCTCCGAGCTGTGGTTATATAGGAGGTGTTTCAAGCGCAACGTGCTTGATCAGGCTTACTTTCTTCCATCTATCTTGGAACGTCTCCAAGGTCTTTAGTCACGCAGCAAAACATAAGCTCGTTCTCGGTTTTATCTCCGCGGGTCGTCCGCTCCCGGAACCGATACATGACAACGAGAAGATCAAAGGCGTCGCCGGACACGACTCGGACTCAGTAAGCTTGTTTCATCACTCGACGCTGCAGAGATCATGATCCTGTTCCCACCAAATGCTACGAGCAACACTCAAAGACGCACAGCAACATATGCTCGCCCCGATCAGCGCGAGGCCGCGACCATGTACATGACGATCGCAAATAAGATCTGTTCATTCGTTCCAGTCAACTGATCTTCCTCCACAAACTGACACTCATTCTACCATAAACGTCTCGGCTCGTTGGCTGGCACAACTTTCGTCAAGCTTGAGCGGTCATTACTTCTACGCGTATAAATATACCTCCACCACGATGGATTTGACCCTCACTTCCCCATCTCGTTCACCCTTCACCCTTCTTTGAACCCGCTACCGTTTCGTTCAACATGCGCTGGGTTGCTCCTCTCACTGTCCTCGCTGCCTGTGCTGCTAAGGCTGTTGCCGCCGACTCGTTCACCGGCACAAGCAATTTCTACGCCTACGCGCTGCCCAAGTCCGAGCAGCAGGCGCTTCTCCAGGGCATGTCTGACGCTGGAATGAAGGTCAGTTCTCTACCGTATCCGGTGACCGCTGGCAGCGTTTCTTATAAAAACTTGGCGACATTAGGTTCTCCGCACGTTCGTCCAGGGCGTCCCCGCCGGTCAGAAGGGCAGCGACAATATCCAGGTTAACGACGTTGAGGGCAACGGCATTGGCCAGTGGGACGACACCATCTTGAACGCCATCGACGAACTCATGGTGAGCGGTGCTGAATACAGAGACGAGAAACGTGTTTGACCATTCACGATGCACAGGTTCTCGCCCAGGGCTACGGTGTCAAGCTGCTCATCTCCATGTATGACAAGAATACGCTTGCTGCCGGTGGCCCCTACAACGCCAAGTACGGCGAGTCTGGTTTCTACACCAACTCCGACGCCCTCTCGGACTATAGCAACGTGCGCTGGCGCGGGTTCTTATTCTATACTGAACGTTGGCTTACACTTGTCTGATAGCGTATCACCTACATCCTCAACACCCACAAGAACTCTCAGGCCAACAACCAGCCATGGTCCGAGCTTGGCGACTACATTTTCGGTTATGATGTCATGAACGAGTGAGTGCCCCGGGCGCACTGTAAATGCATAGCCTAGCTGACTGGCATTCCCGCTGATGGATAGACCCATGATCAACCAGGGCGCCTCCTTCTTCGAGTCGAACCTCGACTGGGTGTGCAACGTCGCCAAGCAGATCCGCGGCAACGTCGGCGATGCGAACCAACTCATCTTCACCGGTGGCAACTCCGCGGGTGTCTCCGTCCAGGACCGCTTCTTCGAGTCGGACTGCGCCATCGACGCCATCGCCGTGCACGACTACACCGACGGGTACGATTCGTACCTCCCCGACGCCATCTCCAAGGCGAACAGCGCGGGCAAGAAGCTCATCATTGAGGAGTGGGGCTCACTCGTCGGCGGCGACCGTGACTCGAACCTCCAGTCTAACGTACAGAAGATGAACCAATACGGCGTGTCATGGATCTACTGGGAGCTCATCACCAATACCGACCCCAACCAGGGTGAGGACTATGAGATTGACATCGGTGGTGATGACTGGTCTACGATCCAATCCCTTGCCAAGACTACCGCAGGAACGACTGGCGCCTTCGATTTCTCTGCTTCCCTTTGATTTGATTTGGAACTAGTTGCACATACTTAAAGCCCTTCTTCAGGGTATACTTACAATGCATCGCGACATTACGCAGTAGACACGGCGTGCTTGGGTTTTGGATATAACTTATAGGGATAAATATGTTATTTTCATTGAATCTGAATGTCGCGCGAGACTGACGCATCTACAAATAACTTAAAAAGGGTAGATGTATGATCGCGACGACTGGTGAACGATAGAGATGAGGTGTAGCATCAAAAATACCCAAGATCGCGAAAATAATGTCCCTGGCAGGAATTGAACCTGCGGCGCCACGGTATTGTGCTTCCACAACGTGGCGATTTAACCACTAATCGACAGGGACTTAGCAAAGAAGCGCTCTTAATAGATTTCATAGACCTTTACGACCAGGGCCGCACCTGAACGGTCTCTCGCGTGACGTCGCCAGACGCATCCTTTCCTCTCCCCACCAGCCTCACATAGATACCATCCCCTTACCATCCCACCCACTTGCTGCCATATAGACAGGCGATCCAGAAAATGCACAAATTCTTACTCGTACCAGAACTCCTTCGTAACATCCTTTCAAATCTTGATCCCGACGACCGTACGTTTCCAGGACTAGCAAGAACATGCCGACTGTTCTGTGAACCCATCCTTACTCCACTGTTGCTGCCCTAGCGCATCTATCCATTAGAGATCTCTGGGCGATCAGATCCGAGCACTTTGTGAGCACTGTGCACCCCTTCAGAATGCTCAAGCCCTGCGCATAGACATAATGCTCATCGTGTCGTAGACCCTCGAACGCGCGATGCAGTCGAGTGATTGGGCAATTCTGAAGAAATACACTCACAGGATTCGATACTTGTAACTTCTGGAGCCCACGCCGACTGTTAGTGTCGATCATGACGTTCTCACTCCCGTGCTCATTCTCTGCAAGCACATACTTCTTCCCAGCATCAAGCAGCTTTACGTCGCGGAGCTTGACAGTCCGGTATATCCATTCTTTCCTCTATTTGTTGGACCTCAACTGTAAGTCGCATATCTGGAAGATTTTAAGGGCCTCTTCACGCACGTCTTGTCGTGCCTCGCACAAGTCTGTTCATGCCTCAGGGTTGTAAATCGAGCCATATCCCCGAGCACGTCGAACAACCACTGTCTTCAACTACCCAGCGTTCTCCACGATGCTCTTCCAGGATTTCATCATGTCGAGACGATGCGACTGTCGACCTGCGTCGACATAGCAACACTCTCTTGTCGCAGCTACCCGAGATGGAGACTCTGGATTTATTCTTCGTTGCCGACCCAGCGGACATTCGGATTTCCAAGAAACGGTGCGCTTTCCAAAACTACGGACGTGGACAGTCCGCACTTGCGATCTCGGCGGCATAGATGAGCTTGTGGGTTCGGTTTGAGCTGTCGATTTATCAGCATACATGAAGGCTATCTCCAATAACTTGCCTGTTCATGGGTCCTACGCCATCACCTTCGAAAACTTTGCAGAAGACGCCGCAGAGCCCGTGAGTTTTGATGCAATCAGGGAATTCTATCGATTCAAAAGCCTCGCTGGCCTCGAGATCAACACGAGCGCGGTTCCATACTTAGACAACGCTTTGCTCGAGGAAGTGTCCCAAGCGCTTCCTCGCTTACGTTCGCTGACTATATGCGGGGCACCCGGATGGCACTCGAACAACAGCGTCACGCTCGCTGGTCTTGCTAGCGTTCTTCGCAACTGCACCGATCTTACAGCTCTCTGCCTCGGCGTAGACCCGAGCCGGACGTCTCGCGCGTCAGCGGCAGCTGCTGCAACACCTTGGTCACGTCATTGGGGCTCGCAGGCTCGCCTATCAACGACGCTACTTCGCTGCTCGCCACGTGGCCCGGATGCTGCCTCGGTTAGAGATCCTTTCTGGATCATGGGTGTGCATCAATAATCAGCGTCCTGGTGAGGAAGAAGCGGCAGGGAGGGAACGAGTCAGGAAGTGGCAAGTCGTTCAGGAGATGCTGTACGATAAGGTGCATCTGGGGAAGCAGCTTGAATAAATTGTAAGAGTTGATTCTTGTAGGCATGCATGAGAGGTTATAGTTGTAGGAATACAGAGAAGGCATATTTCTTGAACTTGGACGAATGTACATCGGCGTTTTCTTGTATAAACCCAAATAAAATTGACAAGCGCTGAGCGCATTCACTTCGTCCATTGAACAACCGATTCGGTAACAACATAAAATGTGTGACAATGAAGAAATTTACAGCCGCCTGCAAACCCAATCACAAGTTGGTCCGACCGCTCCAGCAACACGAAACGCCGTGCTGTTCTCCTCACTTCGCGCTCCTCGACGTCGACTGTGCAGCTGCATCATTCTTCCTCATCATTTGCAGAATGGCCTTTGCCTCCTGCAAATCGTCGTCGTCATGCATGCGAAGACCATACGACTCCATGAAGTGTTTCATGTCACGAAAACCGCCCTCCTTGATTATCTGGTAGTCGGACGCTTGTGGGAGGGCTGGTTGGAGCGTGGAGGCATGACTGATGGTGTAAAGACAGGGATTAGCACCCATTGAGTGTCGAGGAGGGTGAAGAACGTACGGTCGGATGGTTCGCCAAACTTTGGAGAAGAGCAACACGGCGCTGATGGATGGGAGGTGTCGATGAAGATGCGTGCACGACGCTGACGTATGGCGCGAACCTGCTGCCGCCGGCAATCTTATATACGTTGGCAAAAGCCAAAGTCCAAGTCAAATTCCAAGTCTGCGCAGTCGCAACATCTTCGGCACTCCGCTGAAATGTGATTCCATTTGCTCCACTCGTTGTTCGCTCAAGTGGGACAACAGAAAGTTCAAACTCGCAACCTAGTACTAGTGATTGTGTGCGTGCCTCTCGAAAACAGGCGGTGTCGGGAAAGATATACGTCTGACGCCTCCGACATGAAATGGGTACCATATGAGGTTGCACACCATACAGCGTGGCAGCAATTCAGGTTCGTCCCCGAGTTTCCTGTACCCGCTCATCCGCGCACGTCGCCTCGTAGATATACTGCTCTCTGAACGCATCGAGAATTGCCTTGGCCTCCTGCACGTCCGCGTGGTTTTGGATCTTGAGGCCGTACGAGAGCATGAATTCGTTCATATCTTTGAATCCGCACTCCTTAAGGAGCTGCCGTTCGGACATGTTGGTCCACTGGCTGGCTGTCTTGGACCGGACGCGCATGATGTGGGGCGTAAAGAAGGTCTGCGCTGAGATTCAGCATAAAGTAGCGAGTGGGAGCTCTGATTGGGACTTACGATTATTCGTTAGGATGGTAGTCGTTGAGGGTGGTCGATGGAAGAAGAGGAAAGAGACACAAGGCGCTGAAGAAAACGGAGGAAAGAGGTGGGTTGGTCAAGACGTAAATCGGAACGTGATTGGAGGCGTGTTTATGCAAAACGAACTGCCGCTCACCATGGAGTAGGTGGTGCCGTAACGTTCCTATTCGTCCGTCGATCTCCATACGACCGCACCGCCGGCAATGCCAAAGCCACGAATATTAATTGACAGAGTCCAGGCAAGCTTCATCCGTTGACCTCGTTCCGAGGATCCGGGAGTTGGTGAGGGGCGAGATATAGTGCAGCACGCCGCGTGTCGACACAGTCGATAGGGGGCTGTTCAGCTTCGTTTGTAATGCGGGGTTGACTCGAGACCTCATAACAACCTCGTCGCGCCTCTTAGGCTGTAGCAAGGGGTGTGTGGGGAAACGTTATCACAATCATGGGATACCTCACAGAACTTGGCGAATCCTGGACAGAAGACTGATCAACAAAAGAGGAGAGCAGGCAACGAAAGCCATGCAACGTACGGAGATAGCCCGTAATAGACGCTCGCCATGGGAAGCCTTCTGGTGGCCAAAACATCAGCCACTTGCGATTGACCAGGATAAAGAGACGCTTGCGAACTAACCCTGCCTAGCTAATCTGTGGCTGAATTGCCTCTAGAGGATGAGCGATTGCGTCAAGAAGGGACAGGCGGTGGAACATGCGGAGTTGGCAGACCCGTCACTTGACAGTCCATTTATGATCGGCTGGATATCCGAGTTGTATCCTGTTGCATCCGAGGCTATGTCGGAACTTTCTGAAAGTTATTACTAAGCATTGTAAACCATAATGATGGACGGAGCCATCGCCAAGCATTATCATGAAAGGTTGATTCCATGAGAATTCGTACACGGCCAGAGGTTGGGGATAGAAATATTAGGCCCACGCGTTTGATACCGGGTTGGAGTGTTGCCGGATGAGCCAAAGACCAAATATGGATGTCCAGGTTTCAACGACTGTGTGAACGCGACAAAGATACACTTAGATAGATGAACCCAGTGCAAACCGCCGCGCGGATGACCCAAGGACATTCATGACATTATGCCCCAAGACCATCATGCTCGCAGGCATGACGCGCTGTCCCGACGCGCTCATGGCTCTCACCTTTATCAACAAGCTCGCCCGCCATGTGCATGACACCGATGCCTCTTCCCCAGCATGTCGAAATGCCGAATGAAGATGAAATCAGTATCACTGAGTCCGAGGATGACGATCTGTTTATGGGCATCGTTCAGGATACTCCGAAAGAAGATGAAGGCAGCGAAACAGAATCCGAAGATGAAGGAGAATTTATGGAGTTCGTCAAGGGCCTTGTGAGTGCTACGATCATATTGCAATGCGGTCACTTTGCTCACTATTCAATCTAAGGGTGAGCACCACGCGAGACTGGTACGTGAAGTATGCCTGCATGACAGTATCGCTAATAATGTGCTATATCTACAGAAGCAGAGACGTGTAGCTGAGGATGTGAACATGGTGGAATATGATACTATGGAAGAGAGCGACCGAGAGAGCATTGAAGACGAGGAGTACAACGCGGATGATGAGAGCGAGACTATGGGCCTTGACACAGACATGCTGTTGGACGACAACGAGAACGACGACATGGACCTCGACATTGGCACCCCTGCCAGTCAGATCTTCCTCGCTCAAACCCAAAGCCTGTCAGCATCGCAGCTTTCGCTTGTCAGAGGTTTCTTAGACATATTTACGCAGTAATAGTACTTTATAACAAAATCTTTGGTGCCCGAGAACAAAGCCCTCGATGCCATGCAGTATACACTGGGCTCGACAAACCCAAATCGGATCCCCCGGGCCGTGGGGACGCGACGCGACGCGGATTGGACTTAGACCAACGACGCGTCCGAATAGACCTTGTTTAGACCGTGGGCGCCGTGCCACTGCAGTCCATCTTCGTTGATTCGCCTGACTCTGCCATTGCACTTCCCTCTCAACCCACCACCAACGCACCCGTGCGGCTGGACAAGTCTCCCTTCACTCCCTTGTGTCATCCTCCCCCTAGACTATAGCTGACCATGTCAATGCCATGCAGTGACGAAATGAGGGAGATGGAATTCCAGAAACCTCTCTGTAAGTTATACGATAGTCTCTTGCAGAAGCTCACATCTTATTTTCGCACAGACTGGCAGGCCGGAGAGGGCCAAAACTACGGTAAATGGCGCTGCACTGCTTGCGGCACATCTTGGTGGCCTCTCTATAAGGCTCGCCGACACGAAACTTCCAATGCCCATGTCATACGCGTTGAATACCTTGAGGAGGAAGACCAGCGACCTCCCTCACCGGCTCTTCCCCGAGTCCTTGGTCCACTTGCTCAGACGCTGAGACTTGCGGCCCAGGCCCAGCGACCTGCCTCTACTGCTGCTCCCCCTCAAGCCCCCCTTCCCACTCCTGTTTCGCCTCCACCGGCCCCTGTAGCCCCTCCATATTTCAGCAGCGATGACGACGACATGGACCCTGCACCATTCATAGATGTTGATCCACTGGAGCACGGTGGGCTTCAGGACGCTTTCCGCGAATGGCTGGAGACAGCATCGACCAACTCGGACACTTCACAGGAGCTGCGAGGAGATGAAGATGAGGGGATAGGCCTTAACACGGGAGAACAAAGCGACGGTAAGCCTGATGGCTCATTCTGTAGTCCCTGTACTCACACATCACGCTTCATTTGCTCAGATGCAGATATCTTCACTTCAGCGGAGGGTGCGCGACGTCAGCGACGGGGTGCGGGAGCCGAGGGTGACCCGGACTGGTTTCTGTGGTATGACAAGGAGGTACGCATCATACAACCTGAATTTTGATGCATGATTAACAACCTGTAATGCCACTAGACTTGTGTATTGGATATCCTTCGTCACCTCCCCCGCTCCCTCTTCTCCGACAAACAGCTAGCCACGATCTTGTGGGCGATGGCCGTCCTGAAAGTAGACGACCTTCCGTCAGTCAACGCTGTCAAAGACACCGGCGCTGCTATACATTCTCGCTATGGGCTGCCTACCCTCCGACAGCAAGGGCGTCTTGGGCACGTATATTACATCAATGAACTTGCTTCGTTGATTGCTCAGGTGCGACCAGCGCCGTCTGTTATCACTGGTCCCTTAATATTGACGTGCACTTAGGAAATGTCTAACCCTCTAATCCGGCCGTACATTCGCCATTACCCTGAAGATTCGGGCCCTCGTCTCAGCGAAGCATGGCAAGGTCAACACTGGCTGCGTGAGATTGATCCGGAGCTCTGCACCCCAATGATCCGGATGGGCCGCCAGGATTTTTATGTTTTTGAACCTGCCAAACTCGCGAACGGGCAAGTTGTCGTCCCCGAGCGCTGGTATACTCGCAAAGGCCCAGATGGCGTCGACAGCTTCTACGCTCGCGTCTGGCCCACGACCATCACGTCTCTGCCCACGGGCGTGGTCGGGTATACAGTTCATCAGGATGCTGCCCACGAGATCCCAGCGAGTCACCTCCTCACGTCGTTCCCTGTGTTCAAGAACTCTCACGTGCGCGATGGGTTGCCAGATCCCAGGGCTATTCTCGGTGAGCCGCCTTTTGCCTGTCCATTTGCCTGTCGAAATGCTCGCACTAACTTAGTTGCTGTAGGGGTTGTTGACGGCCACCGGTGCCTTGGCCCTTGGACGTTGACCAGACCCCAGGATGGAAATCCGTGGAGAACGCGTGCAAAAGGCCATCGTGTCGTGAACTTCATGATGTGGTTATATTGCGACGACACTTCGGGTAATGTTTCCAAGAAATGGAACAAGCATAACTCATTCCTCTTCACCGCGGCCGGCTTACCTCGTTCAATGGTTCATCAGGAATCAAATATTCATTTCTTGTGTACCTCCAATGTCGCGCCGCCCCTGGAAATGCTTGATGGCATTGTCAACCAACTCGAGTACGTGTATTACTTCATTTGCGAGTCACACTGATCCTGGTTGTAGGCATGCACAGTCACACGGCATATGGGCGTGGGATGTGAGCAACCAGGAAATGGTGCTCGTCATCCCTGCGGTGCTAGCACTTCTTGGTGATAACCCGATGCAAAGCGAGCTGGCATGTCATATCGGCATGAAGGGTAAATATTTCTGTCGTAACTGCTGGGTCAAGGGCCATGATGCCGCTGACAACCCCGAACCGCCTCCACCGGACCTGGCACCCCCACAGCCACCTCTGCACCCTCCTATATCCCCTCAAGGCCACGCCTCTCCTCCTGGGTCTTCACGTGCTAGTTCACCTGCGTCCGATGCCAGCACAAGCGCTACACCAAACAGGCGCCCACGCAGGGTTGTCAAAGAGACATTACAAGGTCTTGTCGACCGTGCGCACCGTTTCTTAGGGGTAAGTGAGGTTGTCTCTCAACAACTAAATTTGCTTATTGTGACCTTTATACAGAACAATCGACCTCGGACGCGTAACGAGAGTCTAACAAAGCTTCGGAGTATGTTCACAGACAGTCAAGCTGCCGGTGTGAAGTCCCGTTATGCCTCCGCAAAAACGAAAAGTGGTCTCAAGGACGGCTTTCTCGACCACTTCCTTCATCGCCTCTTTTCCGTTCCCACTGGACGCCAACGGCAAGAAGCTGCGGCCCTTTCAGACGGACTAACTGACCATGACATCCTGCGCTCGTACTTCAGCCCCGTATGGCGCGTGAAAGGTACACTCTCATATTCAGCCACCACTCGTACTCACATTTCTATTCTTATGACCAGGGTTAGATCCTCACCGAGATACCCCCATCGAGATCCTGCACGTTGTCTTATTGGGCTTCGTCAAATATCTCTGGCGAGATGCGGTTAATCGGCTCAGCGACACCCAGAAGGATCTCCTGGTGACTCGACTCAACGGCATTGATACAACCGGTCTTGGATGCCCCCGCTTAGCAGGCGCGACATTAGTCAAGTATGCCGGCTCACTGACTGGACGGGATTTCCGCGTCATTTCACAGGTCGCACCCTTTGTGCTTTGTGGCTTGGTGCCTGATCGATGTTATGACACTTTTGTCGCACTGTCAATGCTCGTTCCGCTCATATGGCAGCCGGTGATCGAGAACATACACACATTCCTTGTAAGTGCCAACCAGTCTTGTCCGTCATTGTGACACTTAACCATTTGCTAGCCTCAACTCGAAGCAGCGGTTGAATACTTCCTGCTCTGTACGGCCCGATGGACACCACGCTGGTTCAACAAACCCAAATTCCATCTTATTCGCCACATCGTCGATCATATCCGTCGATTCGGACCCGCGATTCTCTTCGCCACCGAAGGCTTTGAATCTTTCAATGCCATAATCCGTGACTTCAGCGTACACAGCAATCGGTTGGCCCCTTCACGAGACATCGGTAAGGGCTTTTCCCACTGCAGTCTAATCCGGCATGTTCTCGCAGGGGGATCATTCATGCAGCGCGCTCCCAAAGAGCCGGATTCCGATAATCATCCACTGCCCTTCAATGACGACCCGCGGGCTTGGCGTCGTGCCGGTCGCCATGTCCTTGCCCTCACTTCTCCGCAATCAGTGGGGCCCGTGAAGAATGCGATCATGGCGGCCTTTCATTTGTGGAATGTTGATGAAGCCCCCATACCGGGTTTGTGTTCCAGTGTCTTGTGTTTTCCTGCTGCTGACAGTGTTCAGGTCTGGCAAGACACGACAAAACGCGTCCTCGCCCTCCCATGAGGACTTTGACATACAACCGGTTACCAGGGGTGCTAACAACCCTCGCAGGTTTCGAGGTTCAAACATGTCAATCGGCGCAGGCACGGAATGGTGATACCTGCTCCGTTTCGACTTTCGTCCTTGTCGCCGACACTGATGGAGACGCCCGACCCATTATTGGACGTATCGCCGAAATCCTCCAAGTCTGTAATACCGCCTCTGCCGTCGACAGTCTGGCAGACTACATCCTCCTTGAGGAGTTTGTGAGTCACGGGGCAGCCGAGCCTTACAAGTTGCCTGCCATTGTTTCGACAACATGGCGATTGGTTCACGCAATGGTCAGTGGACCTCGGTTTCCATATCGGCATTGCAAATTAGACGACTAATCCTGCATTTCACAGAACCTCCTCTGCCTCGTAAACGCACAGCACAATTGCGCGCGCGCACGCTGCACTGACTCTGGATTGGAGCGAATCCGTGAGGAGCGAGAGCTCACCTCTCGAACTCGTCGAGTGGTGGTGCACCAGGATAATAGTCACTTTGTCTTGAACACTTGCCAGATGCGAGACGCGGTCCACGTGCAGCGTCATCGGATTGCACCAGCACCTCTCGATCGTGCGCAGTGCATCATGGCAGGAGCCGTTGACGAATTCAATTCCCAACGACGGGTGACTCACCCAACGACCCAGGTCTCGCAAGCACCATCCCCTCGATCACTCCCACAGCCACTCCCTCGTTCGCGGTTGAACGTTGTTGCTCTGATGCCTTAAACATGTGCGTCCGCTTTCTTTTTGGCAGAAAGAGCTTGATTATTTCACTCACCCTCGTCGTTAACGCAGCGAACGTCAAAATCTGATAAAAGGTGACCATTTCTCTCATTTTTGCTCAGCGCACCAGCCCCTTCGCTCACCCACTGCATCTCCACCATGAACGCAGACGACCATCACATTCCCCACACGCACCAGAGCATTCCACTCAATCGTTCGCACTCCAGCACCCACTCCATTCCCGACTCCTTGCCTTCATCACACCACTCCAGCCCCCTATACTCCGATTCCCCTCTTTCTATGCCCCATGACTCTTCTCTCCGGCGCAGCTCATCATCGGCAACCTCAAACATGTCTTGGACACCTGAGGCAACAGACGCGCTCCCTGCAGACCCTGTGTTTCTCAACAACATTGCTGACCAGCTTCGGCATCCCGAGCACTTTACTAACAGGTGGGCGTCAGAGATCACTGACCAACCCACTATCCCCCATCCTCTTCACTTGCCGGCCTCTCGTTGTGGTGACGATGATCGATCCGACGACGAGCACCTTGTCTTTGGTGCTATGGGCGCTCCCCGGGTGCCCAAGGTTTCCGAAAGGCTAGGTGAAATGAAGAACTGGGCCGAGTCAGTGGCAAACACCAAGAATCTGGACGGCTCCCAACGTGAGGACCTTGTCTCTCTTGTTGAGGTATCTCTGCTTCCTTCGTAGTGATATAGCCTACTAATGTGCTCGCTTCTAGCTTGCACAATCTCAGTCGGCGCCCTTGGTCCAAATGTTCGTCTGGTCGACAGCTTGCCAATACGACAGTCAAAATGAGATTCGTGGGGCGCGTGAGGAGGGGCGACGTCTCTTTCCACTGGTGGAAAAGCTTTTGGAGCAGCTGGCAGCAGCTTGGGACCTGTCGAGCGGTCAGAAGGAAAGTCGTATCCTATGCTGTTCCCAGTACGGTTGCTCATGCCCAGTTACAGACTCAAATTCGCCGTCATATCCGTGACTCCATCTTCACTCCAGGGCGAACGAAGTTTGACACGCTGCAGCACAATATCATGGTATGTGTTGCTATATTCATTCCCTCTCAGATCAAATCGTATAGTTGACGTGTTTACGTCTTCAGGATTATCTGAGGAAAGAGGCTGACTCTTATGGGCTAACGAAGGCGTTTGGGGACAAGGTCTCCAAAGACGTGGTGACGAAGTTTTGTAATCGAGCGAGCGGGAAGGTCCGCAACAATTTCAGACAAAAGGTACGGTCTACGTCATGTCTTTGTATTCACTTTCCGCTCACGTCGCCTTAGATTATCGCGGGATTGTTTCCGGAGAAGGGCAAGCCCCTCGCGTTGGACGAGCACACGAAGAGCCTTGCAACCACCTTCAAGAAAAATTCCGCAAGCGGTCTCACCATCGAGCATCACCTTCAAGTCTTGATCCTGGTCGGTGTCTCGCATGCTCCCTTGCTCGCGCATATCCTCCTGACATTAACTTGCTTCCCCCTCAGCGCCACTATGCCAAGGACCACAAGTATAAGAAGTCCGACGACAAGGATGACACCAACGATAACGACAATGAAGACGACGAGGATGATGAGGACGACGACGACGATGAGGACGACGACAGGAACGCACGCGCCGGCCGACGTGCTCCGTCTCGACGCCAAGGTCGTCGCTCTTCTCCACCAGCCGGTCGTGTCCCCAAAGACAAGGCCTTTTGGCCATACATAGAACGTCGCTTCGCTGAGTCTATGAAGAAGTTTGGTAAAGAAACTAAGAGCAGTGAATGGAAGCAGTGGGTAGTCCTCGCATGTCGCTCTATCATCACGACTAATGCCGCATTCTAGATTTTATAGCAATATTTTTGCGCAGGATGAGGCGACTTATGGTCGCTGCTCCATCTCCCTTCCCGAGAGCTTCCCCGCACCCGAACCTAGTAGCTCTGTGACCGTTGCGACTTCCTCAGAAGCTCATCGTGGTCGGTTCCGAAGCCGCGTCAGATGCGCACCACGTCAGCAAGTGCAGCCCCATCACCTGCTCCTGGACCGGTTGTGGCGGCTCCACCCAGCACGTATACTCTCCCTCCTTCGACAATCGCGGTGGCTGCGCCACCTCCAAGACCCCGCACGAGTGGCCGCAAGCCCAAGAAGGTCCCCGATAATGCTCCGCAGGTTCCTGCTGGGCCGGATGACGGTGGTGCGGGCGAGGGGAGGCGGCTGCGTAGTAAGCGTTCACCTAATGCTTAGTGTTATCATGTCCTACAGTGTATTACTATACTTACTCTTTTGCAATGCATGTGCTATTACGACGTCTACCGATTTCTATTCTTTTTAACAACGTTTGTAACGCGTTTCGATAACTGTACTTGGTCTTTTCCGTGTATTACTACGATTCTAGCTTCATCCAAGATGTGTATATATTGAGGTGCATATACTATGAGTGTAACGGTCTCGTAGAGTAGTGGAAAGTATGCACAGTAAGTCTATCACTAAATATAACCAAAAAGTTGTAAGTTCGATTCCCGCTAACACCACTAATAATTCATCAGGACGACTAGACTACAAAATATAAGCCAAGTTGTAATAGTTGAATAAAATGGTCGCGACGCGACCTCTCCTTTTTCGGTTCCCTGAGAATGAACCCCAAGTCATAAAAATGGATAAAAATGCCGACCATTCCGATTGGCCCGGGCCCATTCCAATGGCTGTCAGCCGCATAGTTACACGGCCAGCGTCTGAGTTCAACCTTGGATGTGCCAAGGTGAGGTTGACCGCGGGTGCAACTACCGACGTACCTGAGGACAAACACGGGAGAATGATCCTGACTGATTGTAGCCGTCAGGTCTGCCCACGTTCATCCCAGGATAGCACTGGGGCATCCAGCCACGGCATTAGTAAAAGAATACTCAGGGGCTTTTCCGTTTTAGTTTATGTTCAGTTTATTATCAGAATCGCGAAATATCATTCATTGCTTCGTCCCGCGAAGCGCACGTAAACCAGTACAAGTACTATACATATCAGAAGCGATACCCTAGAGGGTGGGAGGTCGAAGGTCCCACTTGTGGTACAGTGGAACTAGAACGCGAGCCTGAGGTTGACGACATGGGTCCCGACCTTGCAAAGACTGGTGGAGCGGGGCTGGGCATATGAGATGACGAATGAGAGCGATGGATTTGTCCCCGCAGAGAGGGGAGCGGCGGAAGCGGGAGGGCTCGTCAAAATTGATGATGGGGAACCAGACGATGCAGCTATATTAATAGAGCTCTGCTGCCCCCCAATCGAGAGAAGGTTGAGCTGGCGGTCAAGAGCCGCAATCGGATGAGGATCCGACACAGAGGGTGCCGGAGCCTCGGGTCGTGGCCCAGACGAGACAGAAGGTAATACAGAAGCAGCAGGAGGGGGAACTTGGGCCTGAGGCCCAGACGAGACCGATGGCAAGATCGTGGGCGGTAGCTCGGGCGAAGGACTTCCAAAGGGAGCCTTTGCAGGTGGTGAAGGGGTTTTGCGGCGTTCTTCCCGTGGAGCTGCCAGCTTCGCGAACATCTCATCAGCGTAAGAAGGCTGAGGATCCGGCGAAGACGTGGTGGCAGCGTCAGCAGAGTTCGTCTGCAGGCATTCGACATCCCACACTCCAAAGACATTCGCAGCCCATTCGGCCATGACCTTGCTGCTGAGGAACTTGTACCACAAGTCGTGTCGCTTTGGCCACATGATCTGGGTGGATTTCCCCTTGACGTTGAGCGAGTCGTCCGGAGTCATACGGTGTACAACCTGATAACAGACTGATAAATAAACTGACTAAATGCAAATCAATAAGAATATGCACCGCGATCGCGACGTTAGTGATAAAGCCAGCGGGAATATGCTTAAGGTCCCATAACTCGCCCTTTGGGGTCCGTCCGCCGGATCCGCCTCGAACGCCCAAAACCGTCGGCCCGAATAAGATAAGGCGCGCAGCCTAGAATAAAACGAACCAGATGGATCAGCACATGATAAAGGTAGGCGTGCTATCAGCTCACCCTGATCAGCACGGGGGCCATGAAGCACTCCTCCCAGTCCGGATTGTCGGGATCAGCATGTAGAATACGAGGAAAGTCTGGGTATGGGTTCTTCGCCTCCTTGGGATCAGGGTTTGTGAGCAGAAAGCAGACTCGGGGATGTTTCGCGAAGGCGTCGGCGTTGTTCAGCGTCTCGGTATCGATGCCGAGACCGGTGTAGATTTTGGCCATGTTGTCTTTGATGGCTGATACGAACGTGCCGTGTTCGCTGTTCACGCCTTCTGTAAACTATGGCAGCATCAGCATCCCGTTCGTAAACATAGAAAGTAGATATCTTACCTTAGCACCGAAGTTCGTGTACTGTATCAGAGGCCCCGTACGTATTTTCGGCTCCAAGAACCTCACGAGGTCAGTAATAAAGCCCCGGAGCTGGAGATTGTCAGTAGTCCACCTCTCGGGATCGGCAGGATCGATGAGCTCGCAGGTTGCGGGAAACAGGCGATCCGGTGTCCAGAGACGGAGAAGGACACAGTACTTGCGACCGATCGTCTTGATCAATATTTCGAGCGGCTCTAGGGCCGACTTCCTCGCCGAGGATGAAGCAGACGAGCGGAGAATACGGTTCTCTCGCTTGAGAGCCTTGTTCTCGACTCGGAGCGGGATGTACTTGTGAAGTACCCGCGTCAGGGTCTATACAATAGTTAGCATCATACATTAGTTTTGATCCATACAGCGATGACTCACTAATCGCAGCTCCTCCTCCCTCGCCGTCAGAGGGTTCACTTGGATGATGGTGAGGTGCTCCCGCTCTTCCTCCTCATCGTTGTCGTCAACGATGTCGTTGATCTGATCACCGAAGTCCTCGACTGGCACGCCGTTGGCCATCGTCGAAGAGGAATATGAGTGAGCAGAGACAGACGGGCTTGAGAGAGGGAGCGGACAGAAACCTCACCAATTTTATACCAGCTCGCCATGGCTGCATCAGCCATCCTCTGTACATCACTGAGATGGGAATATCGAGGTTTTTAAAAGGGGAATCAGTACGATTTTTGCAGCGGATACTTCAGAGAAAGGCAACTTACAGATTGGCCTTCTAGTTGATGATCCGGCAATCAAAACGTGAGAGGATGCAGTTGGAATGCGAACCAGCTGTGTGCTCACCTGCGTATTCTTGTGATCAAGAGGCCACTCGTTTGGAGCCAAATTGCGACAAGAGAGAAGTGCTAGTGAGAAAAGGCTCATCAGATAAGACATCAGATTAACTTAAACAGGAGAAAAAGCACTCACGGGCCTCGAGGCTGAATAACGCCGCCTCTTTCGAATGAACATCGTGTGCACAAACCGTTCATGGGGCGCAGAGCTTCCTAACAAATCGTCAAACAAGTTCCTTCATGGGACGTCCGTACGATTTGAGGCGAGATCATTCCCGAGGTGCGTGATCACCTGAGAGCTTGGCATGCATCGCGAGTGCGATCAACGCGTGAGCGCAAAGGGAGGTACGTTTGATGAAGTGACCGGCGAATATGAGGTGGTGGGGCAAAGGGAGGTACATTTGATGAAGTGACCGGCGAGTATGAGGTGGTGGGGGAGATGGGGCTAGGAAGTTGGGAGTTTATGAAGGCGTGCGCGGAGAGGCACTCCCGTGAAACTTGCGCGTGAGACCGTTCAGGGGCATAGAAGGAGACAGGATAAAGTGTAGACGAATATATGGAGGAGGCAGGACTGGGGAAGCCATTGTTGGAGGGAGGATGGCGAGTGCATGGGAGGGGATATGCAGCTAGGGGATACAAGGATGCATACAGGCTGAGAGAACTGATGAGCATGAGATGAGAAATAGAACGGCGTGAGATGGGATGGGACGAAATGGGGAGACGAGAGGATAGGAGAGGAGGGCGGGCCAAACGTGGAGAGAGAGTTGTACGCGAAGGAGGTCTCCATGAAGCTGAGGCGCCAGAGGTGCTCGAGGAGCGTGGCATTGGCATAGAAAAAATCGTGGTGGTGTGGCTCTTGAACTGGCACTGAGAGTGGTCGCGAAGGAAGGTGAGGACCAGAATAATGGCGAAGGGAGCAACATGGAGGCTGAGCTCGTCCTTGAGGACAGAGAACTGCTGGATGAACTTGGGGAGACACTGCATGGTCAGTGCACATCTGGGTGTAGGCGACTCGGTGTACTCACCTTTGAGGGAAGAAGAAATCTGCATTGCACGAGTGAAGGCGGGATTGCGCGCCCTGCGAGCGAAGGGAGAAGTTGACTAGAGAAAGGCGCTGGTCCAGGGCCCCTTCATTCGAAGGAAAATGTCGCCGTCAACGTAGGTGTTGATGAGATACTCTTCAGCGCGGTCGAAGTCGGGGCTCAGAAGAACACCTCGGACAAAGGAGTCAATAGGGATGATTATTGCTTGATCGCGTGGGCAGGCCTTCACGCGAATAAAGTTCAAGTCGTTGTCGACCTTAGAAACATTGGCGGCGTCATTGAGGTCGGGCGTGTCAGTGTACGGCTGCACAAGTGCCGCCGAGAAGACTTCGGGCTGTGGACTTCCGTTGGCATCAAATGTCAGCACGAAGTCAAATAACATGATAAGTCGGACCGCTGCTACGGTCTCCGGGGAGATCTTTGCGAGAACGCAATCATAACGCGGCTCGTTGTAGAACATCGGGCTACAACGCAAGTAATCAGTGTGGGTCCTCCACGTTTCGTATGATTCGTAGTTGAGTTTTAGAAAACAGTACTCATTCATCTGTGGCAACATGTCAGCTCGAGAGCGAAGTACAAGGTTAATGATGATATTACCATGAAGTCGTCTGGGATGGTCAGCGGTTCTGCTAGCTCGATCTCGAGGTCGGGGAAGAGTGAGAGGTTAATATAATCCTCGAAAAGGTGATGAAAGTCGGCGAATGCAATATCTTCGCCACCCTTTGAAACAACAAGCTGTTGAATCGTCTGAGGCTTCTGGGGCGAGCCCAAGTGATATTGCCAGCTGAGGTCGGCCTCGTGCGTTGGTGTATCGTCGCTGTCCTCGACACTGACCCGAGACTGCAAGCGACGCTTGAGCTCATCCTGCCGGTCAATGCGTTGCCCGAGGACAGCGAGAGCGAGTCTGTGGCTATCGACTCGTAGAATCTACCTGAAGTTAGCAAGAGCGAGGAGATTATCACTAAAGCTACGCACCTGCTTAACAAAATCCTTGCCGTTCGAACGATTTTCATAAGATTGCTTGAGGGGACCGTGCATAACTTCATTTACTCGGGTGGTAGAGTTACGACTTACTCCTTTCTGGAGAATGTCGTTGAGGAAATGGAAAAGGGCGTGTAACTTGGGGAAGTTCCAGTTTATCTTGATCTTTGGTGTTCGGCCTTGCTCCAGTGCAATCTGTGCTTCGAGGAGGTACTCCTGGTAATACGATGATGATATAGAACATAAGTAGAGGTAACAGAAAGTAAAAATGAAAGAAACGCGCACCTTTAACAAGTCACCGAACCGTGTCACCTCCTCGCGTGCCGCTCTGATCGTCTCCTCGGTATGTACATCGAGAGAGAAGTAACAGTCGAGCTCGAGATAGCTCTGGATGAGTCTCAGAAGCTTGTACCCCTCGGGTGAATATGACGGCGTCAGGATATTATACGCAGCGAATAGAACTTGCTAGTAGTACATTAGCAATGAATTGATAATGATATGATCTCAAAGTACCTTCGAAATATCTCGAAATTTGTTGCCATCGCCGAAGGTGACGTTCGATATCTTCTCGAAATGCCCGAGTCCGCGCCATCGAGGGTGCCTGTCAATTCTGAATTGTTGGTGGATTAGCTTGCTCTACACGAAATAAGGTAATGCTTTAAGCAGTGGTGACTCACTGATGATTCAATTTCTTGATGTCTTTGCGGCTATTCTTTGTGCTGCCGAGGATCTTGAGCATCTCTGGTTGCTGATGCTTACCGTAGACCCCGAGGTGGAACGAGTGCAAGTGGTCGACGGAAATAGTGTCGGCGGGATCGGAAAAGCATAAGTCCCAGAAAGCGTTCTAGTCATTGACGTACTCAGCAAATAATAAAAGGGTAAAGTCGAGGGGAATACGTACGTTTACGGGTCTGAGACTCTGCTCGTCAAGGAGACTATCTACTTCTCGCTTCTCCTGAGATGTGATGTCGGCGTTGTTGTATCGACGAACCAGTGACATTGCTTCTTGTGCGGATCGCCGAGGATAATGCTGCGAGAGGTCATGCTGGAGATTGGAAGGTATGAGGCAGACAGGGCATGGATGCTTCGAGCTTGAACCCCGAATCAAAGTCATCATAGTCCTGTAAGGAATAAGAGAGTCAATGCAAACTCAAAGACAAACCTAGGACGTACTGCTCTTCGTAATCTGCTGATAAGATGAGGATGAGGATGAATAGCCATCGTGCTACGCCATCGTAGAGCTTTTCGTAGAGCAAACCGTTCTCTGAAACAAAGGAAGCGTTCTTGAAGAGCTGTCTGACTGAGTCGTGCCAGACAACACGCTTCAATGTTGTGTAACTAAGCAGGCCCTCATCCTCAGCGTTATCCTCGACCTCAAGGCATCGTCAGATATGCAGGTCAACCATTTCCGGAGAAACTGAGAGATACTCACAATTGGAAGCCAACCAACAAGACAACCTCCACCGGCTCCGCGACCGTTGCGAATATCGACCGGTAAGTTTGCACACCTTGCTACCACAGGATAGCCTTGAACGTTTCCGGCGCTCGACAGCCTGGTTTTGTCAGCATACAGAATGAAAGCGAACGGTACCGAAGGATTGCCGTCCTTCTTGTCCGGTAAGGCCGTCTGTTATCGAACGACGGTTCGTATTTATACGCATCATCGGATATCAAATGTGAACATACCTGTATGTCCCACCAGCGGTCAGCCGTCCAAGGCTCGTCGATGTAGCGAACGTAGTCGTTTCCGTTGTGCTTGTATTGACGCTGAGCATCCCAAACAAAGTGGGGAGCTAGCGATTCGTTTTCGAGAAGGTCAAGGGCCCAATCCATGAAGTCTCTTGCATAGAACTCGTGATGGAGCTTTTCGCCCTTGTAGTCTACGTCGACCGGATACAACGTGAACTAGCAAAGCAATGTTCAATTCGAAGGTACACATTTGTGGGTTACATGTATGCTACTACTCAATAACTCGAAGCAAGATACACTAGACTTACCGGCGTGTACTCGTGAGTCGCCTCATCGCAACTCTCTCTCACTTGTCTGACGGAGTCAAAGGTAACTTGAGCATCGCCGGTCTTGATGTCTTTGATAAGCCGGAGAAGCCTTGTCACCAAGGAGTCGGACATCTCGGCATCCACAGCGATGGACGCGAGCTCGCAGTCACCACGGCTGCGGAAAGGAGCCCATGGACAATCGTCTAGTTCAACGTCTGACCGTGGAGGGGGGCGATTGTACTCCTCGTATGAGTAAAGTCGAGAGGGGCGACCGGACTTCGGGTGATATAGGGTTTGGAAAGGGGCCGTGTCGGTCTGGGTGGATGGGCGGCCAAAGGTTGTGAATCGTGAACGGCTGCGCGAGGACGGAGCGGGAGCGGGAAAGGCTCCACCGGAGCTCGACGCTAGGGAGCTCGATCCTACAGAGTAAACAAACCGAGGATTTAGCACGCTGAAAACGGAAGAAAGGATGGGATAGTGCGAGACACGTACGCATGCGCTGATCGACATCATCAGTGGCAGACATGAACTCAGGTGGCTGATACACATCGTCGGCGACGGGGCCTAATCCTGAAACGCCTGGGATCTCGTCCGTAGGGGCGTGGATATGCTGAAGGCCGGAGGGACCAGGCTCGGTATCTAATCAAAGATTACTTTAGATCAGCACTGCGAACGCGAGAGAAAGAACTCAACTGGAGGAATAGAGACTGGGTGCATGGCTAGAGAACTGGGGTAGATCTACAAACTGGTAGTCCACGAGGGCTCTGTTGCGAGCTAAACCGATGCGGCACCTTAATGGTTGGCGGAGTTAGTGTATCACGAATGAGACGCACCTTTTTTCAAGCCCGTATCGAGACGCTGGGCATATAAGGCAGCTTGCATGGTGCCGGCATTCTTCTTGATGCACGATTTCTCGTGCGTACCGCGGGCTCCCGGTGTGTTGAACGATCTGCCGCATGTATTGCATAGAAGTGGTGGGAGGACAACACCCGAGGCCGAGCTGAGAGGTTCGTCTTGTTCTTGCTTCACCTGTATTACCTTGCCTTTGCCTTTGTTGCGGCGATCGGGGGCCATGTCAACGGCGGGGAATCGAGGGGAGACGAGAGGGTAGAGGGTGAGAGGAGAAGGAGGAACGGAACGCTATGAGAATGCGATTCTGCGAAGCGTGTACATAGCGCGGATAGGGCGATGGAAATGCATGATCATCACCGTCACGTGAATGATGATCTCTCCCGTGTTATAATTATAGAGCTCGAGGCCATTAAAATCGATAGCAATCGCTCCGTGCCTCATTCTAAGCGAGCCGAGCCGATGGAAATCACAACGCGGGGTTTATATTCGGGGCAGCGCCATGGGAATGGCATAAACAATACCTAATTAAGCAAGTTCATTATTAACCCCTCTCAGCTTTTTCCGACATACGCTTAGCGCTACGGTTCCCACGGCTTGACGCTGTGCATTGTGGAGCCCCGGTTGGCGTTGCCAGCGCTGTTGACGATTCAGAGAAGCTTGGTCTGCTAGAAAATGGTGTGCTCAAGGAGGTGCAGGTGCAAACAGGTGAACTCTTCAGATTATCTACTTCAGTTGACCATGTTGGATCCAGAGCCCCTCTGTCTTCTCCCCAGCGCTGGCTGCTCAATAAAGCGCGAGGCAAACCATATGGAAGGATGCTATCTAACCGTCCAAAGGTCTTTCTATCATCCTCGTATCAATAAGAACCCACATGGCGCTAGCGCGCGTTCCCTGCGTCGCCATAAGCTTTGGATGACATCGGGCGCCAGAATCATCCTGTGGGTCTGATTCATCACACGGTGGCACATCTTCTCGGATCACGTCTCTAGTTTTCCCGCTAGCACTGGCGAATTCCCATTCTGTTCACTCCGTATGCGTTGGCAGTTACAATCATCCCATCATTCGACCGAGAATATAAGCCTGCTGGCAGGCTTCATGAGGGCTTCACCACCTCTCCCTCGGTGATCCCCTCGTCCCCGGTCGGTCTGTCCGCCTTCGTGCACTGGCACTAGAGTCCACACAGTTACGCTTCAGCTGGTCCTGATCCACACTCACTCATACACGCTTAACGCTTCACTGCCATGTCCTCTGTGCTACTCACGCTTGCGCTCGCCGGCCTTGCCGCAGCGACTCCGACCCCCATCCGCCGCCAGAGCATCACCACGCTCGGCCAGTCTGATATCAACGGCTTCACGCCCTATACGTGGTATGCATCCGCCGGGTACTGCCCAGCAAACGAGACGATCAACTGGAGCTGCGGCAGTGAGTATTCTCTCCTTGCATCTCATCTCATCGTATCAAAGAGGCAAAGAGGCTGACCGGGCTCGTCGTGCGGTCCCATAGCGAACTGTGACAGCAACTCAGGCTTCAAGCCGATCGCGTCGGGCGGCGACGGCGACTCTGTGCAGTTCTGGTACGTCGGGTTCGACCCGAGCATGAACGAAATCATCGTCGCGCACCAAGGCACGGATCCGTCCGAGTTCGAGTCGCTCCTTACGGACGGAGAGTTTACGCTCACGAACCTGAACGGCAACGCGACGCTCTTCCCTGGGATTGACGACTCGATTCAGGTGCATCGGTCAATCTCCCCGACAAGACCGTTGACAAACCAAGGATTATCAATGGGAATCGATGCCGGGCTCGAAAAATGCACAAGTTGATTCGCTTGGGAATCCTTGTCACTGGTGATCGTGTTCTGAAGTGATGTTGCCTTTTTAATGAGGCGATAAGGGCATGTCTGCAACTAGTGCACTACCTTCCCACATGAATGTGGTATCTTTACATCCGATTGACTAATCACACGCAGTTGAATCGTAGCGACTTCTCAAGAGGCTGTTCAGCCTTGTATCTCGAATCCCGAGGTATCGATAGAATCCCCATTAAAAGCCCAAGTGCTACATGACCACGTAGAAAGAACGGCCTATAAAGGAGAGAGCCGTCCCCATACCGACAATAATAACATATGTAAATAGGGTATCAGCGAGAGCCCTGATGTACACCAGAACGAACCAACAGGCGGCAAACGAAGGCGGCGGTGTCAAGAACAAAAACGGATTTAGGACTTGCATCCCATGGTGACGCCGTTGTAAGGGCCGTCGTGGTTGTCGAGATCGCCGTCGAAGACGTTGGGCACGTCGCCAACAATGCACAGCGTGCTGTTATTATCCTGACCTATGATACAAACACATTTACGTCAGATTCCATCAGACAATAGCGCGATGCAGAAATCAAGGCTCACCAGGGCAAGTGTCCCAGGATCCCGAGTCCTGGATGTGCACCTCGCCCGCAGGGTGCACGAACCCGAGGAACATGCCAGGAACGGTTGGTATCGGGTCCTCCTCGTTGTTGATGTGCGTGAGCTTGAGATTCGCGTCGACGTAGTCCGCGAACGCCTGGTTGCCAACGCGAGGCAGACCGTAGTTGACCGTCTTGAACGTCGTGCCGGAGGGGAGGTGCAGCGGGAGGTAGACAGAGTCGAGAAGCGACAGGGCGGCGCCGAGCGAGTGGCCCACGAGCGTCACGGCGGTGGCACTGTACTGCGACATGCCCTGCTGCACGGCGGCGAGGACGGCGTCCGCGGTGCTGGATAGCAGCCAGTATAAGAACACAATGGACCAAAAGAGAGAAGTGTGGTACGCACTCGCCCTGCTCCGCCAGGAAGCCGTTGGTGCGACCGACGCTAGGGTTAAGGTCAAGGACCGGTAACTTTCGACGTCAACCGGACCAGGCGCGAGTTTCACCTTCAAGTGTGTGTGCAACCCCCCTCTGAATTGCGCAACTCGCGCATACATTCCATTCTTCAGTCCATCCCTCTCTTTTGTATTTTACACCTTCTCCGTCTCTCCTCCACCCCACCGCCGTCGACTGACGCACTCGCGCCCTTTCTCTGTAACGGAGTGCGCGATACGGGAACTCAACACAAGCCATGGAGACCCGCACGGCGTTCACCACCGCCTCGCGCAACCTCTCCTCGTCCTCGCTCCGCGATCGCCTCTCCAAGCTCACCACCGCCAGACCTGTGCATCTCCCCCATGTCAACATCGAGTTGAGTAGTGTTCATCATCAGCGGGCGCGTGACGGAAGTGTGCGTGTGCATATACTGACAAGCGAGACGTTGTTCTGTGCAGCTTCGTGCCGTCCAAGATCCCGCGCCAGAGGCGGATGCAGATGTTGGTAGTTGCGGCCTGGTCTTGCATGATCCCCATCATGTTTGGTCTCTTCCTTTACCTCTGGTGCGTCCCACCACCGTCTCGACTCGTCTTCATGCGTTGACGTTAGGGTGGTGCGCATACACCCAGCTCGGTCCCGGCGCTGTGGCCGTTCATCGCAACCTATTGGATCTGGGTACACTACATCGACACGAGCCCCGCGTATGGCACCCGCCTCAGCCCGTGGTTTCGCTCTCTTAAAATTTGGCAATACTTTGCGGACTATTACCCTGCATCGTACGTCCCCTCTGATCTGTATGTCTTCGGTGTCTGTACTAAATATAACGTCATGTTCTGGACATCCGAAGGCTACTTAAGGTATAACAACTTCACGTTGCCCCTGGGCGTAAAGCTTATTTCTTGGCCACTTTGCTTTTACGTGTAGGAATGCGACCTCCCTGCAGATAGGCCGTACGTTTTTGGGTACCATCCGCACGGTGAGTGCTTTGTCTCTGACGAGGATATGACCTCAACGCTGGCTTATCGTGCTTATCTCGCGATGAACACAGGTATTATCGGCATGTAAGTGGCCTTCGCCCAAATGCAATACACGCGTTCGATGTTCGAGACTGATGCTTGATTCATTCAAGGGGCGCAATGGCCACCTTTGCGACCGAAGGTCAGTTCTACATCCCCCTTTGAGCCATCTCTCCACACCCTGTTCCTGGTCGATCCAATCACTTCCCAATCCCATTCAATTGTACTCACTCCATCTGCCTCGATGCATCACACTGTAGGGACTGGCTTCTCGCGTGCCTTTCCCGGGATCCGCCCCCACGTCCTCACGCTCACCAGCAACTTCAAGATCCCATTGTACCGAGAAATCATCATGGCGCTCGGCGTCTCCTCCGTTTCGAAGCGCTCGTGCTCCAACATCCTTTCAGGCAAGGGCTGGCGCGGCGCCCCCAAGTTCGGCCCCGACGGCGACCGGCTGCCGGCCAGCGCCGGGGAGGCGATTACCATTGTTGTGGGTGGCGCGGCAGAGAGTTTGAGTGCTCGGCCGGGGACCGCGGATTTGACGTTGAGGAAGCGGCTTGGGTTCATCAAGATTGCTATACAGCATGGGTACGTTTACGTTTTTGACTGGGTTGAATTGAAAACATATCCTCCTCGACAGCGCCGACCTGGTCCCTGTGTTCTCCTTCGGTGAAAATGATGTGCGTTGTCGTTTGCTTCTGCTCGGGTCTGGGCTAACCTATGCTGAACTGATAATCCCCTGCGCACATACAGATCTACCAGCAGATGCCTAACGAACGAGGGACGACCGTGTATACGGTGCAGAAAAAGTTCCAGAGCGTGTTCGGCTTTACGTTTCCGCTCTTTCACGGACGTGGGCTGCTAAACTGTTCGTCTTTGCCTTATCGCCTCACCCTCGTCCTCTCTGCTCATCGTTGTGAATGCGTGTAGATAACCTCGGATTATTACCGTACCGTAGGCGGATCGTTTCAGTCAGTGAGTAGTAGCCCGTTGTCGGGATCCGAAGTCGAGAGGGTTGACACGTTCTCGCGTTACAACAGTTGGTCGTCCAATCCACGTCGAGCGCACCGAGAAGCCGACGACGGAGGAGGTGATGCGCATACAGTCGTTGTATATTGAGGAGCTCATGCGGTGCGTTCATCAATTTCATGTTACGTCAGAAGATCGTCGTCTTCTCCCATATCAGTGTGCTTTTATTCCTAATCCTGAGTTCCCTTTCTCTGTCACTGCGCAACACATCTTCTTTACCCTTCTTACTTGCGTTGGGTGATCGTCAATTGTACTAATCATGCATATTTTATGCAGAATCTGGAACACATACAAAGACGAGTTTGCCAAGACGCGGACGCGCGAGCTTAGCATCATTGATTAGATATTTCGAAGGCACGTTGATTTTCTTCGTACAGTGGTGTTGGACATTGTCAGGAGGAAAAGGTCTCCCCGCATACGATAGACGGGTCAGCCCAGGCCTGAGCACTGAGGCTCGGGTTTATAATAGAGGGGGTTTCTTGTACTTTATTGGGATGGTAAAACAGAGGGTGAGATTTTGAAACGTATTCTGATTTGGTACTAGGCATGAGAGGCGCATGAGGTGGCCAGATGGCTATATATTTTCAGCCTTTGCATGCTTGGCTCACGGGCCCGCCTGACCATGGCACGCAACTGCAGTTTCCGGCTCCGCCTTCTGCCTGGTGTGCGGAAGAAATTGGGAGGATCGCAGCAACACCGCAGCCTGGACAGGAAGAATAGCCCCTGAATCGTCAAATGGCAGCCACGAGTGCGCAAATGTTCTCCTTATAGACGGCCAAATGGTACTTCGTGCTAGCTTCGAATGGACGAACGTGCGTTGAAAAGGTGACAAACGCGCTCCGTTTAGCCTACTTGCCGTTAGATGCCATGAGCTGTGGGTGGTGGTATGCTCCGGTGGAAAAACCCTCCCCGCAGTGGATGTCCACCCACTCTCATCCTAAGCTGCAAATATGCACCACTGTCTCTCTGTCTCTGAGCTCATACTCGCTATCTGCTGTTCATCCAACGATGCCGCGCTTGCAAATCTCGCTCAAACTTGCAAGACGTTTCAAGAGCCGGCGCTGAATGTGCTTTACAGCGACCTTGATTGCATGTCAAAGTTGTTGATGTGCCTCCCCCAGGATCTTTGGCGTGTTGAGGAGGGTGATACAAATGAGCAAGCTAATTTGGTACGAATTGCATATCCTTCCTATCCACTCTTGATAACACCGAGCGCTGAACGAAATAATGCACAGTCATTTACGCGCCAGCTACAGCCGGCCGACTGGCAGGTGCTGCAGCGATACGCCGCACGCGTCCGATTCCTCCGGATCGGCGGGGCTATTTGTCAGGCGCCTATTGGAAGCCTGTTCGAGGATCGGTATCGCGTCGATGATCCCCTGTTTCCAAATCTCACAACTCTGACGATCTATGCGGATGGCTGTTATCCTCCCTGCGTACTATTATTCCTCGGACCGAACCTTCGTACGCTGGTGCTCGACAACTGTGACTTGCACGCGCGTTTTCTTCGCGGCGTCGTAGACCACGTTCATCTCAGCCAAGGTATTAAGCACCTCAAAGTCATTCGCAACGATTCGTACTGGCTTGAGGACGAAGAGGATCCGGGGGATGCGGTGGTGGATCCGGAGTCGTTAGCGCAGCTGAGACAGCTGGAAACGTTGACGTTCGAGGAAGAGATCACACCGGAGCTGCTCACGGCCATATCCAGTCTCCAATCGTTGACTTCCCTCAGAATTGTCGTTCCCCCCACTTTGCGACTCGAGAGCCGACCAAATCTTGGGCATTTTCCCCGCCTTCGGCACCTAGACCTTCAAGGTGCTCCTCCTGAGGAATACGGATACCTGTTGCGTTATGCATACGACTCGGATTTGAGCGCCGTCGAGCAGCTCGAGGTCTGCTTCAACGAGTGCGAGGGACACAACTTCGCTCGCTTTCTAGAGACCCTCGATTCAACCCTTGGTAAATCTACTCCAGACTTAAACTCTCGCAAGAATGCCATGCGTACTTTGCATATAACACAGTCCTCTCCGTCTTCTCTTGGCGACACAGTTAAAGGCGATGCACTTCGCCGCCTCTTTTGCTTTGGCGAGCTCACTGAGCTGGTTATCACCCCATTCCTTGTTCTCGAGCTCGATGACGTCCTCATGCAGGACCTGTCCTCGGCGCTTCCGCACCTGTGCCACTTTGACCTCATCGCCAAGTACCCTGACAGCCCCAACGTGACACTAACAGGCCTCGCCAGCGTAATACGCAATTGTCGTAGTTTACGACAACTGGCTCTGTCAGTCGACGCTACAGTGGTACGCAATCGGGATCATCACGGCACGGTGACAAGTATAGAGCCGCACATGAATCTGTCAGCGCTGGGCGTCGGAAGATCTCCTATGGACGATCCGGCGTTCGTCGCGCAACAGTTATCAGCTATGGCTCCCAAACTGTGCAAGATAACGGTCGCACGACAGGTCGTGCGCGTTTTACATCCTCCAAGAGACGATATATATATTCGGTGGACGCGGGTACAAACGATACTAAGGTCGCATATACCGGAATAGTCTACCCGTAAATGTTGGACCCAGATATTCTGATTCACGACCGCTGCACGATACATTCGTTTCTGTGTATACGTAGCGAACGAATTCTCCACATACATATGTTAGTAGATAGTTATTCCAGCTAATCTGATGTCTGCTAAACTCCAGACTCTGCAAGACCCCTGGATTGTTTGTGTGAGAATAAATTCCGAGAACAGGTGAACCCGTCCAAGGAGTCTTGTGCAAGCATGATTTTGTCTGTCTTCCTCTTCCTTGTCTTCATCATATCCCATATAGAGCAAAGAATATCAGGCATGTGGATCAGAAGATCGTTAACGATGAATGATATCCTCAAGGTGCGGTCGCGACCCGGTGTAAAATTGAAGGTAACGACTCGGATGTCTGAGAAGTCAGAAGCGCAAGCCTACGCGTAATTTTCCATGCGATATGGCAGGTCGAGGGCGACGAATGGGGTATATTCATGCCAGGCTGCTGGTGCATAGTTATCAGGATGCTTTACTAGTGCTTACTTACAGTAGTACCCATTCGCGAATATGTACACTGGTATTTTTGAGGTTTTCGTTTGTTGGGCTTCTCTCTGTCTTCATCCCCGTCCGTTCCACCATGACCCTCTCTGACCAATCCTCATTATTACCCTTCGAGTTGTCTGAATGTCATTCTCGAAGTGTCGGAACTGGACCAAGGGCCGACAGTGGCGTCCGCGAAAAATTTAAACGGCGCCATCATTTGCTGATGCCGTTCTGTGCACTGCCACACATGCCCGCTGTTGGTTTACTCTCTCGTCGCACTCCAACACGTCGCCCTCCTTCGGTCAACAATCAACAATTCCGATGACCACACTGAATCAAAAGAAAGTGCAGCATCCTGCCGTGGAAATTGAAGACGAAGGGTTGGAGGTCCTCACCATCCTACACGAAGACGCGTCTGGAACGAAGGACACCACGCGCTCCAGGATATGCGACCTGCCGTCCGAGTTGCTCGCCCGTATCATGTTAACATGCATGTTCCTGGACTTCGGCTCCCAAGATTCTCAGTTGATCCTTCTCACTCACGTCTGCTGGTACTGGCGGTCTGTTGCCCTCTCCTACCCTCATCTTTGGTCCTACTTTGGCGTAGATAAGAGCTCGAACCCAGATAGGAAGATGGTCTTTCTAGAACGGTCCAAATCAGCGCTCTTGAATATCAACGTTAATTTCTCCTCACTTCTGGCAATGGACGCCTCCTTGATCAAAGCTATAGTACGCGCGATCAGGCAAACATCGAGGCTGCGTTGTCTTGAGCTCCGAGTTGCCGAGATAGATCTCTTCGAGGGCCTGTTGGCGGATCCCGCTCCCTATCTTCAGGATCTCAAGCTTGTCTACCAGCCTGAGGATCACGACGCTATATGGACGAGGCGAATTGATTGTGAACTTTTCGGTCGGGAGACGCCAGCCTTACGAAAACTCTCCCTATACGGATGCACTCTCATCTGGGGCTCGATGATCTTCTCCGGGCTCACACGACTCGAGATCGAGCACCTCTTTGATGACTTTCAGATCAGTACTTCGGAGTTTCTGGACACCCTTAACTGCTGCGCGCCAACTCTGGAGGTCCTCAAGCTCACCGGCTGCTTGGCCCACGCCACCGCTTCCTCTCCCTTGTGGACAACGTACCGTGAGGCAGTGAAGCTTCCCCGCCTCGATTATCTGCACTTGGACGAGTTGTATTTCTCCGACTTCTCGCATTACCTGTCTTGTCTCGATCTCCCACCCACTGCCCACATTAGCGTGTCTCACGTGGACGAACACAATCCGGAACTCGACATTCCAGCTGCTGGCTCGATGCTCCCCGAACGGCTTTTCTCCCCATCTGATCCTTACGCGGGCCCTTCATGCTATCTTAGACTGTTGTTCATCAAAGGGAAGAAAGGGCTCTTCGGGCTGACGCTCTGCAACAAGGACGTTCATGTAGGCAAGGCGCCATGGTACCGCTATGAACCGGAGCGGGAGAGACGCCTACCTCTCAGCGCTTCATTTCGCTGGCCCGTAGACGAGGATGCAGGGCTCAGCGCGTATAGCCGTAACCTCCACAAAAGCCTTCCTCTGTCGGACGTCCACACCTTAAGATTGGATGGCGATTACGTACCCACCGAACGCTCGTTTTGGGAAGGACTATTTCTCAATGCCACGAACGTACACCACCTATTCCTTGGCTCCGCACTTCGCGAAGGCCATCTGGTGAGCGTCTTGGACGCCCTTACTCCCCAGGCTGAAGAGTCTTCGGAGGCCGGTGGTGTAATCCTTTTGCCCCGTCTAGCTCATCTGCATATCTCGACTAGACGCGTCGCGAACGTGGAAAGTCAGCACGTGGTTGACGTTCTCAATGCCCGTGCGCACGCAGGGGCAAATGTGGAGATCGTGACCGTTCAAAAATCCAGCAAACCAAGGTTGAAGGCGTACGCGGTGTCTATTGGAGCTACGATGGTCGTCGATTTGTACAGCAGGGGGCAGTAGGACTACGAGACTCCTTTTGCAGATTGACTAGCTTGACATTATTTTTCCCTTGTATCGGCTTATTCGAATTTCTGGCGGTGTTCACACCGAAACTTTTGAATGGCGGGATTGTAACGTGTCGAAGTATCAGGCTTAGCCCCTAACTCAACCGTCCCTTGATGTCGACGCGTCATGGGAACCGGGCGCGCAAACACCGGATCGCGTTTTTCTTCTTGACTTCATCCAGGTGACGCGTCGTGTTCACGTCCAAGGTACGCAAGCTCCAATATCTCTTGAGATGACGTCTGGCTGACCCAGGGTGAAGTATCTCGTTGGAACTTTTAGATGCCTCCTCGTGCGAACAAGGGCCGGAAGAAGCAGCCTGGACCTGCTTCTCAAAGTAACTCGTCCATGCATCGTACGATGCGCTCTATGACCAAGGGCAGTAGCGGTCGAACTCAGACAGAGGGTGGAGGTAGGCGTCAAGCATTCTGTGCAGCCCCTTCACATAACATCTAACCTTTTCTCGCGCCTAGCCCGTAGTCAGCAAACCCTTACGCGGCCAACCCTCTCGCAGTCTCTTTTCGACACCGGGAAACTAGAAAATGAGTCCGCCCGCGAACAACGGGCCCTAGGCAGCGACACGGACAGCAAAATATGCACCATGCCTCCTGAAGTGCTCGCTTAAATCATGTCGCTGTGCACCAAGGATTTTGCAGACGCAGACGACCGCATGTTGACTCTGACCCATGTCTGCCAACAATGGCGTCAAGTCGCCCTCTCTTTTCCTCACCTCTGGTTTAAAGTTCGCTCAAATAAAACCACGGACCCCGACAAAGTCCGCGCTATTCTTGAGCGATCCAAGTCGACTTTGCTGGACGTGGAAGTCAACCTCGGGGAATCTGTGAGTGGTCAACTGGTGGAGGTCGTGAGGCAGGTGCTAGACCAGACATCAAGGATGCGCACCCTCGTTATCCAGGGAGACGACATAGAGCTCGCGCGCCCTTCATTTGATACCCCTGCGCCATTCCTCGAAGAGCTCGCGCTTATCAATGATTGGGAAGCTCCCATTGTTGCTATTGACGACGAACTGTTCGACGAGGAGACTCCTTCGCTTCGGGAGTTGGTGCTCCACGGATGCGTACTCCGCTGGGACTCGCCGATTTTCTCTGGCCTTACTCGTCTTAGTTTGTTCAGCTCGCCATTTAGCGACTTTGGCGCGCTAAAGCCAGATGTCCGCGAACTATCGATCGTACTCCACTCCTGCGGAAACACCCTCGAAAGGCTCGAACTCTGCAACTTCTTGGAGTCCAGCGGCCTTTGGGATAGGTCATGGGACACTCTCTCGAACGCCGTCAAACTTCCACGTCTGAAGTTTGCCATTCTCTCAGAATTCGACTTCTTTACCCTAGTGTCCTTTTTCAAACATGTCAACATATCGCCAGCCGTCCCCATTAACGTGTGGAATGTAGATATCAATAATCCTCGAATGGTCCTTCCGAGCCCCATCCCCCTTCTTCCCAGTCAATTCTTCATTTCTCCCGACGCTTCTCCAGCCCCTTCGAAATGCCTTCAGCTAATCGTGCACACCATGGGGATTGACTTCCACGTCTATGAACAGAACCCTAACGCCAAGGTGCCATGGTATCGCTACATGCCATCCGACGAAGACCACTTCTTCGCGACGTTTTGCTGGCCCCTTGACGAAGACAACATCCAAGTCATCACGCAAAACGTACATGGTAATATCCCCTTCTCGGATATCCATACGCTTGAAGTGGAAGGCGGATATCTTCCGGCAGAGCGCTCATTCTGGGACGGTCTGTTTCGTAACACCGCTCGGGTTCATAATCTTATTCTCGGGACGGGTATTGCCAAGAAACATCTGCTTAGCGTCTTCCACGTCCTCGCACCTGATGGCCACGGGTCCTCGCAGAAAGCCAGTACGACACTCCTGCTTCCACATCTTACACGGCTGCATTTCGCCACACCACATATTCAGGAGATGGACCCGGAGCTAGTCACCAGTATCCTCAAAAGGCGCAAGCAAGCTGGTGCTAAGGTAGAGACTATTACTATACATGCACAGGAAGTGCAGGGATACGCGGACGCAATGGGAGCTACAGTAGTCCAGTAGAATGGTCATTAGATCTCGTTTTTACGAGTTGATTCCTTGGGAAGTCATGGATGTCTTTCTATGATACTATTTCACCTGCAATCACCGAGAACAGGACGTAGTGCATGATATTGAACCGCCTGGTAACAATGTCTAGCGATGACTTTGCCTTGTGTGGTGAGAATTACAGCGAAACGCATTTCAAGCTGTCGTTGATTGTTACACTTCGTTCCAACCGTCGCGTTGTCTATTTAATCAAAACAATATTATGTACTCGGCCATGATCCGGAGCTGCAATGACCACGGTCATGCCGCATTTACACACGCACCCACAACAAGGGGTGCCCTGAATTGCCCCTGTCAGGGGCCCTTAAGAGAGCTTTAGACCCGACTAGTAAGAGTTCTTCAACTTCCATCAAAGGACAGATCATGCGCGCCAATCATGGTCGATTGGAGTCAGTCCCACTTTACGAAATAAAACCAAGGCAGAGGTATATCAGAGCTAAGCTGTGTCTATTACAGTGTATGTTAGTGGTCAGTCTGCCCAAGGGACGACAGAGTGTGAGGCCTGCTTAATGGGAACCGAATAGCAGGCGCGGAAGAGGTGAACGAATCAAGGAGTTTAGTTAGCCGAGCGAAGGTCGAGAAGCTGGCGTCGACAGGCTTGCACACCGAACAGGAAGGCAATTCAGTCAACAAACACATGTAAGTTCGCGCCGGCCGCTCAACGCGCTCATCCCATCCCTCCCTCCCTCTACCACCATGTCGAGTATTTTCAACTGGAAAGCGTCACTCCGGTGCGATCCAGACGTCGAGCCTTCGCCGGTGAGTGAATTCGTTCGCCTGTGGTTTTGTCAGTGCACTCAGCTCGCGCCATCTAGATCGAACGGGGGTCAGTCCTCCTGCTGTGGCGCCTCTGGAGAGTGTGTCCCCAGAATGAGAGAGTAGAGTGAGTGACTAGACGTCGAGCTGATATCCGTGTCTCATTCCGCAGTAGAATACAAAACACGAGTATCAACTCGGCGGCCGTCAGAGTACCAGAGTACCCGCAAATCCTCGTGACCAAGGAAGTGACGGTCACGTACGAAGAGGAGGCCTGAGAGGATTGTCAGCTGCATATAGCCTGATACCCCAACTGTTTTAGTCATTCATTTAACACTCGGACCAACGTCACTCGTTCGCTAGCTCTTGTTTACCTCACCTTGAACACGTCTTTGTTCATTGATATCTTGCGATGTCTTTGCTTTCCATGTCGTAATCGGACGTCGTTTGACCGATATAGGCGGTCTCAGTGCCGCCGTTTCTTCTGGAAAATGATACAGTGGGATAAGCAGACGTCGAGCCACACTACAAGAGCATCAACGGGTGGGCTCACCTAGATTTACGGCTTCTTCGTGAAAAATCTCATGCAACATGATGGCGTACGAGAAGGGGCGACCTTACTGTAATACTTATGGTCGTGATCAGCGCGACGAGTAGGAAAGTGTATCGAACCGTAGCCACGATAATGGCGAGGGGTCAACTCCGTCAGCTCGTTTCCGTGGCATGATGTCCAAAGCTAAAGGCTCGTGTGCTGTGCAGATTATGCCATAGTAGCGACCATATGGGAGGTAGCCAAGATGAAGAATGTGATAGTGTACGAAGAGATGACGAAGGTGAAAAGATAGCGTAACAAAAGGGACGGTGGTTGATCTTGATAAGGATGGAGTATCTGTAAAAGTGGCGAATCCAGTGACCTCTGCTCAATTAGTTGTCGCGTGGGCTCGATGATGGGATTCCAATGTCCGGTGACGATGACGCTGAGGGCAACGGAGAGATGTCGGCAAAACATGTATTCATCCAGCAATCTCAGTCCTCTGAGTCCACCGCATTCACATGTGGCAAACCTGATGGACTAGAGTGCTCTATTGTCGATATAAGTGTAGGCTGTATTCGCTACGCATAATACAAAACAGTCCTGTCTTGTAATAGACGCGGACTAGATGAGTTGCATTGAGTGCTCAAATTTGAAAAGCAGCACTCAGCGTTCCCGCTCGTATAAGTCGCACCTTCGCCTTTTGACGTTGGCCAAAACAGGATCAGATAAAAGAACTGAAAGAGCGAACGAATATCGTCGTTTGACTAAAGTACTTCTCTAGTCACTTAACATCAGATGGGAAATTGCACCCTCCTCCCCTGCCTTCACTTTGGAGATGCTAATGTCGTCACAGGCTGAGAATGCGTGCGTGCATATGGGATACTCGCGATTGTGTACAGGCCCGAATTTGCCATGATGGAGCTGAGTGATCTCGAATAGCAGCGATGAGGAGCCACGAGCATTGTGCCCTCTTCGAGGCTCCAGCCTGCCCGGAGCTCCCTACGCCGCCTACGCCAATGCCGTCGGGTCCTCAACACTATACAGGAATCGATCTTGCTAAACCAGGCAGCCACCCATACTGGTTCAACCATGCCAGAGGAGAAAATACGTCATTGTAGATGGAAGGCACTGAGAGAGAGAGCGTTATGGGATACACACGACGATCCGACTGCGATAAAGGTATCAATAATCCATGGGTGCCTTCCACGCAATAGGCGACTAGCATGGTGAAGGTACAGTTAAATTTCATTTCCTTGCGATAGGACAAGAAAGACATGTCACAAATGGCTCAGCATGCGTCTATAACCGAGAGCCTCGGCAAAACCCAGAATACTTGGGCTCCTACACATCTGCCTTGCCAAGTTTGTTAGCCCCGGAATTGTTAATCAGCGTGAACCAGGCTCCTTCTTTTCCCGCCCTCTCAGCCTGGGCAGAGGTCGGCAATCCCGCGACACCCAAGCGTCCCGCGTTGCAGATGCTCTTGGCGCATAGCTGGATCTGAAGCACAGAAACCGATCTCAAATTCAGTCAACGCACATTTTGTTGACACGCACCGGAATCTCCATGCTGGACGACACGGTCGACAGGGCACCGCTGATGTAGCTGTGCGTGTGGACATCTGTATTAGATACGATGATCATAGCGTGTAGCGCTCGACGTACCCGAAAACGCTCTCGGCAACACGACGCTCGGGGCGCTCAGCACCTTTCAGAAACGCAGGACGGAAGACGATGGTTTCCTTGTAGCCAAGTGCGGCGAGCTCGAGCTCGGTGAGGCCTTTGCTCCTGCAGCGCGCCATTCAGCTCGGTAGGGAGTGGTAGGAGAAGAGCAAGGGAAAGACGTACTTGGCGTAGAGGAAATGAGAAGACGCGTTCGCCCCTGCGGACTGTGCCCGTGCGTTTCCGAATTAATTTAGGAGTCGGGAGTTGCGGGGCGAGGACCACGTACCGAGAGATAAACGAGGCGCTGCTCGTGTGTGGGGTCGTCTGTCCTTGCCTCTTTGGCTGCTCTCACGACGTATCTGCCGCGAATGAACGTAAGCCGCACACAGCTGGTTCCACTACGCAGGCACACTCACTCCCGGTCGATCTTTGTAAACGCCTCGGCGCTGCCAGCTGTTGCGCGATTCGTACCCATACTACATAGGGCAACAAAAGGGTAAAAAATACCAGAGATCAGCCTCGAGCTCGTGCAAAGAACACAAACGACGCACACAATGTACACAACATCCCACCGCCCTTCATTCAACCCGCTCTCGCTGAGCCTCTCAAAATCCATCGTGCGCTGCTCAAGCTTCTCCTTCCCCGCATACATCTCGATAGTCTCGGCGGGCGTGACGCGGCGCCCGTACTCGCCGACGCGCGTGAACTCGGGCGACGCGAGGACGTGCCGCAGGAGGTGCTTGCCGGTCGCGCCGGTCGCGCCGAGGACGAGTGCGGATTTGCCTGGTATTGGGTGAGTTTGCTGGTATTAGTGAAAGGAAATTGAGGAGGGGTTTGCCAGGGGCTGACCTGACATGCTGGCTAGAGAAATGAGAGGGAAGAGAATGGTAAAGATATCGTTAGACCCGGCTGCGTATATATGCCTGGAGTCCCAGTTGTGGACGTCAGCGCTCGGCTCCCACTTGGGGCATTTCCGGTCGTTTTGCCGAAGAACATGGTGGAAACATACTAAAAACCCATGGGGAACAACCAATTATTGTCAAGATTTAAAACATGTTTCGCATGTTTTCCTCACGTTTTTCGCCAAAACATCTGAAACTGCCCCCAGTGGGGATCCTGCCGTCATCCCGAACGGCAAAGCCCCCCAGCCGAGGCTGACGTAGTGTTGCCGCGGCTTGGGAGCCAGGGCTTGCTCCAGAATGCCGGCGCGAGTTTTCGGTGGGCAGCGTGCAGATCCTGATGAGCCTCGTGTTTGCTCCGTGCGAAACCGACACGCACGACTTCGATGGCGTTGACAGTGAGGACTTTCAGTTCGGCAGCACACAAGTTGGCGCGAAGTTGTACGACCACTGATGGGGCGCCCCACCGTGACGCGTTGATGACCGGGTTACTGAATATGAACATGTATGTCATGTCGAATCTCGACGAGGACCTGTGATAGTCTTCGAAGGTAGTACTGAGCATACTTTGCGAAACGCACATCTTCAAGAAAGCAACAGAGTAAAGCAGGATATTGCGGGCTGCGGGGTAGCAAAGAGAGGAAAGCTTCCACACCGCCACACATGCACGTACCATCCCACTCCCACGTAATAGGTGCCTTTCGCGGTAAAGTTACATTTAGCTCGCGTTTTACTGCGGTAGGTCAAGAAAACAGGTCTTGAAATAAATCAGCGCACGTCTATAACCGCTCGCGCCTCAGCAAAATCCAGAACACTCATACTCTTACACATCGGCCTTGCCAAGGTTAATAGCCCCAGCGTTGTTGATCAGCGTGAACCATGCACCCTCCTTGCCCGCCTTCTCAGCCTGGGCAGAGGCAGGCAAGCCGGCGACACCCAAGCGTCCTGCATTGCAGATGCTCTTGGCACATAACTGAATCTGAAGAATAAAAGTCTTAAAGCCAAATCTTACGTTTTGACGAGTTCATACGCACCGGAATCTCCATGCTGGACGATACAGTCGACAAGATGCCGGTGATGCAACTATGCACATATCAGATATCATGATCGTAGTAGAGTGTGCAAAGCTCAACGCACCCGAAGATGCTCTCGGCAATACGATGGTCGGGACGCTCGGCGCCTTTCAGGAATGCGGGGCGGAAGACAATCGTCTCCTTGTAGCCCAGCCCAGCGAGCTCGAGCTCCGTGAGGCCTTTGCTCCTGTAGTGCGTCATCCAGATTGTGGTAAGCTGGAAAGAGTAGAAAATAGAAAGGGAAAGACGTACTTGGGGTAGAGGAAAGGCGAGGACGCGTTCGCGCCTGTGGACTGTGCGTGTGTCTCCGAGTCAGGATACAGAATAGGAGTCAGCAGTCGCGGGATGAGAACTACGCACCGAGAGATACACGAGGCGCTGCTCATTGGTAGGGTCGTCGGTCTTTGCTTCTTTGGCCGCATTGACTACGTACCTGCGGGGAGTGATAAGGACCGTAAGCTGCATGCAATCATCACCACCCCGCAAGCTCGCTCACTCCCGGTCAATCTTCGTAAAGGCCTCAGCGCTACCTGCTTTCGCGCGGGTGGTCCCCATACTGACGCATGAATACGATACAAGTCAGCTCCAAGGCCAGGGGCACAGCCCATAACGTTGCGACTTACGCTACATACACAACATCCCACCGCCCACCCTTCAACCCGCTCTCGCCCAGCTTCTCGTAGTCCATGGTTCGCTGCTCGAGCTTCTCCCTCCCCGCGAGCCCCGCGATGGCCTCGGAGGACGTAACACGGCGCCCGTACTCGCCGACGCGCGTGAACTCAGGCGACGCGAGTACATCCCGTAGGAGATGCTTTCCTGTGGCGCCGGTCGCACCGAGGACGAGTGCGGATTTTCCTGTGGCTGCTGCTGCGCTCGTGTCAGCGAAAGGAAGGGAGAGGGTTGGGATGCGGGGCTGACCAGACATGTTGAGTTGGTGAGAGAAAGGAAAGAGAGGAGTGTGAAGGCATCATAAGCAATCCCAATTGCGTATGTTTCCTCGGAGTCCCGGCTGTGGGCGTCAGCTCTCGGCCCGAGCTGTCATCCCGCCCCTGGACCAGCGAAAGCCTCCGTGCCGAGGGAGAATGGAGGGAGACTGCTGGGATACTCTGTCACTTATAAAAGCGTAAGTTGAGCGTAGGATCGTCAAGGTAAGTATCATTCGCTACATTATGGTTATAACCCCCGCAGGTGCAAGCGATAGGTCTTTCTGACATTAGAATCACCTCCGGTTGCTTACTATTCGGAAGCTGGCCTATGGCTGAAACCAGTGTCTTACTAGTACTCGGTGCCCATATTTATTGAGACTACGCAGGGAAACGATCAACAGGGCACTTGGAGCTTGGAGCGTGCCTCCAGCCTCTACTAAACTGACGGACTTTGGAGGTCGTAAGCTCCTCTACCCGAGCCCATCCTCGCACTTTTCATCGTCAACTACAGAGGCTCCAATCCTTTCCGCATATGCTCGTAGGTCTGTCCTAGGCGAGACTCCACCAGCAATTGTCACGGTTTCTAGCTTCGCTCCAGCTCGTTCGCGCTCGTCCAACACACGGCGCACAAAGTCCTTGTCTGTCTCCATAATACACTTCGCCGAGATGTGCAAGTGACTGAGCTGTGGTAACGGGAGAGCGGCAGGTCGGTCATCCTGAGATACGTCTGACTGGGAGGGAAGGAGAGATTGGAGTATACACGAAACGTGCGTCGCTTCGAGTTCTGAGCCGATGGAGAGACGGTGTACGTTGGTGACCCCCCTGAGCAGGCCCGCCCAGAACGATGCGTCGCTGGGATAGTTTGTACCCTGGACTCGAAGCGTGTGGATATCAGACAAAGGGGGTCCGTCCTGGAAGATACCACGAACGAGCGTGTCGGGGAAGATATGTACAAAGAACCAGTCCAGAGAAAGGTTCAGTCGCAGCCCTTTCACTGGTGGCTCATAGTGATGCCACGGTGTTCCGCTTTCATGCATACTTCTGTCGTACATCTTCATGACCACGGATTCCTGAAGGCATCTGTTTGATACAAGAGTGAGGTCCCGTCCTGGATGCGCAGTCGGGCAGTGCGGGATGAACACATCGTTGGGGAGGACGCTTTCGAAGAAGAACTTTCCAGAAACGGGGGAGTCGAATCCAATGTTTAGGAGGTTGATTTGGCTGTCGCTGGGGAGGTGAAGGCGGTCTGTGAGCTTTGCGACAGCAGCATATCCTATCTTCATTACTTCGAGATGTTTAAGCTTCGCAAGTACTGTCAAGGAATCACCGGGATGGTGCATGTCATTGTGTCCCAGACAATTAGAGAGCTCGAGCGTCTCGAGCGTCAATGCGCAGCAACCAAGTATATTCAGAATCTGTGGAAGGATGGGCTTTACACGGTCGGATACTCCGTCCGCGATGCGAAGATAAGTCAACCCGGAAAAGGTCAGCGAGCCCTCGGGCGGGGCGAATCCAACCGTCGACAAGGCTCGCAAAGACGGCATCTCACCGCCAAACAGCGGGTGGGGGATCGAGATCGGCCTCACGTCGTGCATCGTTTCCGACTCTTTGATCAACGTAAGCTCCTGCAGATATGGTGCAGGCGTGTCCAGAAGACCATGGGAAAGCGCGTCCCGTAGGGAACGCACGACAAGGCGCCGAAATCGGGACGTCTGCCTTAGCAGATCGAACAGCACCGAGTACAGCCTGAACATGACGATGTCGGTCTGCTGGAGCGCGGCCCTAAGATCAACTTCGACGTCTAGAAGCGTAGACTTTGATCGCTCTAGGGACGTCTGTATTCTCTTCGTATTGAAGTGCCCGTCTGCTGCGACAATATGGGACCACAGGTGTGGAAAGGAGAGGGCGGCGTGGCGCCAGTGGCGGCATACGTGGCTGAAGAGGATCATTTGTACAGAAGGGTCTGAGGTTCCTTGCGACTTGGACAGAATCATTATGTGAGCGAGGACTTCGGGTGGGAGAGTGCAGATCTTTGGTGCAAACTCTCCGCCAGTGAACGACATGGGAAGGGGATGGCTAGTACGGGCTGTCAAGGTCTCTGGATCGTTCTTGGTGTTCTGAAACGTTAGTAAGATGGATGACAATGCTGCAGTTTGCTTACCTGGGAACTGAAATACAGCTCGTCTGGTTGCGGTGATTAAAGGAGAACAGTGGGGATCGCAACACAGAGGTGAGTCGCAATTGGATGCTCTCTTTTGTTTATTTTCACACGTGTACATAGACGCCCTCCATGAGGGTAAAATTAGCTCGCGCTCGTCAGTGACTGCGCCAACAAAGCCTAGAAGATTTTCCCAACGTTGACTAGCAGATATACAACGGGTCCGACGGTATTATGCAAACTTTGGAGCTTGTACTTGACCAGAGAAAGGCAGGAATCCACAGCTAGTCAAGTCATCGTTAGAAATAATCTTACACACCAACTGTGAAATATTTGAATACATCCAACCATCTACTCATTTTCACTTCTTTCTTCGTCGCTTTCCCCGCTATTACTCTGGGCCTCTCCATCATCCCCATCCAACTCATCATCGCTATCATCCTCGTCCTCCCCATTCGTAGACACCTCGTCGACAACCGACTCATCTTCGTTCAGATCACCTTCACCGACAAGCTCCGCACCCAGCGCCTCCGCAAAGCCCTGAGCCACATGTGCCGCATCGACCGTCACCTTCCCCAACCGCACCCCCGCACGCGCCCTTGCATCAAGCACACGCACGACAATGCCCGGGTCGACGCTCTTGATCGCAGCGCCCGTGAGATGCAGCTCAGCAAGCTGCGGTGCAATCACACCCTCGGGAGACGCTGCCGTCGACGAAGGCGCTTTAGGCGTGAGCGCTCTCAGCAACCCTACCAGAACCTGTGGCTTCTCTAGACCCACGCTCAGCCTGCGCATCGCCGTGGCCTGGTGCAGCACGCCGCGCCAAAATTCCTCTGCGGGAGGCCAAAGCCCTGCGAGCTTCAGCGTGTGCACTGCGGGGAGGTTTAGATCGCTGAGATGGATCAGGCCGCGCGGGTAAGGGTCCGAGGGAGCGAAGGGACAGAGGAAGGTGGCGTCGAGAACGGGTAGCGCTGGGAGCTCGGAAGACGGGTAATACCATGCGAAATCGTCGGGATGGTCATCTGCTGCATCCACCACCGCTGGGAGAAGATGTAGCTGGATCACGTAGCTGTCTGGCGTTTGCTCGATACTGAGACACACATCATGCGACGAGTCAAAACCAGAGGCGGCGGAAGGGGCAGAGTCGTCGACCCTCCTTTCGAGAATCCGCAACGGCATGAGAGCCTGAGGACACGTGGCAAAGAGCTCCCCGCCCCAGCCGGAGAAGTGCACCCACTCGAGCCGCACCCTGGCGGTCGCCGGAAAGTGAAGATGATTCAGGACCTGTGCGTACTCGTAGAAGGGTGCTCTGGATATAATGAGATGCTCCAGCCGTGGTAGGTTGACGGCGTGGGGGTTGGTCGCCCAGAGCTGCGCGGATACATCATCTTTAGGGATCAATGGAAAATATCGAGAGAGCTCGAGGAACTCGAGGTTCGGCGAGGCGTGGAGAGCGGTCAATAGCTCGTCCAATTTCGGTTCCATAAGAGTTGGGCTCTCTGACAGCTGGAGCGATGTCAAGCTGTGGAATATAAATGACGTCCACGGTAGGGCAATGTTATGAAGCGCCAGTTGACGAAGCGCCGGACTCGAGTCACCAAAGAGCGCCGCCTCGATATGTATCCCGCTCCTTAACCATCTCCCCTCCCGCTGCTCGTCCTCATCGTCATACAGCCTAAAGCCTTCAAAACCTCTCCGCGGACGAGCCGTATAGCTCAAGTCAAAGCTCTCGAGTGCCGGCGCAGGCCACTTACACACTCCCACATCCTCCGCCCTCGCAACAACCAGCGCCAAACGTCTCACCCTCGACATCCCTTCTTTCCTGCCAAGCAGCCCCCGTACGACCTCCGCAGCCTCCGACCTCGACGCCTCCGGCTCATCCAACGCCACTTCCAGATCCAGCAAAGCGCCTCTCGCACGCTCCAGCGTGGTCTTCAGCCTATCCACATTCGTGTGGGCATGCACGGAGTGATACGTCCACAGCTGCGGCGTCGCGAGCGCGACCGAGCGCCAGAGCCGGCAGACGTGCGTGAGCTGCACGATGTCCGTGTCACCGTCGCCGTCTCCATCGTCATCGTCGTCGCCAGTGTAGATACCAGAGCACGAGCACCACCACAGAATGGTGGCGAGCATTTCAGCGGGCAGGGCGCAGACCTTGGTGAGCATGTTCCGTTCCGAGCGCAGCTGGCGCGCGATTTCGGTGTCGCCGGCGGAGAGGGCCTTGCGTTCGGCGGTACGTAGTTGTGAGCGAGCTTGCTCTACGACAGAAGGGGCGCTCCAGGCGTTGACGGCTGGGTTGGTGCCGAACGAGGTCATGTCTAGGACGTCGACGAGTTGTGTCAGTCCATCAAGCTAATACTACGCAATTACTTTGTGAAACGTGCGCACCTTCAAAGACGACGGAAAGTGTTGCGAGATGTTGCGGGCTGTGGAGGGCCAGAGAGCAGGAGGGAGTGTTTGATGGGTGTTGGCCATGGTGAATGGAAGGGTTTGTTATGAGAAAGGGAAGAAACGCGACGCGGGGTAGGCGGCGACCCGAAATGATCGGCAAGTCGGGGAGATGCGGGGTATCCTCTTCGGCAACGTGTCTCGGAAGCAAACATGACATACAGTCAGTACTAAACCTCAAAGCTTGCTCCGACACCCAATCACTTGCACAACAAACGGAGAATACCGAGAGACCACATATCCCGCAACCGAATGATATCACTAGCAAGCGATAGCAAAAACGTGCCGTACATAATGCATACGCATAAGATAGTATGCTTGAATCAAGTAACGTCAAAATACAGGCAAAAAATTCCAAGCGACAGCATGCCCTCGACGAGCACCACTCTCCCAGCAGCCCCTGCATCACACGCAGCACCGCTCCAGCGGCCAAGCACGTAACGCTACCATAAGCAGGTGAAGATGCCGACTATGCAGGAGGTGGCGGCGGCGGCGGAGCGTCCCCGGCCGGCGCTGGCGCTGGCGGCTGAGGCGTGCCATCCTGTCCCGGCGTCTGCCCCTGCTGTGCTTGCTGAGCGTAGTACTGTCCATACTGCGCCTGTTGCTGCGCGGCCCACTCCTTGAACTGCTCCGAGTTGACGTCGTACCCGTACTGTGCCCTACGCAGCGAACGTACCATCAGCAAAGAGCATAGAAGGGGGAGGGAACGACGTACCAATACGCAGCATATGCATCCTGTCCCCCATCCTGACCAGGGGTAGCACCTGTGTACGGCGTCTGCGGCGGTGCACTCCCGTCGGGCGGCGGAGGCGGCTGTTCTCCAGGTGGTGGCGGTGGTGCCTCGCCGGATGGCGGCTGAGGCGCTACACCCCCGTAGCCGCCCACCTGTGCGTACTGCGCAAAGTGCATCTGAGCCTGGTGGAGCTCCATCTGCTGCTGTTGCATGGCCAACTGTGCCTTTGCGTGCTCGGCGCGGACGACCTCGAGCAGGTCCTCGGTGAGGACTTTTGCGCGTGCAATTTGGCCTTCGTCCGGTCCGCTAGTACGAAAGATGCGTGGATGAGAATGGGAGATAGAAGGCGAAAAGGTAAACGCACGTTATGTGGATGTGCATCGGCTCGTCGGACTCGCGGCCTGTTTCTTGATCAACGAAGCCGGAGCCGAGACCTTTTATTTGGACGCGGGTGCCCGTTTCTTGTTGAATATACTTGACGAACATACCCTACGCCCCAAGATGTAAGCAACATGGTCATGAACGAAAACTGCATTCTCACCTGGGGCCCGACCACCTTTGCTCGCACGTTGAAGTTTCGTATCGACTCCAGCCCGACGGGAAGCTTCTCTTCTGGCCATTTACGCTGCGAAAAACACAGGCGAGCGATAACGAGAAAAGGACGAAAGTGAGCACGTGTCAAAGTGAAGGCGAACGGAAGGTCGGTGAACGCACCTTTTCGCGCAGGCGGTCCTTCTTGTCCTCCACAAGCGGGCCAAGGTCAGTGTTAATGAGGTCATTGACTCTATCTATAGCCTTCTGTAGAACCTCCTTGTTGTTCGCAGAGAGGTGGAGGTACAGGGGTGGGTCCCTATCTGACGCCTTTGTCCGGTCCGGATACCAGGTGCCTTTGGTGCTGACCGACGCGCCTGTCTCCTCGTGAATCTACATGTCCACACACCAAGGCAAGTCGGACGACAAGATAGGAATGGCAAAAGACAGAAAACACGATTAGCGCCCCCGAACCATGAACGCGGAACATTGGACTAGAAAATAACTCACGTCCGACTGCGTGCTCCCTCGCGTCAACAAATAACGATTGCGCACGTCGTTGATGTCGATATCGTGCGTAAACTCTGCGTCGTGTGGGTCGCGCATGCCGAGCTGGACGCTGCCCGCTGCGCCGACGCCGTCCTTGAACTGGGCCGCGATCTTGGCCGCGATGGCTGCAGCGGCGGCGGCAGCCTCGGACGCGGTCTTGCCGTCCTCGGCTTTGGGTGCCTTGGAGGGGTGCGAATTGTTGTCATCGTCTATGTTGGTGCCTGCGTCGGGTGCGGCCTGGTCCCATTTGCGCTTGGACGACATTTTGGAGTTGCAGCGAGAACAAATGAGGAAGTGGGAACGGCGTAGTGTCACGCTCTGTCACGCGTTTGGCTTGCTAGACGGGTGACTGCGTGACCGCTACGAGGATGTGACTCTGGGCGTCTGTTTGTCTCGCCCTCATGACCGTGGAGAGCGGCACAGAATCTCCGCATCGTCCGGCGTGCTCTACGCAAAATGGTCATTTTCCCGGCCTCAGAGCTTGGGAATGGAGGCGGTACAGGATAATGCATAAAGCCCAACTTACTCGCTCGGTCCGCAGTTTCTTTTCTCACTGAGTCACCGATCACCCTAGTGCCATGGCTTTTGATGATGCAAGTACTATCGCTCCAGACGAGCGTTGTGACACCAAGAGCGTCGACTTTGTGAGCCCTTCTTCATTCAAAGCGCTTCGTGTCACTGACGGTGGGAAAAGCGCTCGTCATTCTCCAAGGATAGCTTCATCTTTCGAGACGATGAAACGCTAGTATCCTCTTTCGAGGGCTACGACAAGGAGAAACAGTCTGAGTCCCTCCAGCGGCCCACGCTCAAGCGCAAATCCCTCGACGACCAGTATTGGGTATCATGGGCCCTTCCAGGCGTTCGTGAACACACCTCTGAAAACGCCATCGGTCGTGTCCGCAAGGCACTCGTCAAGGCCCTCACGTCCATCTGCGACGCGCGTCGCCGGTGCGCAGGATCCAGCTCATCCACCCCCCGTCCCATAACCACGGTCGATAGCACTGGGCTCTCCCTTGCCGACTATATTGCTATCGTCGACCGCGAATTCTCGCCCGCCGCCCGGTTCTCAGGCCAGCTACTCGTCCTCGCATCGCATCTCCAGCCTCCCTCCGACTGTATCACCCCTGACTGCAAGGTGCACCCAAGCATCAAGGCGTCGCAGTGGGCAGAACGCGTCCACGCTGTCGTGGCTGAGCGCGTGTCTGAGCGATACGAACACAGGATCACGGCGCTGAGCGTGCACGGCACGCACGACATCCTCATACACTGGGCACAGCTCTCGCGCGAATCGCCTTACCTCCGACGCGTGAGCGTGAACCTTGAGCATCCAGACCGTCCGTGGTCGGCCACGCTCGACTTGGATAGCTGGGACTCCGAGTCTGACGGGAACGTACCTTCATCTGCTGTGACGTCTGTGCCTGTGCCTGTGCGCGAGCCTCTGCCCGCACCTGCCCTACATGTCACACGCATCCCTCTGCACCACCTTGACAAGCTACAGTCTTCAGCGGCGGTGTACATGTCCATCCCCTGGGCGCATCTCGCGCACCTCTCCTTGTCTGTTGTCATCGCCCAGCAGCGCTTCTGCTCATACAACACTATCCTGCACTGCATCTCAAATCTCAAATCCCTTCAGTCCCTCTCTATCACGCTTACCCACGCTCTCCCCTCCTACTCGTCCTCTGACACCGTACTAGCACCGTGGAACATCTCGTTTACCCCTCCCGCCGAACCCATCCGTTTACCCCATCTGCATAGTCTAGAACTAGAATTCCCCCTTTCAGACTACCACAGCGCCAGCTTCGTAGAGACCGCGTTCGACCTCCCGTCTCTGGCCCGCCTGCGTATCGCGCGCGGGGCACAGGACGAGCGGAGACCAACGGCCGCGTCCAAGTGTGGCCTTCAACTCGCCAAGCTTCTTGCACCTGTTTCCGCCCTCGAGAGCCTCTCGCTGGCTGTTCGCAAGGTAGACGTGAACGACCTGATGGAATGCTTGGGCCAGTGCGTCGTGCGGCGAATCGAGCTCGCGCTGTTTGACGCGACGCATCTCGTGAGCGGCCTAGGCGCGCTTGGGAATGGGTCGGGTGAAACGGGTGTATGCACTCGGACGCCGCTCCCGAGCGCGCAGATCATTCGTCTGCACTCCGCCGTGTGGAACCACGTCAAAGTGAAGCTTGGGATCGACCAGCGCCGGCTTTTGAGGGCGCGGATCGGCAGGGTCTGTGGGGAGGGCTCGACGTCGCTCAATACCGTCAAGGCGTTCCGCGAGAAGACGAGCGGGGGAGATGCGAGTGCGGTGCTAGAGGAGGTGTGGGAGAAGGAGCTCAATGGCGAGCGGATGTACTTTGTGAATGTCTTTCGTGTGCTCCTCTCGAACCCTAGCTCCTTTAAAGCTAAGGATGCAGGGACATGCTACGGGTCAGGGGTTTATCGGTAGGTTGTGTATATTCTGAAACGAATCGACTGCATGTATTGGTACGATACGATGTGAAGATGTCCGCGTATACAGCCAGCTTGGAGCTATACCCTCTAACGCAGTCGAGGCGTATACGAACCGGAGATTAATGGAGCGGCACACGGCGGGAAAGAAGGCTGCAACACGGCCCGTAACTCCGCGACGTAGGTACTTGGATAGACGCCGCGGTAGCTGGCAACGGGCAGCGACTTTTTGGTGTCTTCATTTTGCTTCGTTGCCTCGATGCGCTCGTACCCATAGCACGACTTGAAGGACATCGTGAGTAGCATCGCCAATATATCGACGAGGCGCTCAACTAAGGGACTAGCAAGTCGATACTATATGCATGAGGTTCGACTGCCACTCAAATAACTCTAAATCAAACATTCGTGTGATAACAAGCTCTTGATCTACGTCACACAACGATAAAACGCTGAGACTCACTCGCGACGAGACAAAGGGAAAGCCGGGGCAGAGGTATGTATACATTGATCCCTGAGTTCGCAAACTTTATCCATCTCATTTCTACCCAGCTACCACTCCGTTTGAATATGTGTCTATCTTGAATTTCGTTCCAGTGTTGAACCTATCGAATCTTCACCTTCAGCGATGGTGTGCGAATCTATCACAATGCCTCGTTTCTCAGTTGGGCCGCGCCCTCCTAGAACATCTCCCTGTCCCCAACATCCAAGCTTTGAAATGCTCAAGACTTGTATGGTGCATAGTCAATACGACGAGAGTCACTATGCTTCTTCCTGCCTTTCTAGACGATGCCGTATCAGATGGAACAGGCATCTCCCGGTCGCTGAATTGTTTCGCGCGTCTACGACACTCGATTTAGATGGCAGTTCACTTCACATTCCATATGTTCAAATCAACGACCTCGGTAACCTTCGTACCTCCTTTGCGCAGTTTCGGCATGCATCATCGTCCACCCTGTCTCACCTCGTCATCAACTCGTACATCACGGGCTTCATGTCGAATGTCTACGCTGTTCTTATCCAAGGGATCCGCGAGTTGACTGCGCTCCGCACGCTCGACCTCAGCGTCAGTTTTGAAAATTCCAGAGATTCGCAACATATAGACATCTTTCCCGAACGGATGCAGCCTGTTTGGCTGGCGTCTCTTGAGGCGCTCACGCTTCGGATCCCGACGTCAAGCTACGCCGGTATTGAATTCATCAACACCTTTCGCACTCCTGGCCTCAAACGGCTCACTATCACACGTTCGACTCGGCCTGGCCCAACCTCGCCATTGCATATTTGCGCTCTAACAATGGACGAGTTGCTGGGTTACACCGATGCACTCGAGGGTCTGGCCGTTTACGACGCGAACATCGATTTAGACGACTTCCTTGGATGCCTACGGGGCCATCCACTCAAGCACCTCGAGCTTGCCTTGTTCCGCAACTATGCACAGCGCATCTTGCTTGCGCTGAACTGCAGCTCCGGAGTTTACCTATCCTCTGATGTCCTTTGTCCGACTCTACAGTCTCTGCGTTTCCGCATTGCACTCGAACCCGAATGCACCCTGTCACATGCAGTGATAGAGTCTCGGCGTGCGAGGGCACAAGTAGACGAGGATGTGGCTATTAATCGTATCTACAAGCAGATGGTCGGCTTTTGTTTGCCGTTGCTTGGTTGTAGACTCCTGTGCTCTTCACCTCGCTCGCTGCTCCAAAAGACTGAATGCAGGACCAGGGGGAACACTTCCGCACCCATTTACGAGCTGATATTAAATGCGGGTCTCCTCAGCTCATGCCAACAAGACGACGGGATCGACCGCGGTTCGTTGAAGCAGAATTGCTCGAGTGTGAATTGTATTGAATGGTAGAATACGTTGACCAATCGGAACGTACGTTGGTGTCCCCTCTTTCGATGTATTTTCAAGATACAGAGCCCTACATCCCCTAACGTCCGAATGTATTCAGACAATTTCCCGATGTGCTAAGCCCCTGGGCTTTTTCATCTACAAGAGTTCGCCCAAATCTTCCAGTCCCTCCTCATCTCCCCTCACCTTGCCTTTCTCTTCCTCACCCCTTATCATCATGCGAGTTGTAGTATCCCCACGCATAAGAGCATCGTCGTCGTTAGTCACGATATTGTGTTCCCCTCCATTACCGTCTAAATGCCGAAGTGTAACTGAGGCGTGTCTTGTGCTCAAGGAAAAGACCGTCGGGCTATGGCATCTGACGGACAGGTTACGCGACATCGTTGACCCAGCGGAGATGACAGAGTTGGCGAGTGAACGTTCAGCTCATGCGTTGCCCAGGTGCTCCTTGAGACATTTCCAGGAACCCGTAACGGTTACCATCGACGAGCTTGTATAGGAGAGCAAGGTTTAGTGGACCTTGTCTCTCCGAGTGCTTAAACAGCCGCCCGCATTCCTCGTACAGTTGATATGTCGATAATGCATAGGTCAATAATGCATAATGCTCATAATGCATAGAATTTTGCATTTATCTAAAAGATGCCCGCCAAATATGCAAAATAATCCATAATCCATAATCCATAGCATTCTCGGAGCAATTATGCATTATGGGATGGGTCTGAACCTGGTATCCGTTGTCCGTTTTTACATAAATTAACACACTTCTGTACAAAAATGCACTAATGGTCCACTCCCCAAGCTTCCGAGAACCCCGCAAAACGCATCAAATCCACGGATAAGCCCTCAGTGCTGAGTCAGCACCCAAGAAGCGTGGCAAGAACCTCACTTTAGAGGAATGGCCGGGTTACGTGCTTTTGAGTTTTGCGATGCCCACAAGGACATGACACAAGGAGACGTAGCTGAGCCTTTCTGGACCCTCCAAACAGGGCCACTCAACTTCACTCCAGTCTCGTTCTCAAATTCAAGCAAAATTCAAGCACGCTCGACATCCATCCCAGCTGGACACTTAGCAAAATGGGATTGTGTTCAGTGTCAATGCTGCATTCCGAGGAGCTCCGTACTGCACAACCCACTTCTTCAGAAACTTATTTCTTAAAACCAAAGTAACTAGAAAACCTTTACGCTCAAAATTAACCACGTGACTGCTCTTCAACCGTGGGAATTATATGCTTTTGCATAATGTTGATAATGCATAGGATTTGGGGCATTTTTACCGTATGCATTATCGACATATCAACTGTAGTATCACTTGAGCTGAGAGCAAACGGGTGCTCAACGGGTGCTCATGAGCGACAGATTGTTATTTTCTTGTGGAGTTCATTTTCTTTCATTTGCGCTTGTCAGTTACTCGTTCAACAGTAGGTAGTTGTCGATTTTGAGACCACTGAACACAACTTAGATCATTGCACAACTCGCTTGACGCGTGGGGCGTAGCAGTGGTAAAGCTGCCGACATACACTCCGCTGTCGGAGCTATTAGTCGGAGTAGATCGGCGTGTCCCTCTAATCCACCAGGATGACATGACAGCACCGCGAATCGTCACAGTCTCTGCAGACACGCCGAAGACCGGAGGTTTGTCGCAATTTATCACACTTGAGACCCCACGTCGCCTCATATTACAGGAAATCCGACCACACGGGCCGTTGGTCCGAAGATATGTTGCATTGTCATGGCGAACTTACGTTAGCCTTTCGGAAACACTCTGCTCTCAGGCGCTCGTGCTCTATTGAAGACTCTGTTGGGAGCGCTACTTAACTTACCCGCAGGTTCTTTTCCTCTCCCACCGCACCTTAGTGCCGTCCTATTCGTCCGGGCAGAGCTCTCTCGGTCTCCAGCGCTACTCTCCACCATTGGCCAATGAAGCGACAGTTGTCGCGGTTGTTACGTCTACGTCGTGAGCTGTCCTTTCGGTTAGCTGGCTATTCCAAGTGAAGCTGACATCACAATGACAGGTAGTTCCCTTCCTGCACCCGAAGCAGCGTTCCATGGCCAGCCTGATTCACGGCGTGGTCCCAATAACGCGAACATGCCCCAGTGCCTCCTCCTGCCCGAACTTCTTGATGTCATCTTCGACTTTGTTAGCGACAGGAGTACTTTAGTCTCTCTGGCCCGCGTATGCTCTCACTTTCATGCAGTCGCTGCGGACAAGATTCCTCGGCATCTGGCCCACGTATACGAGCTTCTGATGTGCTTGCCGCATAACTTATGGGAGCTGAAGTTGCGAGAGCAATATAATGAGTTAGGCTACATGGCGTCGATGGGGACGCACTCAAAACCCTGGGTTCTGGTACGTGATAACAACGCTGTTGGCGCACTGCCCGGGAATGTGGGCCGTTGACCATCCATGTCCCCAGTCGTTCGTTCGCGAGATGACCTCAAACGACTGGCGTATCTTCATATCCAAGGCCAGCAAAGTCAAAACCATTGGAATCGGAGATTGCATCAAAGAGGAAGATGATCACTGGATGAGGCTCTTTCTCGGGTACGAGTACTATCCCGAGTTGCATTATCCTTGGTATCGTGGGAGACCAGTCACCATTGGCTCCTCAATCAAAAAGGCCTTCGTATCTGCAAAGTGTATTCCTATCCTTTTCCCCAATCTTCGGGCTCTTCGGGGACCGATGCCACGGTACATGCTTCCGAAGGCTCCTCCGACTCATCTCGACGACGTCGATGCCATTTCTCTAGAGGATGCGCTAGATTATGATCAGAAGCGGCCTTCGCTTCCAAGCGGCTGTCCAAATCTTCGGGCATTTACTTTCACTCCTGATCCCCCTTTCCTTCATCAACGCCCCCTGGACTACCATCGCTTGTTCCCACTATACATCTCGAAATGGGACCACCTCCGGTCGTACACTGGCCCGGTCGATGTCCAGATGCTACTGCATCTTGGTCATTTCACCGATCTTGACGACCTCAACCTATTGCTCAACTCGCATATTTGCCTGGACGAGTTTCGTTCATTGCCGCTGCCATCGAGCAGGCCGCTTCTAAGACTCAGCTCGCTGAAGTTCCGCACGTCCTGTTGCAGCGAGGTTGCCAATGCTCTGCGCATCCTATTCCGCTCTTTTGAGGACATCCCATCGAGCCACCAGCCCCCAACCTTGCGACACTTTGCTATGCTGGGCCAGTTTGACACCACCTCCTTTTCCAAGATGGGTCTCCTGCTAGCAAATACGGTCTCTGTTGACTCTCTCGAGACGTTTTGCATCAGCGACATGCGGGAGGGATACGTTTATTCGCTCAGAATGGTGACGGCAAGCAGGAAGTCCGTTTACGAGACGCTTCGCCCGTTGTGCGTTTTCCCGAACCTCACAGGCATCCAGTTCCCCTTGACCACCGGACATCAAGTTAAGAACGGCCGCTTGACCGCAGCGCAGCTCATCGAGCTGGCCTCTGCGTGGCCGGAGCTTCGCGAGTTTCGCATCGCCAAACCTGGCGTCGAGTTCACGCTGCTCGAGGCCGCTGCTCTCAGGAGACGCTGCCCTCGGCTGCAGACCATCCCATATTCGTCCATCAGGACGGATAAACACGATGTCGCAGCGCTCGCCGCCGATCCTGGATTATTGGAACGCGTACTCGGTTCTGATGTACGCATTACCTCTGTTGAAGGAGCTCCTTAGGTTGCTCGTACCAATTATTCTTTTTGATAATACGATCATTATACCACGTAGACATAAGCATTCGAGCTTCACAGAAAGGTTTTTCTTTGCAGTGAGCGCTGCCAGACACCAATGTCCCAGAAACTCTTACTGTATTGACCCGCAGTCTGCCCTCGTATCAGCGATGGAATCCATTCTATCTCAGAAACAGAATCTAGACCCGCCGAGACCCGAACTTGAGACGTCCGTGCTGCGTTTTACCCATGCACCCACAATGAGAAGCACCCTAGAACGCTGTACTCAGGGTCAATAAACACTTTAAGGTTAAATTCTGATGTGCTTGCTGTTGACATAGAAGCTTTTAATTAAAAGGCAGGTCATGTGCACGTCACACAAGTTCGCGTAAGGGAGAGGGCACAGAATGTTCGACTTGTTTAGAAATGCGGTATACTGTATGAAACCGTCACACCAAGGTTACACGTGTCTACCAGCGAGAATGTTGGTGGAGGTTTACGACTTCTGAACCTATCTAAGTCATCGCTGAAGAGGACCCAGCAGGAACACCACCACCGAGAGTGTAAAGGATGTTTGGTAAGGAGAGCCGAACAGCAGGTGTCGGGAACGTGAAAAAGGCGAGGGTCAGCTAGCCGAGTGATAATTGAGAAGCCAACGATGGCAGACCTGCGCACCAAACTGGAAGGTAATTCAGTTCACTCACACATATAAGCCCCGCATTCCTCGCTCGACATGCCCATCCAACCTCTCCCTCCTCCGCCATGGCAGACACTTTCAGATGGAACCCCATCCTCTATTGGCAGCCAAATGGCTTGCGTGACGTAAGTGGGCTCAGCAGTCTGTTCCACTCAACCACTCACCTTGCGCGGTGTAGGTGGAGCTCTACCTGGTACACCTCACCTGGAGGCTCCGGCGAGTATGTGCTGCCAATGAAGAGTACCCGTGAGTAGCCAGACCTCGAGCTGATATTAGTGCCTAATTCCGCATCAGGATCATAAGCACAAATACCAGCACGTGGAGCGACGTAAACATTCTGGTCACGAAAGAAGTCACGGTCGAAGTGGAGGTGGTAGAGTCGTAACAGGGAGGACACCGTGACCAGCACGCACCTGCATCCCAAACCAAACTTCTTCGTCGTTCCTTATACACTCCAATTCCTTTCGCTCGTTTATCAATACTCTTGTCCAGTCCGTTGTTTGCTTCGTTGATCGTTGGTTTCTCGCAATAGACTGTTTTCCAAAGCCACTCCGGCGTCGCCTTAGCCATCGTCCAAGTACTAGCTCTGATTCCTATTTGGTGTCCTTGATAGATAGGCAGGTCTGGTGGACGAAGAGCGTCAAGACCTGCAGCTTTAATAATATACTTTAATGGACTCACCTATGCCTCTGATCACCGGAGATCTTGCAGTCTATTGCAAGCTCTTTCAAGCTTAGATCGGGTCGGTTTCACGGATTAGGCCTGTTGGCGAGTGTGTGCCAGACAACGTACCAGCAGAGATCAGCTCACTGTGACACCAAACCAGCGACCACGACGTGACAAAGTATCCGCCCTTGTAATAGACGGTAGCTATCTCCCGTCCAACGTATGAACGTATGGCCAAAGTATGTCGATCATATGGCCGCGCCAGAAAGTGTGGTCGGCATGAGGGTGGATATGCTTGAGGACGACAGGAAGGAGGGAGGGGAAAGATACGGGTGGGTGACAATCTGGTTGATCTCGATAACGACGTGGTTTCTGAAAAAGTGACGACTTCCCAGTGCGCTCTCTCCGTCCCATCGATGGATGGACTGAATGTTGGGATCTCAATGTTCGGTGGGGACGATAGCAAACGGAGAGACGTCGGTAAAATACCCACAAGCTCGCATATTTAGTCGCGGGTATCTCCGGCGGCGCTGCAGCTCTCTAGTGGGCGAAGTACTGTTCAGTAATGGACTCTGTGCAACCTAGATGTTTGTTGCTTTTTGAAAGTCGCGGATGGAAATATGTAGACGAGACATTCCTAGTAGGACAAATCGCCGCGAAAGTTAACGGTTTGGCGATGAACTGGAAGAAGATCTTTCCCAAACTCTTCTTACCTACTAGCAGTGGGTCGGCACTTTCACCCGAGTACTACCCGTCTTACTTCTGCCACTGTGTATATCCCCAAATATCTGCAGTGTTTATCCACAAAATCATGGCCGTGATTGATACCTTTGCGAGGTGATCTCACGAGTTCGTACACAGTTTACATGATCATGCCACGCCGACGAAGTCATTGAGTTCACCCGCGATTACGACTTAGCAGAGATAGAAAAGCTAGTGAACCAATGACCAACACCAGGCACGCATGCATGACCTCCTACTACATGACACTGCTACGCAACGCTCCGCTGAAGCTACCTGCTGTTGCACGCGTTGACGGTGCTCCCGCTATTGGGCAAGCTCACGTTACTAAAGGTCTGCAAAGGAGGATAAGAGGAAGATAAATTGACCTGCAAACATATACGAGCTTCACGTCCGGGTTGTATCGTTGCGGAAATCCCCCTACGACGTAACCAGGATGCCAATCGAATTTGACAAGTCTGCTTGGCTTTTACGCCCACAAACACCTAGAACCTTGCGCCGCCTCCTCAGTAAATCCGTCGCATCTTTCCCTTTAGTCCGTCATGGCAGAGAATTTAGATGGAACCCCATCCTCTATTGGCAGCCAAATGGCTTGTTCGAGGTAAGTGGTCTTAACAGTCTATCCCGCTCAACCACTCACCTTGTGCGGCTTAGGTGGAGTTCTACCTGATGCACCTCACTTGGAGGCTCCAGCGAGTATGCGCTCTCAATGAAGAGCACCCGTGAGTAGCCAGACCTCGAGCTGATATTAGTGCCTAATTCCGCAACAGGATTGCAGGCCCTAATACCAACCCGTGGAGCGACATAAACATCCTCGTCACAAAAGAAGTAACGGTCGAGGTCGAGGTGGTGGAGTCCTAACAGGAGGACATTGGCACATACCTATACCCGGCATCAAACTTTTTCATCGTTCCTTATACCACTCCGACCCCTTTCGTTCGTTTATCAAAACTCTTGTTTAGTTCCCGTTATTTGCCCCGTTAGTCGTTGGCATCTTGCAATACATTCTTTTCGCCCAAGTCCACTCAGGCGTCGCCCTAGCCATCGTCGAAGGCCTAGCGTTGGTTCCTCTATTTGATGTCCTTGATAGATAGGTAGGCTTGGTGGACGAAGAGCGTCAAGACCTGCAGCCTTTAGAGTACGGTTTGATGGACTCACCTACGCCTTTGATCGCCGGAGATCTTGCGGTCTATTGCAGGGTCCTTCAAGCTTAAATCCGGTCATTTTCGCGGACTGCATCTGTTGGCGAGCGGGTGCCAGATAACATACGAGCAAAGATCAGCTCACTGTGGCACGGAACCAGCGCCCACGACAGTGGCAAGGTCGCCACTCTTGTAATCGACGGTAGCCATCGTCCGTCCAACATATGAGCGTATGGCCAAAGTAGGTCGATCATATGACTGCGCCAGAAACTGTGGTCGGCATGAAGGCGAATATGCTTGAGGACGACAGGGAGGAGGGAGAGGAAAGATACGGGTGGGTGACAATCTGGTTGATCTCGATAACGATGTGGTTTCTGAAAAAGCGACGACTTCCTAGTGCGCTCTCTCCGCCTCATCGATGCATAGGTTGAATGCTGGAGTCTCAAATTTCGATGAGACGATAGCGGACGATAGCGGAGGAGCAACGGAGAGACGTCGGTAAAATATCCACAAGCCCACATACTCAATTATCACTCGCGGGTATCTCCGGCGGCGCTGTAGCCCTCTCCAGTGGGCGAAGTTTGGGCGAGGTATCATATTCAGCTTAGTTCGCTCAGTAATGAACTCTGCGACTTGAATGTAACATACAATTGAAAGCCATAAACATACTACGGACGTGGTCAACCCAGACCCAGAAGCCGGAAGACCAATAACTAGTAAGGCCAGCCATACGATCCCTGGCACGAGCGTCTTCCCCGTGCCACTCGCACTGTTCGCATACACAGATAGCGCTCCAACCACTATACAGGTGCATGTCAGCTTCAAGAAAGATTACTGGGGAGGTAATCCAACGCGCAAGCACATACGAGTTTCACGACCGGGTTGTATCGTTAGTATGCCTGTCTCATCCGACGACGAGTTGACTTGACTTAGTCCGCTCTGTGCCTTTGCCAATCCACGCAGATCACGGCGCCGTTTACACCGATCTGGTGTTGAACGTGCTTCCCTGTCACTCATCTTCTGGGCATATCATCCACTCTGGAGGGTATGTCCCGAGGATGAGAGAGTGAGTGACTGGACGTCGAGCTGATACCCGTCCCTTAAATCTCAGCACAAATGTCAGAAACGAGTTTGAAACGAGTACTAGCCATTTGGCGCTCTACGTTCCTGAGTGTCCACACCGGCATATCCTAGTGACCAGAAGAGGTGATGGCCAGTACTAGTGTTCGTGAAGAGGGGCACTGAGAGGAGGTATTTTAATCTCATACCGGCGTACCCAGCCATTCTAGCGGTTCCTATCGTCGGTCAGATCAGCTTTGCTCATTCGAGGACTTTTGTCTACAGACTCCCCTTGTTTCCCAAACTACCCCCACCGACGCCTCACCGACAACTTGGAACTATATCAGTGCCGTTGTGTCTTACCGTCAAAGTCATGTCAGTCCGTTTCTCCGAGCCCAACCACCTTGTGCATTAAGTGGAGTTCTTCCCAGCGCATACTCTCCTCAGCGTCCGCATAAGGTGGTGCACCTCACGTGGAGACTCAGGAAGGTATGCGCTGCGAATGAAGACCACCCATGAGTAGCCCGACATCGAGCTGATATTAGTGCCTAATTCCGCGAACCCGATAGTAGGCATTAATGTCAGCCCATGGGCCAACCTTAACATTCTCGTCACGAAAGAAGTGACGGTCAAAGTGGAGGTCGTGGAGTCCTCACAGGGAGGCCGACCACAGCTGTTCTTTCACCTTCGCTCGAGTACTGCGACGGTGCCTGGAGTCGTCTTTTGAGCCTCCGGTCATGTTTAGCTAGGTAGTGAAATGGAAATAAACGACCGCACTGGGATGGTAGATAGCGGTCGACGAGGAGATAAGGGCGGTGGGTGAGTGGCAACTTGAAGAAGAGGCAAGAGAAGAGGCGTAGGCTGATCTTGATAACGATGGTAGTTTCTGAAAAAGTCGCGGAGTCCAGCGTATTACAAGTTACCTTCTGCGCATCTGATCAATCCGTGGGCCAAGTTGCTGAGATCCCGATGTTCGATGACAATGTGGCAACGGAAAGACGTCGGTAAAACCCCGAGTGGAATAGGGGCTTTTACAATTCTTTTTCCGGCCAGGTGTCTCTTGCACCGTCCACTAGATCTCTGTTAGCGCGCAAGGCCTCGACTAGCAGCTCTCATTCGACCAGTCAGGGGAACTACTCATCGTGCAGTAAGGAACATCTGTACACTTCACACTCCTAGTACAATGGCGACGAAACGACGACGCACGAGCTCCACCACCCACCCACCCACATCCATCGACCCATCGACCTCCTCCCCAACACCATCCTCAAACACCTCTCCCACCACCCGCCCCGATCCAGGCTCAGACACACCCACTGACCCCGACGCCCGCGAACCGACGCCCAAGACCCAGCGCTCCAGCAGCACAGGCCGCGCGCCGCTGCTGTGCACGCTCCCGCCGACATGCCACCCGCCCGCGCACGCGCCGACGTCGCTCGCGGACTCGCGCGCGCTCGAGGCGCACTACGCCAAGTACCATGCGCACGTGTGTGCGCTAAGGGGGTGTGCGGGGGTGTTTCCGGATGCGCGGATGTTGGAGCTGGTGAGTGGTCGTGGATGTGCTTGTGGTCTTGGTGTGTTGGTGAGCTGATGGTTTTGTGTTCTGCGTGGATGGGGCGGATGTGGATGTGGATGCGGATGTGGGTGGTTAGCATATTACGGAGTGTCATGATCCCATTGCGGCGCTGCGCCGCGATCGGGGGGAGAAGATCGTGCGTGCGCGTTTGTGTTCTCGGTGCGCTGATGCGGGTCTGACGCTCTTGCCTCTCTCCGCGCACACACGGCACCTCACGTTCCCGCCCCCGCCTCCGTCCCTGCGGTCTCGCGCCCTGCGCACTCAGTTCGCATGCTACCTCGCATCATGTAACCGCCCCTTCCTCACACCGAAAGCGCGGCGTCTGCACCTCATCCAGGCACACGCATATCCAAAGGAGTACTTTTTCGCGGTCACGAACAAGGGTGTCGGCGGGCTGCTGAAGCGGTGGGGCGACGGGGCGAGTATGATTCGCGGGACGTGGAAGCCACGAGAGAAAGGGGGAGATGAGGATGATGTTGGTGTTGGTGTTGGTGTTGACGTTGGCGTAGATGGGGAAGCGGCGATGGACGAGGACGCGCGGAGCTCGGACGACGAGAGCGAGGGCGGGGGCGGTGGAGATGGGGAATCGGAACACAACGAACACGACTCGAACACGGCCACCCCTAGACCGGCGGACGGGACATCGCCAGCGCCTGGATCGGGGGACGTCGACGCGCTCGCATCGGGTCTCTCGTCGCTCTCGCTCGTTCCGCCTGCGATCCGCTTCGGGCGGGGCGGAAGAGGTGGGTTCATTCAGCCTGCTATGAACGTCCATCCAAGAGGGGGTGGTGGTCGTCGAGGTGGACATGGGGGACGCGGTGCTGGTGGTGGCGCTCACGCCGCAGACAGTCAACATGGCGTCGCACCAGACGTTCACACTGGTGTTGGACGGGGAGACGATGGGACGGTTCGAGGGCCGCGAGGCGGGTACGGGGGGTCGGGTAGAGGGCTGGGTGGGCCGCCGCCGCGAGGATCGGGGAGTAGGGTCAGGCGGGGCGGACGCGGGGCGGTAGGCCGCGCTCCAGGACCATGATGATGATGAGGGTGGTTTCTCTTCGTTGGTGTTTTCTCGAGGGTTCGTAGGAGAGGTGCCGGTGATGTATCGAGGGCTGGATCTAGGCGGGTGCATGTATTAACACGATACAATGTAGAATAGCGGATTCATCGGTCTCCTGACTGTATCTGGTCACTCATTTACTTGAGAGTTCTGATCATCCAACAGCATCGGCCATTCTGTTGGATTTGGGCATTTCAACTACGAGCTGATGTTGGAAGTAACAAAAGAAAGTCCCAAGGTATGTATTGGTACGCGTCTCATGACACCATTGATGATCTAGAAAACGCTGTACCTGTGATGTGTGATTTGAATGAAGCTGCACAAGACAATAACGAGAGAGCCAAATGCGCATATACGGACCCAGATGAGCCCACACCTCGAACGACCGGTGGGTGGGCTATCGGTACCGCGAAGGTGCTCAGTTCCACGACGAAGTGGAAGTCTGATGGTAATGCGAGGATGGGTATCGGTGAACGGACGTTGCTTTGTTCGAGGAGTGTTCCCACTGCCCCCGACGGTGAAAGTTTATACAATGAAGAGTGTCAATTAGGCAGTCAGTTGTGGGCGGCCGACGTACGATCGGCGGGACATTTGTCCACATCTCCGTCATCGCCGAGGTGGATGAGAAGCCATCAACGGAGAGTACAAGGACGAGTTGCCCAAAACGCGGTCGTGTTTGAGACGCAAAAAGTTTATCCGCGTTCTCGACGCGTCCCAGGTCGCTGATTGTGCGGGGAAGTGGCTCGGGTACGTGTCGTGGGAATGTCAGAAAACAATGAACGCCAACTTGTTTGCTTCCGCGGGGGCTTTACAACGCCCAACGCCCAGGAGAACACAAGGTCTATTGTCCAACGCGTACCTGCCACCTTTTGTCTTCTGGCCTTCATAAGGATGCTCCGTCAGCTAGAGGAGTGCCAGCATACCGCAGAGCTAGTCTCGCGTTAGCTTCTTCTGTCCTTTACTGCTCTCCTTGAAATCCACACTCGTCGAAACCTCGACCGTCTGTCTACCCATACCCCAACTGTTTTCTGTATCCCTACGCTCGCCAACATATACCTGATACCACCGCATTTTCTGTATCGATCTCAAGTCTTTTGTGAGTAACCTCCGAGCACTTCCCTTGACCAATGCTCACATCAACACCAGACTAATTCATCCAGAAGCAATACTACACTAATACCCCAACAAAATGTCTGCCGTCTTCGAAAGCTACTCGCAAGAGATTGCTGTCCCTGCAAAAATCAACCCGCTCCCGGCCTACTCCTTCCTCTCGCGCCCCCCGCCCCAGAAGAAGCGCCCTATCAAGCCGCTCCCGTCCCCTCCCGCCTACACGCCCCAGGCCAACCCTCCTCTCGAGCTCCGCGTTCCCAAGCGCCGCACCTCAAACACCTTCTCCACCATCCACAACTGGGCCTCCCACGTCCAGCCCGGCTCTCCTGCGTCTACCATCTCCCCGCGCTCGCCCGCCGCCTCCATCCGCCGCCGCCTCTCCAGCGCAGCGCTGCCCCGTCGTCCTTCCGTCGGACATGGCAAAGCCAAGCGCAGCATCTCTGGAACGCTCATCAACGTCGAGACCCCGCTGACGGCGACGACGCCCTCGATCACGATGAAGGAGGCCAGAGCGGGGCTCACCGCCGCCGGGTACACGTCCGTGTTCCTGGGGCTCAAGACGCCCATCAGCGCTGCCGTGCCTATCCCGCTCAACTTTAGCTCGCCCACGGACTGGGTGCACGTCGGGTTCGACATCGGCTTCGACGCCCCGAAGAGCGCCGGTGCGGCGCTCAGCTCTGCCCCCGGCGCCGAGCGTAAGCCAAGCATCGGCCACCGCCGGCTGCGCTCGCTCGGCGGCGCTCTCAAGGCGCGCTCGCGCTCCGCCGCACCTGCATCACCCACCCGTCCGCTCCGCGTCAAGTCCAAAGCAGCAGCAGCAGCCGCGGCCAAACCCAGCGCAGACACGATCGTCAAACGCAAAAAGTCCAAATACGCGCCCGTACCGCGTCCCGCGCCGCTCGCGAACGAGCTTGCGCTCATGCAGTTCGCGGATGGCGGCAACGCCGACGCGACTATTCAGCGTTTCATGGCGTCCCAGGCTCTTGCGGGGCACTGCGGCGTCGGCGTCGGCGACGTGTTCCGCGACGACAAGGGCGGGGTGTGGTGGGACGAGGACGAGGAGCTGGAGTACAAGCATCTCCTTGCTCGCTCCCCGGCATCCGCGGGCGACGGCGCGCTGTACGACGTCCCGCTCACGCCCGCCTCTGGCGCCTCCTCGATTGTCGCGCTGGGCAACGCGCAGTGGGTCAAGTTCTCCACCGCCGTCGCGGAGACGCGCACGGTCTCGTCGCGCGCCTCCTCGGACCTGGACGAGCGCTACCTCGTGCGCGCGGAGCCCGGCGCGCTGGACGGCGGAGACGCGTTCGTTGCCGTCGACTCGATGCTGCCCTACCTCCACCCTCTCGCCAACGCCTCTAGCTCCTCGTCGTCGTCTTCGGTCCTCGCTCTCCCCGCGCGCCCGCGCCGCACGGCGCCGCATCTGTGTAAAGCCGATTTACTGGTCGACGCTGCGTTTCGCCCGCCGCTTACCCCTCGTACGCCCAAGACTCCCAAATCGCCCAAGAGCCCGAAAAGCCCACGACACAAACCGAGCCTCACCTCTTTCCCCGCGAAATCAGCGAGCACAACCACCGCAGCCAGACCACGCAGACGCCCAGCGCCGCTGACGCTCGTGCCGCCTGCGCCCGGAGCGCGCATCGCGCTCGCTGTGAACGTGCTCGCTGTTGAGCGCGAGCGCAATAGGGACGCGGAAGCTGAGAGGGGGCGGAGGGAGTTTGATGCGGCTGCTTTTAGGCCTCGGCCGCGGGCGAGACCTGTGAGGGGTGCGGGTGCGGGTGTGAGGCCGGCGAGGATGGTGTTGGACTCTGGCGTTGGTGCTGTGCCCGAGGACGGTGCGGTGCGGGGTGGTGAGGATGGAGTGCGGGGTGGTGAGGAGGCTGAGTCTGGCACGGTGTCGGTGAAGACGCCTACGGCCAAGAACCGGTCGAGGTTTGGGCAGGGTGTGCGTGGGCTGTTCCGCGCGAAGTAATGGGATGGTGATGCTTTGTGCGTGTGTTTCTTGTTGCGATGTTGTAGAATATACCCCCGGACTTGCGTAGCTGCTGCAACGTGTTTTACGATGGTCATGAACTTTCTTGCTGTACTAGACAGATAATGGGCATGGGATCGAAATATGAGTGTTTCTTTTTCGCGCAGCGCTCGCATATGAGATATGTTACGACAAGGGATTGGAAGCTTCGTTTGGGGCCTTTCGTGGCTAATGGCCTCCGCGACGTTCGGCCTCGGCTATAAACCTCGGTCACGCTCGGCGCGGAGGCTTTAACTCGTCCAACAGCTCTGGCCGAGCGCTGACGTCCACGAGATACCGCGACTCCGAGCATATACATACGCAACTGGAACTGCCTACGATGTCTTAACACTTCTCCTCTAACCCTCTAACCAGCTTAACATGTCCGGTCAGCCCCAATCCCCAGCCCCCCCTCTCCCTTTCGCGCGCTAACACGCGCGCAGTAACAGGAAAATCCGCACTCGTCCTCGGCGCGACGGGCGCCACAGGAAGACTCCTCCTGCGGGACGTGCTCGCGTCGCCCGAGTTCGCGCGCGTCGGCGAGTACGGGCGCCGCGTGACGCCCGCGGAGACTGTCGCGGGGTACGCGGGGCGGGAGAAGCTCGAGCAGCGGACGATGGATTATGAGCGGCTGGGCGAGAGCGGGTTGCGGGATGGGCGGTGGGACGTTGTGTATGTTGCGTGAGTCTGCGCGCTGGCTGGCGTTGTGGGATGTGGACGGTTGATGGTGGAGCTGATTTGTGGTTTTGTTGTTGTTGTGCTAGTATGGGTACGACGAGGGCAAAGGCAGGTAGCGCTCAGGCGTTTACGAGGATCGATCGAGAGTGAGTGGGTGTACTATGAGGCTCACGGTTCCTCCTAATTCCCCGCATCGCAGATACGTCGTAAACGCAGCGAAGGAGGCAAAGACCAACGACCCCACGAACGAACAGCGCCTCGTGTATCTCTCCGTACGTGGTCCTCTCTACGGGCGATCCTCAATTTCCTGACTCAGGAGTGCACCCACACAGTCAGGAGGCGCGAACGCGGCCTCGCGGTTCCTCTACTTCAAGTACACATTCATTGTTCGGTCTTTCGTTACCAAGGCTGACTTGACGGCGCACTACGCAGGAGCAAAGGCCTCACCGAGCTCGAGCTCGCCGCACTCGGCTACAAGGAGACGATCGTCTTCCGGCCCGGGTTCCTCACAGGCGCAGGGCGCCCCGACAATCGTGTCGCCGAGAGCGTCGCCGGGTGCGTTGAGCTTCTAGTACGCTCTACTGTGATCGCAGCATCTGACATGCGCTCACTGTAGTTGTGTCACCGGCATTCTGTCAGCGCTATCGTTCAGCATGGACATTCCGGTGCGTATGAACTCGTCAAAACGTAGGATTGGCTTTAAGATCTTTATTTATTCAGATTCAGCTATGTGCCAAGAGCATCTGCAACGCGGGACGCTTGGGTGTCGCGGGCTTGCCTGCCTCTGCCCAGGCCGAGAAGGCGGGCAAGGAGGGCGCGTGGTTCACGCTGATTGATAACCCTGGGACTATTAACCTTGGCAAGGCGGATGTATAGGAGTATGGATGTTCTGGATTTTACTGGGGCTCTATATTGGAGACATATGCTGACTTATTTCAAGACATATCTCCTTGATCTGATACAATGAAACGCGAGCTAAATGCAACTTCACCGCGAAGGGCGTCTAGTATTAAGTGGTTGCAGGATGGTAGCTTCACGCCGTGTCTCAGCTCGCCAAGTCTGGCACTCGTCAGGCCCGGTACTCTCAGCGCTGGCGAGACCGCCCACCAACGCCGAAGAGGCTGCCCGCGAACAAATCGGCCGTACGACAGGCCCTCAACGCCGCCGTCGAGACCGAGGCCCAGGCCCTGTTGGCCGCATCACCCCACGCACAACGCATGTGTCGCTACGACCCCGCCCTCAACCGCCGGGCTTTCCTAAAACTCACCAAGGGCCTGTCCCGCCGCAAACATTCCCTGCTCTACCGCGTGCGCACAGGCTACGTCGAGCTCAACAGATTCCTCTCCCGCTTCGTACCGGACGTCTCCCCGGCCTGCCCCCACTGTGGTGCTGAAGAGACGGTTCACCACCTGCTGATGCGCTGCCCGCACTACCGAGCCGCTAGAGAATGCCTGGCAGCAGCCTGCCCCAAGCGCCGCCTCTCCCCAATGCCCCAGCTCCTCTCCCAGCCAGTCAGCGTCGAGGCGCTGCTAGCCTTCCTCTTCGAAACCGGCCGCTTCCCCAGGTACCAGCCCGCAACGTAGACTGAGCCCACATGCCCATCCCCTGCCGAAGACGCCCCAGGTAACGCCCCTTCTCTCCCCTTTTCTGCCCTCTCTCTCGTGTCTCGTCTCGTTCATATACACGCCCCGTTTCCGGAGAACTACCTCCCTCTCTCTCTCGTCTCATTTCGTCTCTCTTCTCTCTTCTCTCCCCTCCCGCGCATTGTTATAAACCAACCCAAATATACAATAACGTCTTACTACCTCACACCTTATTTTACTTTACGATCCCATACCTACATCCCCCACCACCCGATGCCCGGACAGGCAATTGTACTCAGACCGCCCGCCAACCCGAACGCCTACTTATGTCACGTCATGTTTACATAGACCTCGTCCCACATGAGGCATGGCCTCGCGGGACAATAAACGTTGATTGCAAAAAAAAAAAAAATCTCATTGCCACTCCGCAGCCCGCAATATCTAGCTTTACTTTGTTTCTTTCTCAAATGTGTGCATTTTGCAAAGTATGCTCCTTTGTCGGAAATTTCCCTCGGGCATTACTAAGCATTAGAATGCATGGCCATGGACAGGGGCATCTTGAAGCATTGTTATGAGAGGCTGAAACCATTATCATGCGTAACTATGCGGAACCGGCACATGGGAATGGCATTCTGATGGAGCGATTAGCCGACGTTAACCGAGCATAAGAATCCATTGTGATGGATTCCGATGCATGTCGGCATTATAATGTTAAAGCGAACAGGGGTATACCAAAAACGATTTGACCGCTTGACAACCATCAGAACGACCACTTTGTACTTGCCATTTTACTTGCATTTTATTTACTTTACTACTGATGATGTACGCTAATCACTTATTATTACTTTGCTGATGGTTACTACTACAGTTCTATTAAGCTGTTAATCTACTTGTTATTAGGCGTCAATGTGAATCGAACTCGGGACTTAGACAAATTTTACTTACCTTACTATAGTTGTCTAGAGCATAGTTCCGCTAGGCTATTATGCCTTGTACTAATTCTTAACTGCACTTCAATATATGCAGCTCTTTGAGAACATGAAAACACATAAGATCGCATTCACTGAATGCGAAGTCACCTCTATACACCAGGTACATAAGTAGATAGACGATTTAGAGCACGTGAAACAACGACGTAAATTGCAGTAAAGAAAAGTAGTGATAAAAGGCTCATTTACCCCCTGTAGCGGCCTGCCCTTTGGTTACTGCACGCCTAGCTCTTCCTGCGTTGGCCGATGTCGCTCCGGTGAGGTCAGAAGCGTCAGCTGACCTTGTGGCAGAAGGCAATGAGGCCTTTGCGGTACGAGCCCGAGTGGTTCGAGCCGCCAGTGGAGCAGGCGGAGGAGCCGCAACGGAGATGACGGAAGGGGCCGAAGTGGTCCCGACACTAGCAGACCGTTCGAACGCCATCGCCTGACCCCTGTGCAGCGCACGCGGGTTCAGGACAGGAGCGGTGACCACCGGGACAGTGGGAGTGGTCCCGGTGGTCCCGGTCACGAGCGAGGACTGGGAGCCGGATTCGGAGGACGTAGATAGAGTAACAGAACTTTGGCTGCCGATCGAGAGTAGATCAAGATGGCGATGGAGTACTGCAGATGCAGATTCCGCTTCAGCGGCAGGCGCCGCAGCTCCACCGTTAGGCGTCGAGATGGAAGGGGGGATCCCCAAAGAAACCGATGGCATGGCGGATTCGGCAGGCTCAGAAGGAGGCAGCGGCGACAGAGGAGAGTCGGACGTGGAAAGAGGGGGCAGAGGGGGAAGATCGTGGCCAAAACCAGGCGATGCAGGACGTTTGAGGTCCTCAAAAACGCTGTCCATGGCCACGACGACCGTAGCAGACGACGACGCGGCACGAGAAGCGACAGTCGTCGACCCGCTCTCGATGCCGAAAACTTCCCTAGCCCAGAACTTGAAGAGCGGGTCCCACCAATCCCTCGTGTCGCTGGAACTCAGGGCCATATAGTAGAAGTCGAACCGCGCCGGCCAGTTCACCCCGGTGCGGTTCTTCTTTGCCTTGAAGGAGTCATCCTCTCCTACACGATGCGATACCTGTACAATAGAATTTATTAAGACATGATGCTCAGAGGAATGGAGAAAAAAAACATACCAGGATAGCCATACAAGCAACGAGGCCGGGAGTCGGGTACTCAAGGCCCCAAAGATCGCCCTTAGCAGTACGCCCCCCGGTGCCGCCGCGAACTCCGAGTGAAGTCGGCCCGAAGAGGATACATTTTGCAGCCTGTTAAGTAGTGATACATATTGTAAGCGAGAACATTCGAACAATTAACGAGCTTACCTTAATCAACGCGCTGGACCTGAAGAGGCCTTCCCTGCAAGGGTGGTTGGGATCCTCGTAGAGAACGCTCGGGTACTTGGGATACTCGACCTTCGGCTCCGTGGGGTTCTTGCGAAGCGCGATGACGCCAGGGTGAGCCATGAGAAGACTTGAGTGCTTGCAGGTGTTGTGATCGAGCTCGAGGAAGTCGTGAAGGATGCCCCCGATATTCTCCCTGATCGTAGACACGCAGGCTCCGCGTTCAGCTTCTACAGCTAAAGCAAACTACAAGTACATGTAAGCATATGAACGAAGCAAACGAGGATACTTACATGTTGAGCAAACATCGGGTACTGAGTCGCGGCCACACGAAGCTTCTCGTCCAGGAATAACAAGAGCTCTGTGATGTGACCACGGAGTTGTGTGTCCTTGTTGGCCCACCTCCCGGGATCGATGGGGTCGATAGGCGTTGTGACGGCGGGAAACAAGAGTTCAGGGACCCAGATCCGAATGAGGATAGCATATTTCCGCGCGATGGCCTTGATAAGGTCGTTGAGAGCAGCCTCGCTCGTAGAGATCGAGCCGTCGGACATCGCCAAGCGAAGGAGGTAGAGTTCATGGTCGAGCGCCTTGTAGTCGGTACGAAGCTGGACGTACTTCGTCTGAAGTCGCGTGTATGCCTGTCAACAACAAATGTCAAAGACTGAGTTCAAGCCGCGAAGAAGAAGCAGATATAAACTTACAACACGTAGATCGGACTCCATAGCGGTCGCAGCGTTGATCTGCATAATGCTGAGGTGCTCTTGCTCCTCAGCCACTTTGGCCTCGTTGTCCGTGATGCCACGCATCTGCTCGGAGAAGTCCTCCAAGGTAACCTGGGTTGACATGGTTTGGTGCTGATGATAGACGGATATATGCGGCTGGTGGCGAGAATGACGAGACGAAGGCGATCGTGGAATTGAAACGATGGGAGAGTTAGCAGAGACGACTGTTTGCTGGTTTCGACGGGCAGCTCACCGTGGACTTATATACACATTGCAGGGCTGGCCCACATACGGATTTGAACGGGTAGATTGAGGTATTGGTGGCTTCTGAGCAAGAGCATCAGGTCAGCGCTCACACCGGTTCTTGGTTCTTTGACGTACCTTCTCTTCATGTCCCGCAGCATGGCCAAAGAGCGCAAGCCTGTACATCAAAGGCGAGGGCACAGGAATGAACACGTGTAAGCATAATGTATCAAAAATGAGGCGAATGTGAGAGTAAACGGACCGTCAAAGCTGAGGAAAAGAGCAGCAGACCCTGATGGTGAGGGATTGCTACATGAGCATGAGAGATCGTGATCCAAAAAAGAGCAAGACATACCGAGAGCCACCATGAGGTGCTGCAGAAGGTACACAGCTGCAAGCTATGTCCGTGGACTCGTAGGGTCGAACCTTGCGAGGAAAGATTCAGGACACCACAAGCGGTGCGGCGAGGCGAGTTCCAAACACGCATGGGCCTTGCAGCCAAGATAAACTATCACCGAGGACGAAAACCATGAGGCTGGCAATGCTCTGCTCCGTTTGAGAGGCAACGTTTCCGTAAAGTATCAGGACAACAGTGTATGCAGTATTGACTAAATAATCACAAGGATCAGTAGAGTTGCATCCAGTGGGGGAGACAGTGCCAGTAGCGTCTTACCTCGTCGAGAATGATTCGACTAGCCAATTCCGGCTCACACAAGGCAACGGACCCTATCACTGTCGACGGACAGTTACAGAATCTTCAATCGATCTGCCTCATGTAGCGCAGCGTGTTCGTGAACGCCCCTCCCGAGGTGCACAATCTCCTGAGACCGCGGAAGAATATCCCCAAGCCGGTAAGCGTCTTGAGTGTGGCCGGACGCTGTCTGATTACAACGTTCAGATGGATTCGACTCTCCGCCCCGTCCTCCGTCCACGCGGTGGTATGCAGGATTCAATAAGACACTCACTAGCGAGATCGTTACGCAGGCGGCCGCTAATCGCCTAGTTTTGACGCTGTAGACGACCCAAAAATCCAATCCCGTTGTCTCACCGTGAGTTGTCTTGTCCGTGCACATGCTGACTTTGCCGTTTAAGAATGAGCCGCGCATACCCGAACGACGTCGACTGTAGATAGTTGTAGCGAGTCGTGAATGGGAAGAGGAAGGTAAAGTTCTGAGGAGGATCGAGGGCCCAGTCTTGCAGACAAGAGCTTGAGGACAACGTCAGCCTCGCGATTAGGCGGTAGAATACGTTACACGTACCTCGCAACAATCATGGGCTCTTCCAGTTGATGGGTCAGCTTAGCAGAAAGCTTCTTGTTGATGAAGGCATTCTCATCAAGAGCCCGTTGATCGAGTGCCTTGGTGGGCTTGTCCATCTCTGAAGCATTCAGCCTATGGAGAACGCGAAGTAATCGAAGGATCTTGGCGTGGGGTGCATCCTCGGGGAGTGAGGACAGCGTAGGGCTTGGAGAACGGGCCTGGAATGCGCTCCGAGCGAGACCGATATGAGTGGTGCGCTTGAGGAAGTGACCGGAGAATACAAGGTGGGGGGAATGGGAGATGGAAGCTGGGAGTTTATGAAGGCGTGTGCGGGGAGAGAGGTGCTTCACTATAGCTTCGGAAGCGTGGAAGGGATGCGGGGTGGAAGTGAGAAAACGGGTGGGATGTCTTGAGGTGTCTTGAGGTCGTTCAAGGTCATGGAGAGAGTCAGGAGAGAGCGTAGGCGGACATATGGAGGAGGCAAGAGTGTTGAGGGTGGGCGAGACTCGGAGACGAGAGAGAACCGATGAGCATGAAGTGAGCAAAGACGGAGTGAGACGAGATGGGAAGACGAGAGGATGGGATAGCAGAGCTCCGCTCCGCTCCGGTTGTGCCAGAGCAAGAGGAGAGTGACGTCGTAGTCCGGGGGAGTGAATGGACGACCCGGGTATGCGGTTATATACAAACCGTTCGAGTACGAGTACTCGCCAGGCATCGGCTGGGTGAGGTTGAGCGAGTTGAGATCCAGACGAGGGAATGAGAAAGATGGGTTGGGTACTACAAACATGATGTCAGCGTGAAGATTGGAATAGACAAGCGAATAAGTTGTACTTATGGACGAGAGGGGAGGCACGGAAGAGAATCAAACCCTAGTCCAGTTGCCCTTCAATCGAAGGAACATGTCACTGTCGACATAGGCGTTGATGAAGTATTCGTCGGGCCGATCAAAATCGGGGCATACAAGGGCGCCGCGAATGACCGAGTCCAGAGATATAATTGTTGCATCAGCACGGGGGCAGGCTTTGATCCGGGTGAAGTTCAAGTCGTTGTCGATTTTGCCAATGTCGGCAGGTACATCGGGCTCAGCGGTGTAGGGTTGAACGAGGGCGGCTGAGAACGTTTGAGGGTGGGGACCTTCGGCGCCCTGGAACACTATAGTGAAGTCGAAGGGCATCACAAGGCGGGCGATGCCAGCAGTTTCAGGTGCGAGCTCGGCGAGGACACAGTCGTATCTAGGGTGGTTATAGAACGACGGGTTGCAGCGCAGATAGTCGGTTTGGGTCGTCCATGTCTCGTGTGACTCATAGTTAACCTTGAAGAAGTAATATTCGGTGATCTATACATTGGTTAGGAAAATCGCAAAGGCTACAAGTAAGAAATACCTGGAACGTTTCCGGGATAGCTAGAGGCGTCGGCAGAGAAATCCCTACTAGTAGGTCGGGGAAAAGGCGAGAATTGATGTAGTCTTGAAGTTTGAGGTCGAAGCCCTCGAAAGCAACATCCTGGTCGCACTTACGGACGACATCCTGGACAGCTATGGGCTGCTGCGGGGATCCGAGGTAGACATGCCAGCTGCTGTCGGTTTCGTAAGCTGTGACTTCGTCGTCATGCTCTACACGAGCCTGAAGCGCTTCCAGGCGCTTGATCTCGGCTTGCCGCTGGATACGCTCACTGATGACGAGGAGCGCCAGCTGGTGGGTGTCGACGCGCAAGATCTAAGGATTGTATGCGCTGGCTAGTAAGCTCGAAGAAGTAACGTCAGAATATTAACTCACCTGTTCGGCGAAATCTTTGCCGTTTGATCGGTTCTCGTATGCATCCTTGAGCGGGCCGTGCATGCCTTCGTTCGGACGAGTCGAAGTATGACGGCTTCCTCCCTTCTGCAGAATGTCGTTGAGGAAATGTATTAGTGCATGTATCTTCGGGAAATCCCAGTTGGTCTTGATTTTCGTGTTTCGCCCCTGAGTTTTAGCGACCAGGGCTAACACAATATATTCCTATATCATCAAAGACGTGAGGGTGAATGGAACGGATATGCAAGTATCATACCTTTAATAGAGTACCAAACCTTTCAACTTCTTTCCAGGCGGCTCGGACTGTTTCACTGGTGTGAACTTCAAGGGAAAAAAAAGCGTCGAGCTCGAGGTAACTACAGATAAGCTGAAGCAGCTTGTATCCCTCGGGCGAGTAGGAGGGCGTTAGTATATTGTACGTGCAAAATAAGACTTGCTGCTCACGATTAACATGTGTCCATGATGTACGATTGAAACTAGCTTACCTTAGAGATATCCCTGAACTTATTGCCGTCGCTGAAAGTCGTGGTGGATGGTGATTCGAAGTGACCAAATCCACGCCAACGGGGCTGCCGAGAGAACCTGTTGGGTATATCAGCCTTCTCGGGACCAACAGACTGAGAGAATAGAGATGCACTTACTGACTATTGAACTTTCCCAAGTCGCGACGGGAGTTTGGCGTGTTCTCGAGCATCTTGAGTAGCTCTGGATGCTGATGCTTGCCGTAAATCCCATGGTGGAAATTGTGAAGGTGATCGACAGAGATAGTGTCGGCTGTATCGGAGTATTTTAGCATCCAGAAGGCGTTCTATGGTCATGGCGAGGATTCAGTGGAAATATCGTATCAAGGAACAGAGCATACGTACGCTGACAGGCCTGACATCAGGAAATCGACAGGCTGCTTTTTTTGGGCCAAGTTACTTTTAGATACTGTTTTTCACTTATTGAGACTTATCGCAATCTCGACGCGAGTGTCGTCACACAGCAAAAAGGAAAAATAAGCGTTCGACCTTTGACTAGCAAATTAAAGTACCAAAAAGGGCTTTCCAGCGCATAGAGGTCGAATTAAGGATCCTGGTATAAAAAAGTGATATAAACGCCCCAGTCATATACCATACAAATTAGTAGTCTACTCGATTACGACTAGATAGGCGGCGTCACTAAGCTATTTCAAACGAATGATGGTCAGCGTATCGGTTAACGTAGAAACCGAAGAAGTCGTTATAAGAGTTATAGTGTTTGAGGTCTTCCGGAATGAATTTGTCGCCATAGAAAGGGATGAGATGGGCGGCGCGGACGAGTGAGTTGACAGGCACTATAGCAAGCAGACTGGTGCCGTCGTCGTTGTGGTCGGGGGAGACGATGTACATCCCGGTATCTTCATCTCGAACGTCCCGTACTCTGGAGAACCAATGGATGAGAGCGCACCGATAGTATTTTGATCGGTAGTCGAAGCCGAACAAAGCTAAGACCCGGGCGACCTCCATGCCGAGCATGCCGGGAACCTCGCTGTTTGTCGACACGAAGACGCAGTCGTGGCGAGCAGCTTCGTTTCTCCAGTTGAGGGTAGACCGGATCCGCTCGGAAGTCATTCCAGCCGTCCCGCATATGTCGCTAGGGGCACGGAAGGTGGCAATGGCCGAGTTATAGACGAATATCCGGGTTTTGTGGGGGAAATGAGGGAGTTGGTCGAGAGGGACGTTTGTGACGTCCACATCCGATGAAGATGGCGATAGCTGCTCGTGCAGGAAGCATTTGACCTGGTAGAGCAGGTCGTACAACGGGAGATCCAACTCGTTTGCGAGTTCAGCGAGGTTGTGTGCGCGCCCGCGCGCTAATGCATTACACATCAGAAAGCATACACAAATACGACCGACAGCACTCACCTGGCGACCTGGGCAACTGAACCTTCGCCTCTACTTGGCCGTCAATGGCCGTCCCTGACTCCTCCTCCACACTTCCGCCGTCGAGACCTCGCGCGCGGAGTTGCCTCATGACGACTGGATCGACCGCAAGTGTCTGGAATTGGCTTGTAACTGAAGCCCCGTGATAGAGTTAGCCTGAGTGTCAGATTGTCAGATGACTGCGATACTTACCCTGTGCGAGAGCACCAACTGCGGCCGAAATGGGCCGCGTCAACATCCCCCGCGCTGCGAAATCAACGCGCGCTGCTGCTAGTTTGTCCAGCCGTTGGTTGGTGATAAGCATTTGCTTGAGCGCTTCGAATCTGCTTGATCGCCGCCATGGCTCCTTCACTGCCTTGATGTGCTTAGACTCTGTTATTGAGGAGCAGAGGCCGTTTGGGGCCCCGAACTGGCGAATAAGGAATAAGTAATGCTTCAATGAATGCTGCCGAGGGAGGGAGAGGGAGTTAGCGACACCAAGAGTCTGAAAAATAACCCGATAGCGATGAAAACGCTCCAATGCGTCCTTGATCTCGAGCAGAGCCTCGTCAGTGATGACGTCACGTCGAACGAGATAGCAAAACTCCAAGAACGCGCGGAACGTGCGCACGACATCACGGGGAACGTGGCCCTCGATAGCCGGAATGTAAACCTGGACCCTGGTGTCAGAATCGTGCCGAGGAGTAAGAAACTCAATGCACTATACCTTCATTAATGCTTTGCTATCGTCTCCTGTCCACTGTTTGAATCCTCGTCCATTGGGAAACCGTCGTAAGCCGGCAAATGGAGCGACTGCAGCAATTCTATAGTCTTTAAGTGATAATACCCTGTTTAGTGCGACTGAATTGACGTACCTCCTGTCGATGTCGTCAAGAATTTGAAGGGCTCGATCCTTCGAGTGGACCTTGTGCAAGTAAGTAACAACCCACTCGACAAGGTGGTCCTTGAAGGTCCCCTTGACAAGTTGGTGAAGAATATCCGGCGATATCATCTCGTGGATATCGGCGCGTGGATAATCGTTTGTGAACGGCTAATAGAAGACCTGGATTAGCTAAGATTGTATGTGATATACTGCGGTCAGATACGCACAATCGTGTTCCCTATAATGCCGTAATTATCCCACAGGGTGCCGAGATCGAGTTCGTCAATCAAAAACTCGTTGTGCTCTTTACATCGAGGCAACACCCGATGCACCGTGTCGGAGCCGTCGAGGTCGTCCCGAAATGCGAGGCACCTAGAACTAATGTAAGTACATGAGCCATTCTCGAGAGATGTCAACCACTCACTTCGGGCACCAACCTTGTACAATGCAGGTAAGGAGCGCCTGCTCCGGGTAGTCTGCAATGTAAGGCCCGAGGCCGTATATGACTCGCCGGAAGTAGCCGTCGCCGAAGCGCACAACCTCGTAATCAGTCATGCCAGACTTCAGAGAACGGAGAATCCGTGCTAGAGAGGAATGGTATAACTGTCGGCGAAAATGGCGAAAGTCCGGATCGCCGGCGTATCTCTGATTTGCTTCGGATACTATGAATAGACGTCCCCCGAGATAAACGCACAACTTACTTTTTGGGATCGACAAAAAGCCAACCAGGGCGACTGCGTTCCGGTGCGCACGCCGGACTGTATTGCGGACGTTGCCTATGGACAGGTAGAGTGGGTAATACTCCGTGTGGCCCGTGGCAACGGATACAGTGGTTTTGTCACTGCCAAGGATAACAGGGACAAAAGCACACCCTTCCGTAGTAGGGTCCTTCGCAATTTCGTCCTAGAAGTAAAATTAGCAGCTGTCGCAAGCGAACGAAGGTAATGCACTCACCGCCTGGTCCCAGACCCAGTCACCAGAAAACATATCCTCCCATCGTCGTGAGCCTGAGAAGTCGAACTCACGGTACGGAGCATAGTCCATACTGTCCTTGAAATCCGGGTTTCCAAGCATGTTCTTGATGATGGTCTGTGGATCACGGAACCAGACGTCGTATGTCTCGGTCATCCACGGAGGAACATCACGTGCAGGTCGCGGACCCTTGTACGACATTGAAAACGACTCCCAGGGAACTTCACCAGCCCGGATGGCGTCGATTGTCTTGTACATGTCGGTGTGATTAGCGAATGGAGGGTGGGCGTTATACTGTGCTAGCATCGCGCCCCAAAGATCCATAGTGAAGTCGATTTCGGCTGCGGGCGCCTGAGACCGCCGGTAGAGAAAGTCCGCCGTTTCAAATTCGATGCGGTTCCGAAAAGGAGCCCAGTCATCGGGCGCTCGCGGTGGCAGTGGAAAGGGTGGCGTATGGTCGTCCACGAACTGGCCATCAGGCCCACATTTGCGTCCTAAGCAAAGGGTTGTGAGGGGACATACGAGCGTAGAACAGAGCGAAACACACCGTCAATGATGGGGTGATACTCCCGTATCTTTTTCCCTGCAAGCTGCTCCACCCTGCCCCTTGCTGGTCCGTCTTCCGGGAGGACGTCTGACTGAATGTCTTCTTGTGGAACGTTGTCATCTTCGGGCAGATCGTCGTCGGCTCCATAGGTGACCGAAACTTGTTCCCACGCTTGAGCTGGGGCTTGCTCGCGCGACCTGTCAACCAAACCATCGTGTTTTGTGTTGATGTGCTTGGTCAAGCCGGACTTGTTGCTAAAGAGACGCCGACAGGAAGTGACTGGACACTGTAGTTGAGGAAGAGTATAGACCGGACGCTGAGGGACGAAGTCGTTTGTTTGAGATGAGGTAGGATCCATAATGAAAGCTGTGGAGTGGGAGATAATGGCGAGGAGGGGAGTAACAGAGAGGAGACAACCTCGAGGAGGGTGCTGGAGAGGAGACGAGGGCAAGGGGCTGGATAGAGAGAAAGAAAGGTGGCGAAAATAGCGGCGAGAGTGACGGCAACGCAAAGGAGGCGAGTAGGAATGGAGAAACTCGGGTGCGAGGAGGCGAACCTGTCGCGGCAATTCATGTTAGGGGATAAATCAAAGACAAGGCTGTGGAGTACGTTACCACTCATTTGCGAACTCGGAGTCAGTGGACTACCGTTTCTATCCCTCTTTTACCCGACCGCTTCAGTGTCGCCCGAAAATTTCTCCAACCTGACCTCTGACTTCCATCTCCTTGCCCTCTGCTATCCTCCCAATGTCGTCCCGAATGAACACTCGCGCATCGAACGCGGAGAAGCACCCTGGTGACATCCACAAGGCCTTGAACCGCCGGACTTCCAGTGAAGTTGCGCTCCACAAGAAGCAGAAGAAAGCGGAGAAAGACAAGAAGAACGCCGAGCTGATCCGCCAGAAGGAGCGTGTTGCCAATCTGGAGAACGAGTTAGACAGGAAATACGCGAAGAAACTTGCCCACGCACCGACAGCGCCTCCGAGACCAGCACCAGCATCGAAAAGGAGGTCGAAGGCCACCACTGCCGACAATGCCGACAGCACCGAAGATGCCGAAGACGCCAACGACCACGACTCAGACAACGCGGCTGCCAAGACATCGTCTGGCCCAAGAGCGAAGGTGAAGACGAAGTCGGCCCCTGCCAGAGCCAACACCGACAAGGGGGACACCGGTACTGAAGTCCCAGCCAACGCTCCGGCGAGGCTGAAGCCAAAGCCAAAGCAGATGAAAAAGCAGCCCCCGCTGGCTGACGAGGCGGCTGGTGTGGACGTGTCTGATGGCGATGAGATGGCTGTTGGTGATGACGGTCAGTACTCCGGGCCATAGCGATAGCAAAACATGCACTCACCAAGTCACAGATGATCCGGCACCCAGGACCGTAGCTAGGAAGCGGGTCCACAAAACAAACCCAGCGAAGAAGGCTGGTACTAAAGGTAAGCTTATCGCAATCTCAATCTTGGTCACTACTCACCTTTGCCTCGTCCCGTTGCAAAACGAAGCAAAAAACGGCGATAAGGGAGACAACGTGTTCGAGCCTGAGGACGCCATGAAAGCGGTGAAGCAGAGCTTGGAGGACAGAGCGACATTCCGTACAGGTGTCGACAAGATGAGGGAGGTACAGGTGCCAGTGGAGAACAGTGCCCGCGCGGCACCAGGAACCGCCGGGAAAGGCAAGTCTGCCTCGACAGCGTGAGTTAATTCCCACCACTTGTCCTCTGATCCTTCACTGGCACTCACTATGTTCTTTCAACTCTCCGAATCCACGCTCTTCTATCGCGACCTCATCCTTGACTCTATTGCCACCAGGCGCTCCATCGGCTTCAAGACCGATATCAAGAAATGGTCTGCGGCTGTCACCCCGCGTGGTCCACCTGCCTCGACCTCCAACGCCTCCCATTCCCGCAGCGCACTGACTAGTGCGAGGTCCTCCACCCTTGTTGGCCAATCCACTACATCCAAGAGGAAGGAGAAGGCGCCAGAACCTGAGCCCGAGCCTGTACCCGAGGCCTTCGACGAAGATGAGGACCATGGACTCACGGACGACAATGCTGAGGATCTGGCCCGAGAGCGCGCCAGCTTCCGCGCTGAGGCCAACGTTATGGCACAAGAGGCGAGTATCAATATCTCTTCTCATCCGTCAAAACTCAACCTTGGGTTGAATCTAGGTTGTACTGCTTTCAAGTCCCCCACCAAGCCCACCTGTACTGCCGCATCGCCACCTCCCCCGTGAGCGCCTCTCCTCTGTCGAGGAGCTCACCACGCCTCCTGGCCGCCATTTCTCTACCCCCGAGAGCGTCTCCTCCCCCATCGAACAGCCTGAAGCTCCCTCCCTTAAGCGCCGTCGTTCGGACAGCACCAAGAATGGTGCGAACAAGGAGGAGCCTGAAGGAACAGTCCGACTAGATCACGATCAGGTCGCTGAGCAAGACGAGGATATTGTGCTTGTATGTTTTCGCTCTACTCTTTTCCATTTTACTGATTCATCGTGCAGGATTCCGAGCCTGAAAGCGTCCCCATCCCGAAGAACAAGTCTCGTACCACTGACATGGTAAGAGCATATTTTTTCCTGCATTCTATGAGGGTTCTACTGATGTATTATACAGGGGGACGTTAACATCCAGCCGGCAAAACGTCTCAAACCAGCCTCGAGCAAGGCTATCGCGGTCAAAACAGAAAAAGGCGACAAGCAGGACGAGAACGTCGAGAAGGCGACAGACGCCAGTAAGGACGACAACATCAGCAAGCGCAAGAAGAAGTACAATAAGAAGACGCTGCCCTCACACGCCAACACCAATCGTAGGTGGGCTCGTGTTTTCATACCAACATTCTTTGCCTGGCTCGCCCGTCAGAAGGACGTGTGGGGCCCCTCAAACAACAAGGTCCTCAATGCCCTCCGAAACATCTGGCGCGTGGTCTACAATGAGGAGCTGCCTCCGGAGCAGGACGCAATCGATGGGGCCGTGTTCAATCTCGTAAGCATAGCTGTTGTTCTAATTTGATTAAATTAATGCTTTGTACCCAGTGTAAGCAGAGGGCCAACGAGTGGCGCAGCAACTTCGGCTCCACTGCCTCGGCGGTCCTCTCGCTTTCATTCGCGGCCGAGGATATGTATGGCTACGAGGATGCAGAGGCTGATCGCGTCGAGTACGCCCGTGGGCTGCTCGTTGCGAACGCGTTCATGTTCGAGAACGTTCCGGACG